ATAATTAAAAAATCATCGTCTATTTGTGTTTTTTGGTACAAAAAGCTCGTCTGCTTCTATCAATAGACGACGATTTGTTAATTGCCGACTGCCAGGACAAAGCACTTTAAAAATTATTTCGCGACTATTCTCAAGGTCTATATAAATTTAATCCTTGCAATCCTGGCAGTCGATAATTAAAAAATCATCGTCTATTTGAGTTTTTTAGTACAAAAAGCTCGTCTGCTTCCATGATAGACGACGATTTTTTAATTGCCGACTGCCAGGACAAAGCACTCTAAAAATTATTTCGCGACTATTCTCAAGGTCTATATAAATTTAATCCTTGCAATCCTGGCAGTCGATAATTAAAAAATCATCGTCTATTTGTGTTTTTTGGTACAAAAAGCTCGTCTGCTTCTATCAATAGACGACGATTTGTTTATTGCCGACTGCCAGGAAAAGCACTTTAAAAATTATTTCGCGACTATTCTCAAGGTCTATATAAATTTAATCCTTGCAATCCTGGCAGTCGATAATTAAAAAATCATCATCTATTTGTGTCTATTTACGGAAATCTTGAAAATAATTAATGGAATCGCTATTTTTCCAGGAGATCCGCCCAGCTGGCAGCGCTTTTCAATTTTAGGCAAATCTTTGTCTATTTTTGGGTCGATTATATTTTATTTTGAAGGACCAACATTTTATAAACGGAAATCTTGAAAATATTTAAAGGAATCGCTATTTTTCCAGGAGATCCGCCCAGCTAGCGGCGCTTTTCAATTTTAGGCAAATCTTCGTCTATTTTTGGGTCGATTATATTTTATTTTGAAGGACTAACATTTTATAAACGGAAATCTTGAAAATATTTAGAGGAATCGCTATTTTTCCAGGAGATCCGCCCAGCTGGCGCCGCTTTTCAATTTTAGGCAAATCTTCGTCTATTTTTGGGTCGATTATATTTTGTGTTTTTTGGTACAAAAAGCTCGTCTGCTTCTATCGATAGACGACGATTTTTTAATTACCGACTGCCAGGACAAAGCACTCTAAAAATTATTTCGCGACTATTCTCAAGGTCTATATAAATTTAATCCTTGCAATCCTGGCAGTCGATAATTAAAAAATCATCGTCTATTTGTGTTTTTTAGTACAAAAAGCTCGTCTGCTTCTATCAATAGACGACGATTTGTTAATTGCCGACTGCCAGGACTAAGCACTCTAAAAATTATTTCGCGACTATTCTCAAGGTCTATATAAATTTAATCCTTGCAATCCTGGCAGTCGATAATTAAAAAATCATCGTCTATTTGTGTTTTTTAGTACAAAAAGCTCGTCTGCTTTATCAATAGACGACGATTTGTTAATTACCGACTGCCAGGACAAAGCACTCTAAAAATTATTTCGCGACTATTCTCAAGGTCTATATAAATTTAATCCTTGCAATCCTGGCAGTCGATAATTAAAAAATCATCGTCTATTTGTGTTTTTTAGTACAAAAAGCTCGTCTGCTTTATCAATAGACGACGATTTGTTAATTACCGACTGCCAGGACAAAGCACTCTAAAAATTATTTCGCGACTATTCTCAAGGTCTATATAAATTTAATCCTTTCAATCCTGGCAGTCGATAATTAAAAAATCATCGTCTATTTCTGTTTTTTGGTACAAAAAGCTCGTCTGCTTCTATCGATAGACGACGATTTTTTAATTACCGACTGCCAGGACAAAGCACTCTAAAAATTATTTCGCGACTATTGTCAAGGTCTATATAAATTTAATCCTTGCAATCCTGGCAGTCGATAATTAAAAAATCATCGTCTATTTGTGTTTTTTAGTACAAAAAGCTCGTCTGCTTTATCAATAGACGACGATTTGTTAATTACCGACTGCCAGGACAAAGCACTCTAAAAATTATTTCGCGACTATTCTCAAGGTCTATATAAATTTAATCCTTTCAATCCTGGCAGTCGATAATTAAAAAATCATCGTCTATTTCTGTTTTTTGGTACAAAAAGCTCGTCTGCTTCTATCGATAGACGACGATTTTTTAATTACCGACTGCCAGGACAAAGCACTCTAAAAATTATTTCGCGACTATTGTCAAGGTCTATATAAATTTAATCCTTGCAATCCTGGCAGTCGATATTTAAAAAATCATCGTCTATTTGTGTTTTTTAGTACAAAAAGCTCGTCTGCTTTATCAATAGACGACGATTTGTTAATTACCGACTGCCAGGACAAAGCACTCTAAAAATTATTTCGCGACTATTCTCAAGGTCTATATAAATTTAATCCTTTCAATCCTGGCAGTCGATAATTAAAAAATCATCGTCTATTTCTGTTTTTTGGTACAAAAAGCTCGTCTGCTTCTATCGATAGACGACGATTTTTTAATTACCGACTGCCAGGACAAAGCACTCTAAAAATTATTTCGCGACTATTCTCAAGGTCTATATAAATTTAATCCTTGCAATCCTGGCAGTCGATATTTAAAAAATCATCGTCTATTTGTGTTTTTTGGTACAAAAAGCTCGTCTGCTTCTATCAAATATTCTGACAGATATTCTGACAAAAATTCTGACAAAAACTCTGACAAATATTCTTGAACGACATCTGAAAAATATTCTGAAAGGAACAAATTTTGCAAAATTAAGGACTAAAAGTCGAGGTCCGGCGTGGTTACAAAGACCCTGACAGACATTCTGACAAAAATCCTGACAAAAACTCTGACAAATATTCTGAATGAAAATCTAAAAAATTTTCAGAAAGGAACAAATTTTGCAAAACACGGTCCGAAAGTCGAGTTGAGACCTATCGGCCTGCTGACAGAAATTAAGCGTATAAATTAAAAAAATTTGCAAAAATTGGCTGAAAAATTGGTCTTTACAGAAGGAGGAAATTTTAAAAAGGAGAAAATAAAAATAGAGGTAAAGCTACTTTGGTGCCTGAGGCGAATTAATTTTGGATCATTATTTTACCGCATTATATTTTATGAAAGAAATATTTCGTCACAGCATTAATCAGCTGCTGTTGAAAAATGTCGCCAAATTTAATTAGTGATTTCCTCCAGGGACACAATGTGCGGAGAAAAAAAATAAAGAAGTATACATGAAACCTGCTTTTAATGAAGAAAAACGAGACGCTCTGCTGTGTGATATCGTTTTAATGAGCTTTAATTTTGCACGCGCCAGTCCCGGCGTTTCTGCTAAATTTCTTTTCCGGCATGTGTACGTCTTTCAGGCGCGCGAGAGGAAGGGATTTAAAATTCAATTTGCTTGTGCAAATTTTTCATGTGACAGCACGCGGAAATGGGAATTCTCAGTGTTTTTCCTTTTCACATTATTTTAACGCAAACGTTAACCGAAATATCAGCAAATGTTACATAAAAAGTTCAAATTAATAATCATATTAAAATTCTATATTCTACTATTTTCCAATTATTCAGATTATAAAATTAAATTTGTAATGAAACTTAACTCAATAATCAAAAGCACATTTAAATGCGAATTTAAAGTTGTCATTCGCAAAGCTGTCTTTCTTCTTCTTCTTTTTGCACAGACGCGAAACTTCACGGTTGAAACAAGCAGAAAGTGACACAACAAGTGCTTATATAGGCAAATGTTTGTCAAACTGGTTGGCAAAAGTTGGCCGCTAGCAATTTTCCCATCCACCGGCGCCAATAATAAACACATGAAAAATATAACTGCTGAAACTTTTCCTTTCGCTTTTTCCTCTGGACCGAAAAGTGGAAAATAGAGCTTCTTATATTCCGGGCGTGAAGAGGAAATTTACAATATTCGCAGGCAGGAAAGAAAGAAAGTCGCAGCCGAATATAAAACAGCCATTTGCATAAATATACATGCAGCTGCGTAGAAGAAAAGTACTTTCTTTCTTTCTTTTGCGTTGCCAATTTGAATTTTGCCTTTTTCGCCCGCGAGGAAATTGCTTCGGAGAGAGAGAGACGAGCGCGCCATCAATCTACTATTCGTCTGCTCTTCACGCCTAATCAGCGTCAACATGCAAACCGGGTGATTTTTTGCTCTCTCCCTTGCAATAACAAAAACAACCTAGTCCGCCATGCGAGTCTCATTCATTCAATCGAGCCGAGTTGAGTGCTTTTGCTCGGTCGCGCCATCAGCAAATAAATTAATGATGATTCGAGGGTGCTGTTCGCGTCGTGCTTTCCATTTGTTCAGTTCGATCACTATCCAGCCAGCGATTAAAAACAATTGATTTGCATTTTATCTCTCTGATGGATCACCTATTAAAATGAGTAATTGCAAGCTTTTCAATCATGGTGAAATAATTCAGTAATTAAAAAATCCCCATCAAACATGCCTAATTTTTGTTAGTCATTTTCAAATTCAGATTAATTTTGAGTATTTATTTGTTCTCTAAAATAATTATAGAGCTCTATTAAAATTTAAAAAATATTGTATTAACTTTGTCAAAGTTATGTGTATATTTTTTTAAAAACGACATTTCAGACTTTAAATTAACAAATTAAATGAATTTTTGGAAGGAAACATTGAATTTTTTTTGCCAAAAAGGCACCACCTATAGCATTTTCCCAGTTTTGCTGAAACTTCCTCAGGAACAAAATAGTCTCGAGAGAAAAGAAAAAATGTTTTGTGCCGCATTTCCTTCAAAATTGATCCAGTAAGAGGAAAAGAGTAAAAACTAAGTTTTTATTCATTTTTATGAAACAAAATTATATGAATTCCGCAAAGACGGACTATAATTTTCCTTGCCTTCTTCCACGTTTCCGAGATTCCCGTACTCCAGTGAATTGTGACAATAATAACCTTTCGTGTTTGCCCAGCTCAATAAAATGTGTAGATACCCGTGCACGACACACAGGCCCTTGTATTGATTAACAATAAAAGCGGGTGTATCATCATCATCGTCCTTTTTATCATTGGCGTGCACTTGTCTCTCTTTCTCTCTCTCTTTTATTGCCCGCTCGTAAAAGTGGCAGGACAATTTGCATTCGTGAAATTAAATTTGTGAAATTTGTTGCAGAGGTGCGTGGTGGTGCAGGAGGTGTTCGCCGAGGGACTGGTGGCGCAGGACGGCCGCCTCAGGCCCGGCGACCAGATCATCGAGATCAACGGCACAGACACCACTAATGCGTCACACCACCAAGTAAGCGAGAATTAGCCAAATTTATAATTTTATTATAGGTTCACGCGTTCCTTCAAATTAATCGTACTATTTGGTTTTTCTATTTAATAAATTTGGTACAAAAATAAAAATCTAATCATATATTTTAACTTTTTATATTTAATTTTAACAGCGCTTTCGAGCTTTAAAAATAAATTTGATTTTCCAAAGTTGAATTATTTTATCACATTGATAAAGTAAACTAAAAAAATAATTGGGCTTTCATTATCAATTTTAATTTAAGTTTTATGAATTTTATAAATCTTTAAAAATGGATGTCTTACAATTAGAACCTTTAGAAAACTTCAATTCAATAAGTTAAAATATCGCTTGAAAAAATATGATTTTTTAAATAAAAAAATTGACAATAAAAAACATGAAAACGAAGTCGATTTTATGAAACAATTCCATAATAATAAACAAAATAATTCAGAATATGAATATTTAATGCATGGTTTTAATCTCAATCTTTGTAAGAATGTTATAAACTGTTTCCACGTTTATAAAAAAAAAATTTCTCACTTCACATATGTATAACCTTTCTTTGCACGTAAGTAAACGTGCTTTGTTATTATTCAAGAGGCGCCTGGATGAATTTTCGCTAGTTGTTTTGCATAAATTCAATTTGCAAACAACCTGCAGCGTCTGAATGATTTATTCGCACACAACAGACATTTTTGCCGCTTCGCAAAATCCAATCTTGCCGAGTGTTTATATGTTGGGCCGCATCATCCGGCATCAGTCGTCACAAAGGCTCGCGGACGGATAAGCGAACGGAAGATTGAATAGCTGCGTGCACGATCGAATCCATTTTATTTCCATAATATGTCCGCCGGGCAAAAAGTGGTGCGCTACATATTCATGTGTAGTACGTTCAAAACGCCATTAAGGCAGGCGTCACCGGTTTATTTTGGCGCGCCGTTTATTTGCAAACAATTCGCGCTGCATCTGCTGCCGGGTCCGAATTTCCATATTTTGCCAATTAAAAGACAATCGGCTGGGGACAAACTCTGGCATACATGCATGCGTCGCAAATTGTTGCCCACATTCGGTTAGAGTGGCGAAATTTGCATACAATTCTAATTTTGAAACTTTGAATGAAGCTAAATATCTGCAGCAAAAATTGAACTAAAAGATTCTAAAATATAAAATATTTTTACCTGAAAATTAAAATTCATTTTTTAAACTATGATGCATTAAATTAAAGTAGTTCGATCCTAAACTTGTTTTGAAAATAATATCACAGCCAAATTTCCAACTCCCTCAATTTTTTTTTTTTGGAAACAATAATTTTGAAATTATTTAAGCTGACCGGCAACGCTCGCGACTAAAAGTGATAAACCCACGACAAAATATTGGCTCAGACCCACGTTCAAAGTTTGATTAGACCAACGACTAAATTTTATTTAAGTTGCTGATTGAAATTTTTCAAGCTGACCGGCAACGCTCGCGACTAAAAGTGATAAACCCACGACAAATCCTAATTTTCCTTGAAAGACCTGAATTTTGAAAATTGCCTTCTCAACAGTCCTGCACTTCTAATTTTCCCTTAATGACCTCAATTTTGAAATTTCTATTCTCAACAGTCCTAGTTCTGCACAGGACTAGTCTATTTATCGCCTTCTTAAAAAATTATTGATTTAGAGCTGTGCAACGCTTTGCACAGCTCTAAATAAAAAATTATTGAAAATGAGGATAAATAGACTAGTCCTGTGCAGCGCGTTGCACAGCTTTGTCGTGGGTTTATCTCTTTTAGTCACGTGCGTTGCCGGTCAGCTTGAAAATTTTAAAAAACTGCGACTTAAATAAAATTTAGCTCACGAGTAAAGTGATAAAACCACGACAAAATATTAGCTCAGACCCACGTTAAAAGATTATATAATAACTGGACCTACATGTTAAGACTCCTTTTAAAAAAGATCTAATCAACTTGCAACAGATAGCAAATGTTTCCACATTAATATACAAGCAAAAGAGGAATTTTTCCTGCTAATTAATTACACGAACGCAATTAGCCCGCTCTCCTTTCAACTGAAAACTCTCGTCTCCAGCAAAAGTCGTGCCGGTTAATTGTTCACTCGGGCAATTAAATCTCCACGTCCCCTTGCAACAAAAGGAGGACGCAGCGAATTTAATTAAAGCGTGAAATTGCACGCCCCATTAGGCCGAAACAATTGTCCGTTGGCAACTTTCTCAGGCCTGGTGGAAAATTGAAAATATATATCGGTTGGCCAGCCGGTCGCTGCGCCGCGTGTAATTAAATTCACCGCCCATTACGCCCGGCGTTATTTACAGCCAACAGTAATTTGAATTTCATATATGGGCAGACCGAAACCGCCCCATAAATAAAACAGATCGTTGCCAGTGCAAATTTACGACCTCTTCACTTGTGTTTTTGCAGGTTTGCCAATTACTGCGGAAATCAGGGCCTGTTTTACGGCTCGGCGTCTACAGGGAGAGGATCGAGGCTTATCACTCGCGCAACGCGGCCCATTACGAGGAAGGTAATTTCGGCCGCCCTGTTGATCTCCCTTTTTTATGTATCTGCTGCACTCGACGCACGGCGATAAAACGGCGGCGAACAACCTCTTGCCGACAGCCTGATAAAAAAACCCCGCGCGCTGCGGAGACAAATTGCGCCGCGGTTTTTCTGGCTTGCTCTCGCGCCTGTTCTCAAACTGACTCAAGATGAAGTTCCTTGTATCAATTTTCATTAATTTTTTTTCTTCTTGCCAAAAAAATGTTCCCTTTTTAATAAAAAGAAATTAAGTTTAAAGTAACCTAAAAAAAATTATCTACTTACTTTGAGGTGAAGGAAGAGAATTACGTCAATACCTGAAACAAAATTGAAATTGTTCATGTAAAAATTATACTACAAAGCGAATTTGATACTTTATAATGGGTGCAAAGATTATTTCAATCCTGCCTTTCTATATAAAAAAAATAAATGCATTAATTTATATGAAAAATAATGACGGGGAAAAATTACTTTTTAAAAAAGTTGAAAACGATATCACGTAATTGCAGAACACTTCACCGTCCTCCTAGAGAGGAATCAAGACCAACAATTAGGAGTGCGACTGAGCGGATGGTGGATGGAGCCTGGAATTTTCATCCTGGAAGTCATCGACGGCAGTCCGGCGTCCCAGTGCGGACAGTTTGAGCCGTACGACCGCATCGTGTCCATAAATGGCGAGGATGTGCAGAGCTACCGACTTGAGCAAGCCTCCCAACTAATCCAGGTGCGAATCGCTTGTAATATTTGAAAGATATTGAAATTTTTGTGGCGATCATGGAGAGGATTCTAAGGATGTGCTTTCTTATTAAAACAAAAAATGGAGGACAAGTTAAGAATTTAAGAAATGAATGGAAATATTGAAAAAAAAAATCGATATATTTACAAATGTTTAATTTAAATTAGAGGAACATTTTTTTATGAAAAAATATATCAAAATATCTCAATCAGCTTCTGTTCAAATTTGATTTATTATTATTATTATCGTAGCTGCGCATATTTGACATTATTCGACTACCTCATAAGATCAAATTGTAATTAAAGTTGGAAAAACAAAAAAATGAAATGCACCACCAATAAAAGGTCACAGCTTGACTAGATTTTGCCTTCCCCCGACTATATTAAAAAAAACCTCACACTGTTTTAGAGCTGTGAGAAAGTGTCGCTGGTGGTGGCGCGGCGGCGTCTGACGAAGGAAAAAGAGGCCGTCGCCTCTTCGAGTTCGTCCGAGTCGGACCCGTCGCCGTGCCGCAGCTGGCAGATCGAGTGCACGCCGGACCGCAACATGAACACGACCAAAATCGTGTACCACCACGAGGGCTTCAGAAGCAGCTCGTGCGAGGCCCTGATCGAAGAAAACCAATTCCGGTGCGGCCAAGAAACAAGCCTGACCTCCTCGACCAAGAGCAACAACAAACGGTGGTCCCTGGACAATGCGGAGGACATCGCCCTCATGCGTTACTACCAACGCAACAACAACAAGCAGCTTGAAGTGGTGCTGCTGCAGCAAAAGACTGTCAATATTTGCAAGGTACTGTGACTTCAATTAATTTCCGTTGATTTAGTAGTTTTTCCCCATTTTTTTTTTATTATTATTATTATTTTAATTGTTTGGATGTTTTTTTTTTTAAATGTAACGCAACACGTTTGGCAGCCATGCAAAGCGGGTTGCATACCTTTCAAATTATAAAAGCGAGTTTATTCGCCATTTTTCTCGGCGTCTGTTGCAGGACCCGAACGAAAGTTTAGGCATGCGGATAGGGGGTGGTCTCGGCAGCAACGAGGGCGACATCCCCATTTACATTGCCAACATCCACCCGCAGGGCTGCATAGGCAGGACGCAGCAAGTTTGGGTACGCTCGTTACAATTTTAATTTTTTGTTCGCACCGTCATTTTTTTATGGCTTTCGCAGAAAGGTGATATTTTGCTGAGCGTGAACGGCACCAGCTTGCTGGGGTTGACGCACTCGCAGGCCGTGGCGACCTTGAAGTCGACGGTGGAACGGTCGGTCGTCAGCTTGGGGCTCCTCGAGGGCCCCGAAACCTCCGTCGGCTCCCACAACTTCATACCCTCCTGGCTTTATTGGCAAAAACTACCAAGGTAATGTAAATTAAATGACTTTGAAATGTTTATTTCTCAATATTTATAATTATTTTATTATTCTAATTGATTTAAATTTCATTCATTCGAAATTATCAAATATTTCCAACAATGGGACAAAGAAACAATAATAATTATTTTGTAAGAATAAAAAAAAATTAATTTTTAATTAGTAAATTCTGTTTGGGAAACAACAGGTGCCTCCAGTTTCCACGAATTGTGGTGCTGAATCGCAGTGAGGGTGCAAGTCTGGGCTTCAGCATTGTGGGGGGCGACGACCCCATTCGCGGCCCCGAACCCATCCATGTCCTTTTTGTGGTGCAAGAATCGCCGGCGGCTAAAGACGGAAAGCTCAAGTAGGTATCTATTTATTTTAAAAAACATACTCGTTCTTAATAGCAATAATGAACTAACAGATTTATCCATATTTTACAAATGATCGAATTGATCGAAGGTAAAACTTATCATGAAATTATGTTACAAATTTAATCCAGGTTTTTTGAAGCCATTATAACATTTTCAAACGAAAATTCTGCAACAAAATGATAATATTTAAAATGATAATATTTAAAACTATTTTTCATTAAAAAGTTTGAAAAATAAAATACTCTGCGATCATATTTATTGTAATTACTTATTAATAAATTTATGAAATACTCAATATGATAATTTTGATTTGAATGAAATTACAACATTTGTTTAAAACTGAATTTTAAACGCTCCCAATCATTGGCCATTGTCCTCAGTAGAGGTAATACAATTCAGGCTATTGACCAGACATTTGAAAATTTTATTTAATCCTGGAAGGTATGGGAAGGGGAAATCCAAAACTTTTTAGCTTGTTCAAATTTCTTTGCGCAAAGGTCGTTTTATCATAAAGATCCTAATCAAATGCTAAAATACTTGATATAATTAAGAAGATGCCACTCCAAAGAAAATAGTCCATCATCCCGTCTATAGATGGGTAATATTTAATTCTTACTTTAGTCCTGTAAGTCATGAAAATGAGGGTGAAAAATACATTTAATTTGATTCAATGAATTAAAACTTATTAATAATTAAGAAAAATAAGACGTTAAATCAGACTAAAAATTTGATAAGAATGAGAAGAGAGGCACTTTGCAGTACATAGACCACCTTTCAGACCATAGACCTGACATTTGAAAATTAAAGTTGGTCCTGGAAGGTATGGGAAGGAGAAATCCAAAACATTTTAGCTTGTTCAATTTTCTTTGCGCAAAGAGCGTTTTTTCATAAAGATCCGAGTCAAATGCTAAAATTCTTGATATAATTCAGAAAATGCCAGTCCAAAGAAAATAGTCCATCATCCCGTCAATTGATGGGCAATATTTAATTCTTACTTTAGTCCTGTACGTCATGAAAAGGAGGGTGAAATATACATTTAATTTGATTCAATGAATTAAAACTTATTAATAATTAAGAAAAATAAGGAGTTAAATCAGACTAAACACTTGATAAGAATGAGAAGAGAGGCACTTTGCAGTACATAGACCAACTTTCAGACCATAGACCTGACATTTGAAAATTTTATTTGGTCCTGGAAGGTATGGGAAGGGGAAATCCAAAACATTTTAGCTTGTTCAATTTTCTTTGCGCTAAGAGCGTGGTTTGATAAAGATCCAAATCAAATGCTAAAAACTTGATATAATTAAGAAGATGCCTTTCCAAGGAAAAAAAATCCATCAACCCGTCGAAGGGTAATTTGGAAATATAATTTTAGGCTTGTTACGTTTGAAAAAAAAAGTTGGTTGAAATATATGTTTTATTTGATTTAATTAGTTACACCACGTCAACTCTTATGAAAAAAAAATAAAAGCTAAAACTCTCATCCAAAAATCTGATTTGTAGCCAAAAGATGAGATTTTTGAAAGCAAATTTTTCATCAATCGGTAATTGAAATTTTGAGACAAAACAATGGAGGAGATTCAATAGACTTAGTTCTCCCGGGATAAAAGATATCCCGGGATAAATGCAAAGTGATAAAATTTAGACCACTGTCCTGCGCTAAATATATTTTGTCTCATATGAGCTGCTCATATTTAGGATATCCCATTTATATTTCTTGTAAATGACACTCATGTGACTCAGGGGAATGCAATTAAATCTTAGGGGAACCAAAAATATTTTTTCTTTAACATAAAATATTTAAAATGCCTATCCTTTTGATAAAAGTCAATAGACAAGATTTTTGGAAGAAAAGTTTAGACCGTATAGGGAGTCAAAAATCCAGCGGTAAATTATTATTTTTAGTTTTAAATGTAATATTCATAGTGATTTAAAAAAACTCTTTTGAGCTTATTGATTAATTGTTAAAAATTGACTGCGTTTTAATATGACCTATATAATTAATTGATTAAGATGCGTATTCGAAAAGATTTATGAGTTTTGGAGTGGAATGAGGTCATTACTCCCGGCGCGAGGCGAAACACTTGTTAGTGAGTGGAAAATGGTACAGGATGCGTTTAGATGGGAGCTGTGATAGGCAGCGAGCGCGTGTGTTTGATGTTTTGTTTCTGTTGCAGATGTGGCGACCGCCTGTTGGCCGTCGACGGACACAGTCTGGAGAACGTCAAGCACGCCACCGCCGTCAAAATGCTGAAGCAGACCGGCACCAGGGTCACCCTGGAGGTCGTCTCGTGGCTCGGAACCGAACTCTAACCCCGGTTGCAGAGAACCAAAGACATGAGAGAGAGAATCGAAGACAAGAAATGAAATGTTGAATGAACTCGGTGCACGCCGTTTTAGAGTATTTTTTATCACGACTGCTAGTTTTGAAATTCGTAATTTTCTAAAATCGTTAACGTAGAGAAGAAACTTTTACCGCCTAAAGAGTAGATTTCATAAGAGAATTTACTAAAATTTTTGAAAAAATGATAGTTTTTAAAAATTAGTAAATTTAAATTTTCTCTTATTTAAGACAGTAATTACGAATTGGGTCAAAATTTTAATTTCCATTTTTTATAATGATTTTAGAGTCAATTTTAATCAAAGAAAAAGTTGTAAATGATAATTTTTTGAGAGAACTTTCAACAATAGGTCCTGATGATTCAGGGAATATTTTAGGCGTTTGATTTTTAATTCAAATGAAGAAAAACCACTTCTGTTTATTCGTAGGTCTATAGTTCAAAAGAAAATTAAAATATATTTTAAAATTCACAATTGTAGAATGGTAAAGAGTCTCTTCTTTAGAAGAAAGGGGAGACCTTCAAGGCTAAAATTTTATTCTTAGATGTAAATTTAAAAATATCATCAGTCTTCAAACTTAAAACAAATGATTTCAGGATAATTTAAGACCTTGATTTTAAATTAAACTTCTATAACTTTATTCATTAAAGATATTCAAACCAATTGAAACGATTTAGCTATTTATTAATGCCCAATTTGATATATTATTGTTTGAAATGAGAGAAAAATCGACACTTGCGCCAATTTTTCACCCCTTTCAACATAGTCGAATTTCCACTCGCTGGTCAAATCCAAACACCTGCAGTTCGGGATATATATTTGGTCCCAGTAGAGGAAACATAATGCATAGTTTACGAGCCAGTCGTATTGGAATAAGCCAGACACACGGACCGCTAATCAAGTAATTGGATTATAGCAGAGAGAATCATTTGTTAAGTGCGCCACACACGCAAATATGATATCCCCAGCGGCCGAGCATTTGCGCCCCAGCATTTACAGTGCGCGACATGTTTTCGATTAATTAATTAATTAAATAAAAGCTCTCCGCCGGTCGGCGCTACAGCCCTGTGTAGTTTTGTCACGCAACAATGCATAAATAAAAATACTCGTGTATACCGTTTGGTTAATTACTGATACATGGTCGCGTTTCAGTTGGCACGCTGCCCTTATCCCAACACCACTCCATTTACATTCATTTGAATCGAATTACCTTTACATAATAACTGCAATGTAGATCCTAATCAATTTTCATCAAGAGTTAAAGTGCTGTTAGTTTTGAGCTTATCATTAGAACACTTTATTTGTGATATATTTATAAATCGATCACAAGAGATGACCCAAATTTGGAGAGAAAAAAAACAGGTGGGAAACCCAATCTCTTTTTGTTTGTCATTTTATCTTCCAAATCTAAGTTTTTCATCAATAAATCTTTATTTTTCTTAAAAATAATTTTATTTTTAGATCGGATTGGATCGTTTTTCTACTTAATATGGCCATATTAAGAAGAATAATTGTTAAAAATGAATGTTCTTCAGTTTTTCATATATTTTTCAGTCTAACAATACATACAAATTATTATTATTATTTTGCAGATCATGGATGAAAAATATAAAAAAATAAAACAATAAATGATTTTTAATTCCTATATTTTCCGACCACGGATCAAAGCATGTTGACTTTGAAGAGGAAAATGCGAGTTTTTTTTTCAAACACATCATTTTTTGCATTTTTCGACTGCACGAATACTAAAAATTTCAATAAAAATTACCAAAAGCTAAAAAAAAAATCGAAGTACTTTCAAATTTTGAACATTTCTGCTTCTAATTGTAAGTGAAAATGAAACTGTTTATGCAAAAAATTTGGACTACAATTTTTTTTCCCAATGATTCTGTCAGCCACAGTGAGGATAAATTGTGAGCTTCGTCATAGGATTGTGAATCACCATCGCAACCAACAGATCAACTCTCTCGCCGAGGGCCAATTAGTAACAGAGGATCATGACGAGTTCCCATTTAGTCGGATTTGGAGTTTTGGAATCGCTGCCTCCTCCCTTTGAGCAAACAATAATAGAATCGTGGCCGTTTGACGATCGTCGGTGCTGATTTTCGAAAGCTGCGGGTTTTGGCTTTCGGGCCCCAGGCTTCAATTATTTGATACGAATCGCGTAATGAGTGTAATGGACACCACGCAGGTATAATATGCCTGGCCTTGTCATTCGATTGTTTTGACGGTCAACGGATTTGCTGCTTGAATTTTTATCATTGAAATAAAATTCTGCTGTTAATTAGAGAGGAAAAATAATTAATTTTATTGGATAATCCGCATTTTCTAAATATTTAAAGGAGGGAATGCTAGTTTTTAAGAAATTTTTGATATTGATTTTGGCCTGCTAAGCAAATAAAAAATAGTCCCCTCAGAAATCCAAAATTGCTCATAATACAGCTTGGATTTTTTTTATAATTTTAAATAGTTCATAAGTTACTTTGGGTTTCTTTAGAGAAATTAAAGTGAATTGGATTTAATTAAAAGAAGTTTCTTGATTTTAACAAATAACATATTTTTATTGGAACTTTTTTGGTTTAATTTTTCCTCTTTCAACATTCATTACACGCGCACAGGGCCAATGACTGATGTCAATGACGAATCATCCATGCACTCCATCGGCGTTCAACAAACTTTACCTCTATGGCAGTTCACACTTTTTTTAGTACTTTGTCTGCCTCCACCGCCGAGGGAAACTGGTTCCAATGCCAAAGGACAGACGACCTTGGCCACCAATGATAGGAGATTTGCTCCGTGCGCAATTACATCGAAACTTTGCACACTTTTTATGCAGTTTATTTCTACAAAATTAGAAGATAAAAATAATCTCTGGCTTGATTGCAACATTAAAAAAAAATTATAATAAATATTTCAAAAGAGGGAAATTAGGCATTTTTGTTTCAATAAAAAAGCAGATGAAAAATTAAACTCCACATGATCAAAATATGAGTCTCAAAAGTCTGAAGGATTTATAGACAAACAATGAGATTTTGGTACTTTTCTGCACCATAAAATTGCAGACGATTTTATTTTTCCTTTTCCTTTAAAAAGGAGGAATGTTAAAAAATGATAAAGTAAAAAGGAAAAACTGTACAATCAAAGGTGAAAATTTAAATTTAAATTTATTTTAAGAAAAGTTTTTCTTAATGATTTTAAGCATTTTTTGAAAACCTAATTTAATTCCATTGATCTTTTTCTAAACTATCAAAGATTATATGAAAAATTCGTTTAAAAATAGCATTATTGTGCGGAGCTTGTAAATTTTGGTCTTCATATTTTAAAAACAAAATTTTCTCTTAAAGATAAAAAATAAAATCAAAGTGCGGTGAATTGGGCTTTTTTGATATCAGATTTCTTAGAAAAATCTTTACTTGTGATGTTCCCTTTTTTCAAGCAATGCAGTTTTTACTCCAAAAAAATTTTCTAATTAAATTTTAATGAAAAAATTTGGAAAAATACATGTCCTAAGTAGTTCTAATTTTTCAAAAAAAAAAAAAAAAAAAAAAAATATTTTACTAACGGCAAATAAAGAAACTCCCCCTGGAGCACATTTTTCCTGGTGGACCACATACATTGACAGGTGTTCCGATGGCTAAGCATGTAGGCTTGCATACGAAATGATTTCGGCACCCCCTCCACGCACCTGTCCATTCCATATACCTGTCGGCAGGTGCGTTTTTGTTCCCCTCCGAGAGCGAGTGGCCGCTGCGGATATGGACCAGCATTGTTCCACGTAGTCACTTTTGGAGTGCGGTGCAGTCCATCGGAAGGTGCATCGATTTTGTTCAAATCTTTCAACTGAGATTGCACGGAAAAGGGAGGCGGAGGCGATTAATGGCGCCGAAGACGAGCTGTGATTCTTAGCGCCGACTTCAAGAAAACGCTTTGCAGACGTCGAATTTTAGAAATAACATTAAAAGGACGCCGGCCGGGAGATAACACACAATTTCACCATGAGAGCGAGGAAAAAGGTGAGTCACTTTTATTATTCTGAAGTTTAAAACTACGCAAAAGGTTTTGATATTACGTCAATTTTTAAGAAAATTTAGAGCGTTGAAATTGATAAAATCTATGAAAAAGTTAATTAATATTTTACTTTATTCGTTAAAAATAATTATACTGATTAAAATTTATAAAATTTAAAATTCTGTTTATTCATTTTGAGCAATTTTCATTACATCTAATTGTAAATGACACTTTGAATTTATAAAATAATACATTTTACATCAATTGAAATTTATATTAAAAATTTGATATCGAAAATATGGATTTTTTTCTAGTACAAATATTTAATGAGGGTGCAATGTAGAGACGCGGCCTTGCAATAAACGGCGTTTAGAGCGGCGCAGTTTGTTCTTCTCATCCGAAGAGCACACGTTTGTGAATTACTGCAATCCCTGTGCACATATTTGCCTTTTCCTCCGACTAGGTCTCTCTCTCGCTCTCTTTCACCGCGGCTGCATTTTACTTTCCGTTTTTTTTCTGTGCACATCAGAGAAGAAAAATAAATTCTTCTCAGCTTCTAAAAGAACGAAATTTGAATGCAGGAAAACGAGACTTTTGCCTTTCTTCTTATGCAACCGGCGCGACTTTCAGCCTCGTTCTTTCTCCTCTGCAGACGCCGACGACGCCTTTCAAGCGAGATTAGATAAACATAATTAAGCACTCGGCAAAAGAAAACTCTCTTTTTTGTTCACCTGTCACGCGGAGAGGTAGATTTTTATCTCATTAGCAACTGAAAAGGACATTACCGAATAAAACCGAGAGGGATTACAATATTTTAAATTTAAATTAGAACTTCTAGTTCATAGTTTAATCAGAAGTTAAAGAAAAATTTATTTATGGAAATTCTTCCAGTCAACTTATATATTCATTGAAAAAACTTTGCTGCATATAATTTCCAAAAATAAATTAGTTTTAAACTTGTTCTTTCATCGAAATTAATTGATCAATATTTTAGAATTTCAATGCATAATTTCAGAGAATTTCAGAGAATTTCATAGTATTTTTAAAAGGAAAAATCTTCAAAACCGATTCAATAAAACAAATTTCTTGTACAATCAAAAACGTTATTCAATCTTCAAATATGGTTTTTTTTTAATAAATTTTTCATCAGATATTATATGAATTAATTGAAATTTTAAGTGTCTTTGTTATGCTCTTCTTCTCAATTTTTATTCTGATAACTTTGTCATTAATTTTTATTATGTTTTCAAAATTAATTTCATCAAAAATGAAGTTTAAAAGTTCCGAAAAAATTTAAAAAATTATTAGAAGTTACAGAACATTTTGCAATAATTTTCATCTTTTCCGTTTTGGTTTTGCGAAAAGTTAGTGAGTCGTTCGGCGGCCATTACTTTTGTCAAGGCCTTATTTTTACACGGGCCACATCCGGCGTTGGCGGCGGCGGCGGTTCTCTGGTCGCGGCCGAAAAACGGATGCTGCAGCCGAGAGTGCGGCTCTCCTCCCACGCTTCCGGACTCTCTCGCCAGCGGCGCAGCATCCAAAGCTAGAGAGACCGACCGACCGCGCGCGGTGCACTGCACCTTAATAGACGCGAGCGGAAACCGAGGTCGAGCTTCTTTGTTGACCTCCGCTCGTGAAGGCACCACTGCCCTTTGTAATTGCAGACAATTGCAGATCGGCGCTGCAATTTGCGGCAGAGAGACAAATGAAGGGGACGTTTATTGCCCCCAATCTCACAAATTCCGAGAATAGAGTAGAACTTTTATAAATCTCTGCTATTTATTATGAAATTGAAACTAGAATTTCATTAAAACGGAAACAATTAAAAAGAAAATTCATCGTTCTGAGTAATTTAACATTAAGTTGTGTTCCGAATTGCAGAAAATTTAATTTTTAAATAATATAAACACGTAAATATAAAAATCTAATGTTTTAACTATTTATTTATGCCATGAAAATAATTATAACATAGAAATTTTTAAACTTATTTTTTGGGAAAGGTTTAAATCAAACAAATATTGCGCAAGAGATTTTTCCAAGGACATTTCATTTAAATGCAATTTTAATTTAATTTTAATTAAATCAGTGCAGCATAAAGCAATAAAATGTAGACAATAGCATAAACTGAAGCAGAAATGGAAGGGTCTGACAATTTTTGAAATAAATCAAAATTTCATTGAAAATTCACAATTTCTTATCCTCTACAACACCTGCACAAACTTTTAGAAGTTCAAACTCCTATGATCCGCTTCAAATGAAATCAATTTTAAATTTATTAAGTTATTTTATTTGTTAATTTTAAAATGCAGAAGATTTTTAATGTATTTAAAAGATCCTAGAGCCTTTTAAAGTATAAAAATGATTTAAAAAAATATTTTCTACAATGCATTCAGGTTTTAACATAAAAATTCTACCCAATTAAGCAAATCTCTAAATTTAAATTAGATGGAAAATTAAATTCGGCAATTTTGAAAACTGATATTTGCATACAATTTTCAATTCAAACCAATTTGGAGAAAATGCAAACTTTTAAATTTAATAAAAATTGTACGTCGCATTTTAATTTGATTAGAACAGATTCTTTTAAAGACCGACATTGGTTTTTTAGACAAAGAACGACAAAACATAATATTTTAGAATTTCAGTTATGAACTCGGTTGAACTTTTTCAGAGGGTTTATTGTCACAGTGGATCTCTTTCTATCTCGTCTCGTCACGAACAATTTCGCTGTGGAAATTAATGTGTATCGCTAAAATGTGAGCGGCGCGTGCATATATAGGATGGTGACAGCGGATGGAGCGCGCAGAGGGAAAATAAAAAGTAGGGCGAATGACCGCTACCAGGGCCGGCGAGAAAAAGGCACGGGACCGTGACGCGTTTTGTGCTGATGCTGGCTGGTGACACAAACTCCTGATGCTATCGCGACCACGGGGAAAATAAATTGATAGCGACGGCACTTTTGTTCGGTCGTAAATTTCGTGTTTTCGCCGAACGAAAACCATAAAATCTCGATTGCAAAGCAGGGCCGGAAAATCTCGCCAATGATTTCGAAAATGGGCCGTTGCAAAGTTGTTGATGCGAAGTTTTGATGGCGTTTTGGTAATTTTATGCAGGTAAAACTGATTTTTTCAGTCAAAAGCAAATTAATTGTACAAACATTCTTTAAAAATACGTTCTAAATTGTTTCTCAATTAAATTTTAATTCATTACATAAATCGTCCAAATAATTTTACTTTGGGAATTTAACTAAAATTTAGATACGGTTAAGTTTTGCACAGATTGGTCTTGATTGCTCATGAAATTGAACCCACCACTTAAGAATATTCCAGAATATTCCAATGCCATTTATTCGTGCCTAATCAAATAACCACCATTTGTAACCCTGATAACTTTAAACACACGCAAACGCAAAAAATATTTTCAGGGTTAAAATCAATAACAAAGAAACTTTTGAATTACATAACAAGTGAAGTTCATTATTACCAGACAAGGGCTTAGAGTGATTTGTATGTTCCTGCCCAGACTTTTTGTTGATTCCTAAGCGGAACCCTTAGACTTGCTTGTCTGCTTTGTCCGTTTCTATTCGCTTGGAGCCTTGATACATGACTTTTGAAACTCTAGTTTGAGGCGTTTTGTTCATTCACATAAATTTTATTGCAAAGAAGAGTTTTTTCTACTAATTTAATTGAATAGTAACACTCGATGTGGATTTCATTAAAAAAATTGTTATTTTTTAACCGCTTTCTTCTTTTTTTACTATGTTGCAAATGAGGCGCGTCGCAATGAGTCATTAAATCGTGGTGACGCCTCATAAGTCAATCAAAATCAATAATAATATTTAATTGTTTAAACAGAATATAAGTTGAAGTCGTAATTAATTTATCAATACAATTAATCTAAGTTTTGATCTCTATTTTTAATTAAAAGTCATGAATGTATTTTCTACATAAAGAAATCCAAAACTTTTTAAAATTATTATGGGGTATTCATAATTATGCTGTTAGTTCCCATAAGCTAGCTTACCATGTGATTTTGTTTGGAGAAATCACAAAAAAAAAAACCAATAATGTATATTTTTACTTATAATAATTTGATTTTTTTTTTATAAATTGTAATGTAGATGCTCAATTTCATCTATTTATAAATAATGATCTTATTTGTCGTAATGAGACAGAGCGAGATTTTGAGCCTCTCTTTCAATAATTCCCTCGCTCTCAATTCCGAACTCAAACATATTCGCCGTGTTGTGCGCCTTTTCCTTAATTAGCAAGAGAGCGTGGCGCCAACAAAAGCAGCCGAGTGGTACATCGAGGGAGCCTTGAACAAGCGCCTCGATAATGAATCCAATTAGGGCAGAATGTGGGTTTAGGTCGCGCGGCGACGGCGGCCGACCATTCCCACGCAATTCAATTCCTACTTCAATTGAAACGCCCCTCTTTGATACACACACACGCAACTAGGGAAAAACTACTATTTGTGATGTGAATAAATTTTGTTCATCCACACGGAAAATGAAATTCTTGTGTTTACATAATTATGCTCTGTTGCAGATTTGGAGCATGAAATCGAGCCACCGCGCTGCGTTACAACTCATTATTCTAGTGATTTGCATACACAGAAGCAATGGTGAGTATCAACAACTGATAGCGAATCTTTTAGTAAAAAGAGTTTGAAATTTGAAAAATTGTATAGTTTTCAATTTTTTTAAGATAAAGTGGATTTTTAAGCTGATAATTTTTTAATCGGAAGATCACAATAAATGGGCTACGGCTTCATTTTCTCTCTGTATTAAAAAATTAAGATAATTAACTTATTTGCTACAAATTTTGTATGATTACATTATGTATGCAAAATATAGAAACAGTTACATTTATCAATTATTATTATTATTATTCCTTCTTTTTGATTGTGTCATAAGTGATATTACATATTATATCTCCGTCGTAATCCACTTATTCAATTCAATTCATTTATAAATACTTTACTTGTACATCATAAAAAACGTGTCAAATTAATTTGAATGAATTATTATTTATTCAATATTGAATCAAATTATTTTATGCGGATTTTTAAGGATTTTTTTTTTACAATTTTAACACCAATTCTTACAATAATACTATCTGCAAGTCCAAGTTCAATTTTATTAAAAATTGTGGAGATCAAATCGGGGTTTTCCTGCAAATCTAATGACATTTCATTTCCTGACAATTTGATTTGTGACCAATAAGGTCGATCAACTTTTGCTCACAACCCAAGAAAAAAAATGGACATTGAACTTGTTGATTTTATTACTTTTTGTTGGAGAAAATTTTATAGCATGGTAGGCAAAGATAATGCAACAATTTGAAGCATTTTTAACATCTTATTCATTGCACTTCCACATTATAAATTCAAAATTATTGATAATTTTCTCTCCTGTGATTAAACGCTGTAGAGATCATGATTTAAATGAAAAACATTTCAATTTATATTTCCAAACTGCGGAATAAAATAAACAATACATGTTACTTTTTTTGATAAGTCCAAAATCAACCGGTTTTTTTTTTAATTTTTAATTTTATAATTTCAAGCACAATGCTTCGGTGGTACGGAAACGTACGAGAAAACGACTGGAGTCAAATTTGTGTTTGGCACTTCGCAAGGGCTGCTGACCCAGCCGGGCACGGGCATCACCAGAGACTGCACCGCAATTTGCAGGCAGACGCCCTCCTGCGCCGCCTTTTCAGTCGGTTCGTATTTTATCAAAATTTACAATAATTTAATAAAAAACAAAAATGTATTATACCCATTTTCATTAATTCTAAATTTAATTTAATTTTGTTTATCTAGATTATGAGAATTCGCGGTGCCAATCGTACACAATGGGCTCGTCGGGCCACCGGAACAGTCTGCAGGAGAAAATCGGCAGCAACTTTTACGAGAAAATCTGCCTTCGCGGAGGTTTGTGCTTTTGGAGATTTTGCTTTCGCTTATTTCATGTTTGATTTTGGGGTTAGTTTCGAACCTGAGTGCCATGTGCGGGGACCGGCTGTGGGCGTTTGAGCGGGTGCTCGGCGCCTACCTCGAGGGCTTCGACGACAGAGAGGAGCGCAACGTGCAGAGCAAGACCGAGTGCGAGAAGCTGTGCCTCTTTGAAACCAGCTTCACCTGCAGGCAAGCGAACAACAACTTTTCCCCGGAAATTCTGCTTTTGATCTGGCTTCATTCCTCAGAACTCTTTATATAAAGTTCATAAAAGAAAAAATGACAAAAAATTGAGAAATTAATAGAAAAAAAATAATGAGGCAAAAATTTATAATTGTCAGATCCTTTGAACAAAATTCAATTTTTTTCATTTTATTGATTCTTGTTGAGATTATGCTTCGTTGGCACTATTGAATTGAATGACAATCAATGCTTTTGAAATAGGTCAGCCGAATATGACGAGACGCAGAACATTTGCCGACTGAGCAGAGAGGATCGCCGCAGTCAGCCAAATGCCTTCAGGCGACAAGTGGGCGGCAATGTTGACTACCTCGAGAACCAGTGCGTCAGACGTGAGTCCAAATCATATTTTTTTAAACTTTGATGGATTGATTTTTTTCATTCCAATATATTATATGTAAAAAAAATGATTACGTAATTTTGACGAATTTTATTTTATTAATAAATCATAACTATAATAACTTCATTTCAACCAAAATAAACTAGATTAATTTTTAAAATGCACCAATTTTTTAAGTTGTATTTAGAATCATTATCTTACAAATTTTTAATTTAAGACAATTAATTTTTCAACTCTATAATTTTGATTTATTTCTTTTTAATTAAATTATTTCCTCTCACTTTTTTTAAACTTAAATTTGTATAGCTTTGCCGGACTGCCGGTACCACCCCCGTCCAGACAACGCCGTCCTTTCGATGGACGAACTGCAATTCGCGGCGAGCCAGGGCGAGTGCGAAGCCCTTTGCGACCAGGCGCGCGGCTTCACCTGTCGCGCGTTCACCTACGCCGCCGACGAGAAAAGGTGCTACCTGAGCGGTGACGACTCCATCTCGCTCAACAACGCGCCACTCATGCTCAAACGGGGTGCCCTGTACGCCGAGAAACAGTGCAGCATCAGTAAGAATTTCGCATATTTATATTAATTATAATTATTTTCACAATTGTACCCAATTTCCTTTTTACATATTTTTCCCTTAAATATTTTGATTTTAGCTTTGAATTGTAAAAGAAATGAAAATTTTAATAATAATTTTTATTTTTGAAATTTTTAATTCATTCAAACTTTGAACTTTAATTAATTTAATTGTATTTGCGTGACTTTTTTTAATTGAATGACTTTAATTAAGGTCAATGTGAGGATGGCATGTTCACGTTCGAGAAGGTGACGGGCCACTTTCTGCGGTCTGCCCAGCAGGTCGGCCTTTCGATGGCCGCCTCGCCAGGCGTGACCCTCGAGTGCAGCCAGCGGTGCCTCGAGTCAGGGTCGGACTGTCCGGCCTTCACGCTCGACTACGCGGCCATGAAGTGCTTCAAGCTGGACAGGAACACGCAGGGTAGGACCAGCGACCTCGCGGCCAGGGACGGACAGAGCTACTTTGAGAAAATCTGCATCAGAGGTAACAATTCTTAATTCTTAATTTCAAACAATAATAATGAATATTTTTTTTTTTACATTGCTAAAGATATTTTGATTAAGTCTAAAATTTGAAAACCTTGGGTTGAAAAAAATCAAATAATCTTAAAATTAAGGGAAAATTTTAAAATTTAATCATTCTTTTAACTTTTAAATTCAGGAAACATCAGGGGATGTCAGGGTAGGGCGTGGGCGTTTGAACGTCGTCCTGGCAAAGAGTTGCGTGGACACGACGACGCCAAGGCGGGCATCGTGCAGAGCAGACGGGACTGCATGGAAGCGTGTCTGGGTGAAAGGCGCTTCGAGTGCCGCTCGGCCGAGTACGACTCCAAGACCAGCGAGTGCAAACTCAGCAGCGAGGACCGCAGGAGCAAGCCGAATGAATACGTCGACGCGCCGCCCCACATCGAGTACCTCGAAAACCAATGCATTCAAGGTCAGCCGAATCAGAATTTTTTTACTTCAAAATCCGAAAGTCCATTTGAAGTAGTCTCCAAAAATATGTTACACTAATATATTCGCTCAAAATCAAGATAGTTATAAGCAATCAAAACTTTTGAGCATCCGCTATTTAAAAAAAAAAAATTCGCCCAAAATTTAAAGCAAATTTATTCCTCAACTCAACCATCCTTTTAATATATCGTTGGAATCGTCCATTTTAAACCATAATTTATTTTTAAATTTTAGGTGACTTCCGTGGTTGCAATTTTGAGGCGGTAGCAAATTCCTATCCCCGATATCTGGATCTCGTGATTCCGTCGGTGAGCGATGAGATGGACTGCGAGAGGCGCTGCTACGCGTACAAAGACTTCATCTGCCGCTCCTTCTCCTACTACCCGTCCGGAAACCAGTGCTTCCTCAGCGGAGATGACAGAGGTAATAAATTTTGCAATAGGAAATTTTCTTTTTCTAACGACGCTTGCTTTTTATCAGCGTCTGCCGGAAACGAGGCGATGATGACGCGGCCAGGCACCAACTATTACGAGCGGAACTGCCGCAACGTCGACGGAAACATGAACAACCTGCCCCCGTTGGGGCCGGGCACCCTGGATCCGCAAGGTACCTTATTTGGCAGGCCGAGTGACGTCGACTCGGCCAATCGCCAGCCGGAGGGTAGAAGCATAAGTAACAAAACAGTCCCGTTTTTGGCATGGCATCAGTAGAAATTTCAATCGGGAGTAGTGTTAGTAGTAGTGGACTGGCTTTGGTACCAAAATAGAAATTAAATGTAGAAACTAACTAGTTGGAAAAATGAAATAGTGAAATTTGGAAAACGATATGTTGAAGTGATGGTTTCGAATAAAAATTAAATTTTTTTGTTGGCGGCCATCTTTAAAAATGGCAGTTTCATTATTTTAATGGCTCGTTGCATTGTTAGTTTTAATCCCAAATTATTTTTTGAGATTTTTTAGAATGTTTTTGACGGACACCGTCTGAAAATGAAAGTTTATAAAACTTTTGATCCACCCCTTTAACATGTAATTTTGAAATTTTCAGGCCCGGGGTTTGGTCCTCCTGGTTTTCGGCCTCAGGGTCCTCCGCTTCCTCCTCCTCCTCAGTATGGGGGCAGCCCTGGGGGTGGCCTGCCGCCGCCGTTCCAGCAGGGTGGTCGACCGCCGTTCATCGACGGAGGCCGCCCCCCGTACGGACCGGCCCAACCCACGGTCGGCGGCGTCCGGTGTCCAGGACGCCTGGAGTTCGAAAAGGTCACCGGATTTGAGTTGACAGGCGAGCGCGGATACAGTTTGGCGCGCGACCGGCTGCCGGGCATCACCCTGCAGTGCGCCCGCCGCTGTCAAAACGACCCGCGCTGCGCCGCTTTCAACATCGACTACCGAGGGAGCGAGTGCGTGGCGCTCACCGTCGTCACCGAGTCAAGCCGCATCGACCTCCGACCCACGCCAGGCGTCGCCTACTTCGAGGGCATCTGCCTCAGAGGTGAGTCGCGTTACAAGACGGCGGGAGTAGGCTTTTTGTTGGGCACGCGAGACCAGCCGGTTGCCTAATTTCACTTTCTTAAGGAGTTCTCTAACGTCTTAACGCTGATTTTTAAGAAATTATTTATTTTAATCCGTAGTTTATTTTAATCATTTTTACTACAAAATGAAAATTTTTTGTTAGCACAAGTAAATCCAGATAATAATCGTAACATTCCTTCTTTAAAACAATAAAAAATGTGTAAAATAATTATTAAAAAGAATTTTTTTAAAACGTTTTGTATATTTTCCATAGTTTCACTTTTACTTTTAATTTAATTTATTCTTTTTTTCAAGAATTTCATAATAACTATCAAATTATTTTAAATTTTTTGTAATTCCTTAAATTAGGAGGAGGTTGTGGTCAAACTTGGACATTCGAGCGATACGTGAACTACGAACTTCGTGGTTTTGTGAACATGAGGTATCAGGGCATCAGCAAAATCGAGTGCCAGGAACGCTGCTTGGAAGACAGGGTCTGCCGGTATAACTAAAAACCTCGTCTTTAATTGCATTCCCATTTATACTATTTTTTTTTTTTTTTTTATTTGCAAAGATCTGCAACTTACAACTTTCGTCGGCGAGAATGTTTCTTGAGCACCGAAGACCGATTCAGCCAACCGCAGGCGTTCATTGCCTCAGTCGACACCGATTATATGGAAAACCAGTGTGCTGCTCGTAAGAAAACTAAAACTAATTTATTTTAAATGAAACTTAATTTTTTGGAGAAAAGGCCCATCGAGGTGTGTCTATCGCAACCAACAACGGGATCTTCAGCTTATGTATGTGGACAAGAGCCTGTCTGCGTTCAGTGACTCAAGTTGCCAGCAAGCCTGCGATGTTGAGAGGGAATTTGTGTGCCGATCTTTCACATTTTTGAGCCAGGTATAAAAAAAAACTCAAATCAATCAAAATCGACATGGAAATTCTGGATATTGAAAAAAATTATCATATTTTTCCCTTTTTTTAACCGCCAATATTTTTAAATTTTTGACAAGTTATTTTACAATTGCTTTGCTTTTTCTAGACTGGATTGAATACAAATCAGTGTCTCCTGAGCGGCGACACTGGAGTGGCAGTTGGAAGGAGTGGTTTTGTGCCCGTCAGCGGCGCCCTTTTCGCCGAACGCGAGTGTTCTGGGCCTCCAGGCCCCTCCGGTCCCCGGCCCGTAGGACCTGCACTTCCTCCTTTGGGGCCGTCGGGCCCTCCAGGTTACGGCCCTCCGCAGGTCCCCCCTCGATTCGGGCCAAGCAACCTTCCGCCAGTCTACCCAAGCCAACAGTACCCCCCACTCTACGGAAACTCGTTCAGCCCGACCAACAACTACCCTCCGGCCCTTCTGCCAGGACGACCCTCCCCTCAGGGTCCTTGGCCAGGACAACCCTATCCTTCGCCCCAGAGCCACTACCAGCCTCCTGGGGGCAGGTACGCCTCCGGAGGGCCCATCGGACCTTCGGCACTTCCGCCTCAGGGACCGACCATCGGTGGTTTCGCTCATGGAAACTTCCACGGAAACTTCCCCATGCCCTTCCCGGGCGGATTCGTGGATGCGGCGAGCAATGGAATCTACAGTGACGCGGACCTCAACCCGTACCCTTGCAGGTTCACCCTGACGTACGAAAAGGTGGCCGGAGCCACTTACACTAATGCTAGAAGGTCAGCTATCTGTTTTATTTAAAAATTCATACCAAATTGACAATTTGGAAATAAAAATAATAGAAATAGTTTATTTATCAAATTTAAAATATTAAAATATAAGAAAGATCCTATAATTTTATTTAAAAATTGATAATTTTGGATCATAAAGAAAAATGGAGCGATTTTACTCCATTTAAGGAATAAGTTGCAAAATTAAAACAAAATATTAAATAAAATCAAGTTTCTGGCACATTTGTGTCATTTAAATCTATTTATAGATTTGCAAATTTCCACCATCAATCACGTCTATTGTATTGATTTCGCTCATCCATTAGTGACGGTTCACATTAATGGCAAATTGTCTCTATCAACATGACTGTGCGCTTTGATTTATGTTTTTTTTCTCCGTGCAAAATGAAATGCGCGTGTCGGTTGCGGTGAACAATCTTTTTTCTGACGAATTCGGTCCACGCTTCCTGTTGCAGAGATCCAATCAGGACGTGGGTGGATGTGGGCATCACTGCACACTGCCTGGTCGAGTGCGCGCAGCAGCGTGACCGCTGCATGGCCGTGTCGCTGGAGAATGTGCGCGGGGGGCGCCAAAGGTGCTACGCCCTCGACAGGTCCGCCGACGGCGACAACCAGCCTCTCCAGGCCGCTCCTGACCTCGGCTATTTCCAAAAGATTTGCCTCAGAGGTCAGCCAAATTTAAAATTAAAAAATGTTTCAATGCTTAAAATGATAAATTACAATTAAAATAAAAAATATAATTCATTTATTAGCTACTTTAATTTATTATAAAATAAAATATTTTTAAAATTTTAGGAAATGAAATTATAATATTTGTCTTTTTAGAGCGCCCTTGTCCAAAGGCCTGGGCCTTCACCAGAGTGCCTGGTTTTGAACTCGCCCTGAAAAACGCCCTGGAGGTGCGAAACGTCTACAGCAGACGCCAGTGCCAGGATGAGTGTCTCCGTTCGTCCAATGTTATTTGCAGGTATAGAATTTAAACAAAATACCTAATTTTGTTTCTTCTTTTTGTAATTTGAAACAATTATTTTCTAAAGATCAGCGACTTACTACTCTCGCGAGCGGATTTGCAAAATTAGTGCCGACACTCGACGAACGCAGCCCGAATACTTCAAAAAGGCGACGGCTGATATCGACTACATGGAAAACGAATGCGCTCCGCGTAAGTTTTTTGATTAAAGAAAATTGCATTTCGATGGAAATAAAATAAAATTTAAATTTGATTAAAATAACATCTTAAAAAAATTTTAATGAAATAAATAATTTGTTTTATTCCAAATATAATTAAAATTTCGTGTAAATTCAGACCAATATTAAAATAATTTACCATTTTAAATTAATAATTCAATTAAAAGCTAATACTATTTTTTGGGATGCATTCCTAATTGGGCACAAAAACAAATTTATAATTATAATTATTTCGATTAATAAAATTCATCGAAAATTGATTTTGTCACTTCAGAACCGGCCAACTGCGAGTACTCAGATTTCCCAGGACGGTTCATGCCCTATTCTGATCGTTACGTGGCACGTGCGTTCGACGTGACCGAGTGCCGGCGTCTGTGCGACCAGGAGCGCGAGTTCCAGTGTCGCTCTTTCAACTTCCACCCGCACCGCCGCGAGTGTTTCCTCAGCTCAGACGACACCTTCACCGCCGACAAGACGGCCCTCCTCACCGACAGGGACTTCTTCTACAGCGAAAGGGGCAGCTGCAGCAACGGTAAGTTTATTGAATTGGAAAAATCGGTTCTTATTTATTGAATTTTAAATTCAAGCCATATTTATTGATCAATTGTACAATAATAATTTAATTAAAATAAGTAATATTTATTTATTTCAAACAATTTTTAAATTTTATTATTTATTTTAATAATTGACGATTATTTAACTTTTTAATTTCGAAACATTTTTCTGTTTACATAGATTTCTAAAATGTTTTATATTATTTGAATTACATCTCTCAATTTAAAAAAAAATAATATAATTTTTCATAATTGGCTTAAAATTTCAAATTTTACATACATTGATTTTTGTTATGAATTTCAGTGAAAGTCGATTGCACCCAGTCGGACATGTTAATCACCTTCATGTTCGCGGCGCCCTTTGAGGGCAGGGTGTACGCCACGGGCAACCCCCAAGCGTGTTTCGAACTCGGCAGCGCCCAAAACAATCTCGTCCTGCGCATCCCCATGGGCACTCAGTGCGGAACCGTTCAACAAGTGCGTATAATTTCTTTTCATAGGAGGAAATGTGATTTGAAAATTTTTAATCAGGGTCGAGGCCGGTACGTGAACCACGTGGTCATTCAGCAGAACCCGGTGATCATGCAGGAGACGGACAAGACGGTGCGCGTCGAATGCTCGTTCGACGCCAGCGACCAAACCCTGTCATTCTCGCCGCAGGGCAACCGACAATACGAGGGCGGCGGAATCAGCGTCTCGTGAGTGGAAAACAAATTAAATTTTAAGTCGGCTTAAAAAATTCAAATATTTTTAGTTTTGAAAATAAAATCTGCTTAAAAAAAATATGTAATTTTAATTATCTTTTATCTTTAATTTGATTTATGAAAATCATCTCATAAAATTTCTTTTAAAATGAAAAATATGCATCACAATAATTACTTTATTTATAATTTATTCTGAATTTTTTAAAGCAACTATTAATTAACTCTACATTCAATTTTAGTTGTTGGTAAAAAATTATATTTTTTCTATTATTTTATAAATTTTTGGAATTTTTCAATCAACGAACTTTCATTATTTTTATTGTTACAATGTTTTAGTTCTTAACTGTTTCATGGAAATTTTTTGTTATACAAAAAAACCCTTTTCTTATAATTTTTGAAAAATTTGTAATTTTTTCACAATTTCAAAGGGTGCCATTTCGGCCCTCGGCGACCAACATTGTGACCAACACGGCGCCCACGCCGCAGGTGAGCATGCGAATCGTGACGCGCAATGGTCAGGTGGCGACCGCCGTCGGACTAGGCGAGGACCTGCAGCTCCGAATCGAAATCGATCCGTCCAGCGCCTTCGGAATTTTCGCTCGCAACCTCGAAGCCAGAACCGAAAACGGCGAGCTGCTCACCCTGATCGACAACACAGGGTATATATTAGCATAAAATTATTAAAAATTTTATTGTAAATAATCATAATCAAGGTGTCCGAGAGACCCGAACATCTTCCCCGGACTCTTCGTCGAGCAAGGCACTCGCAATTTGTACGGCGACTTTAAGGCTTTCCGCTTCCCATCAACCTCAAATGTTAACTTCGTGGTCAGCATCCATTTCTGCCAGGACATTTGCGAACCGGTATGACAAATTAAATTTATATATAAATAAGTCTTTGGAAAAATTGGACGAAATTAACAAAAAAAAAATTTTGAGTAAATAAAAGAACAAAGGATATTTATTTTTAAATTAAAATTATTAAAATATCTAGGAATTTTATTGATTTCTTTTCATTTTTTTCTAAATCCAGGTGCAATGTTACAATGGAATGTACTCATTCGGAAAGCGGCGAAGACGTGATCTTGGAAACTCCACTCAAGAAGTCAAGGTGGAGGAAGAAGAAGAAGTGACGGACGTGCCTGCGGCCACAACTATCAAAGCCCAGGAGATGTCAACCTCCGAGGAATCGTCCACTTCAAAAGCGAAGGAACAACCTGATGAAGAGGTGGTTGAAGTGGAAGAGCCAAAACCCACCCAAGAAGAAGCGGTTCAAACGACCAAAAAGCCAGCAAAGTCTGAAAATAAAACTCTGCTGGGTAATAACAATTTTTTTTTTAATTCAATTTCGAAAATTAATTTTTTCATTCAGATTCAGACGCCCTGCATTTGCCTCCGGGCTACCCGACCGGCTTCAGTTCTGAGGAGGAGCGGCAGCTGAAGAAATTGGCAATGCCCAGTCCAAAAACGGCCGACGAGAAGGAAAATGAAATCAGCAAGGAGCCTTTGCCTAGCGAACTTCCTCTGCAACTTCGGGTAAATAATAACTATTTTTGGTAGAAAATTTTGCTAAATAAAAATAAATATTTAGTTGGTGGTTGGTGAGGACTCGATGCCTACGGAAAACAACGCGACCAAGCAGAAGAACAGCAACAGGAACAGATTCTTGATCAACCCCGCCAACAGCTTCAACCCCTACAATGTTTATCCAGAATGTAAGTTGCAATTTTTTTTTTTTAATTTTTAAAATTTTCCTCAAATTTTTGCGATAAAATTTCACGTTATTTCTAAAAAATACACGGAAGAATTACATAATAAAAAATTTAAGAGCAGAATTTTTGAAATGTATTTGAAAGTGGATCCTGCAAACATTGAAGTCTCTCTCCAGCGGCCATATTCATTATTATTTAGTCAACTAATTTAGTGTTTGAAGTTTTTTTTATCAAAATTTCAATTGCTTATCATACTTAAATTTAATTTAAAATTTCAATAAAAATAAATACTTGAATTGATTGAAAGCAATTGAATAATATTCCAGTAAAAAGAAAATCAAATTTCAATAGACTCTATTTCCACAGATTTTTTTTCTTTCAAAACGTTCATCGAATTTTTAATTGCTCAATTGACCTATTCCATGAAGAAGAAATTCTTGAAGGTTCAAATATTTTTTCCACTGGAAATGTTTGTTTGAAAAACATTGACATTTCAGTTTTGGTTTATCAATTTTGATGGAGGTGAATTTTTTTCTCAGTCATATTAGAGAGAGAAACAATCATAAATCAAGAAAATCGTTAATTGAGGAGTTCCGCCCTTTTTCTAAATTTTAACTTCAATTTTTAAAACAAAATTTTCTCATTATAAATGATGTAATTTTATGCCAACAGCCGTGTACTCGGAGGACGGCTTTGTGTGCACGCCTTCGTCGACGATCATCGCGTCGGTGTTCACGACGGTGTTCTTCAACGTGGGTCTGGTGGCCGGCTTCGTTTTTTTCTACCGCACCAAGAAGAAGCAGTGGCAGAAACTGTCCGGCTACGACAACACCACCTTCCAGAATCCGGGTCGGGCGGACACGAGCGACGGAGGCAGCGGGATTTTCTCGCCGGAAGTGCTTTTCCGCAGCGTGTACGACCGTCTTCCGGCGCGACCCTCGTTCTCCAACCTGCAGAGCACCATCGCGGCCAGACACGCCAAGAACGACCACGAGGTGCTCGGTTGACAAAAGCGGAAAATTCTCGAAATTTAAAAATTGGGACGAGATATGTAGAGGTGTTTCGATAATTTTAGTAGTGCTGGTATCAAATATCATTTTAGTTTAATTATATTATATGTGCGCATTAATTGGCGATTCGTGAGGGAGCAGCGGCCGTGAATGAGTTGTTTTTCTCGGCCAGGGTTTCGATTGCCCTGGAATTCTAACGAAAATGATGCAATTCCCGCGAGCTGCTTGTTCACAAACGGCCAATTGTGGAAACCGCTTCCTAGTTACTTTAATTTTTAGCACCTTATTGTACAGAGATTTAAACTTTTGCTTGTAATTCATTTAATTATCTTCCTTTAAAATAATTTTAATTTATTTAAGATCAATATATAAAAACCAAGTCGCTATAAATTTAAGTTGTAGTAGAAAATTTATCCTTTTCAAAAAAGGAAAATGTCCGCGATATTTTTATCTGTATAATTTTCCGTTTGTTTTTCACATAGGCTGGTGAAGGAAATATAGTGAATTAGATTTTTAAATTAAAATATTATTAATTATTATTTTAACAGAGTTCAAATTCAAGCGTTGAAGGTTTTCATCTTTGTAAATCATTTTTCAATAAAAATATGGAACATACTCAAAATTTGGCCGACTTTTGGATTTACCTTATTCACAAACAAGTTTTGTACGCACGAGGGGAGAGAGTTGGATTTTCGCAGGCGCGGCGCTCGAAGGCCATAGCGAGGGGTTGTTTCGAGCAGCTTCAGAGTTACGTCGGCTGGAGTAGATTAAGGAACAGTCGACTGCGATCACCTGCTAATAAACGATAGAAGGTAGGATTCTGATTTGCTGAAAAGCTTTTCCATATTCTTTGCATGTTAGTTGAGATTTTAAATTAGTTTTTTTGTTAATTCAATAAAAAAGTGATTTTAAGTAAATGTAACATAAATAATAAAAAAATATGAAGATATCTTCTTGCTAATCCTATTTGTGAATCTTAATTTCAATCTATTAAGATTAACTTGAAAGTTGTAATCAATTTTATTTAGTTTTTAATAGAGACCATATATTCTTTTTTTTTTGCTACAGAATAAATATAATTTTAATTTTGTTCTCATTATTTAGATTGAAAGATATGAGAGTTACATAAAAATATAGCAAAATTTATAAATTTAAATGTTATGTAACGCAAAAATATAAAATGTTACTCTGATCACAGTTAAAATTTTAGTATTCCTATAAAAATAATAAAAATTTAAGCTTCAGCAAAGTAATTTATTTTTCATTAAAACTTTCTATCTATTTTATGTCGATTTCACCTCAGGGAAAACTCTTCATTTCGCACAATCTGAGAAGATCATGTTCTAAAAATAAAGGTCTTTGCGTTGGAAAAGTGCCGGCCTAACGAGGCAATTTCGTCGATATTGATTGATTTTTGTGCTGTGTGTAAAAATGAGAAGTAGCTGTGCTGATGTGACGACCTTTCTTCTCTCCACCCACGGCTGCAGGGTCCTCAAGTTCCCTCCTTTTGGCCACGTATTTTGTATGGCTGGTTGACAACTCTCTCTCACCCACTTTTCCCTTGGCGCCGACCCGTCAACCACACCGTCCACACACACAAACTTGCACACTAATAAATTAATAATTCAACTTTGGCTCGGAAAAGTTTCTAATTCATCAGTTTGCATTTTAATGGGTCGAAAATTTAATTATTTGCATTATTTTATCACATGAAATACTTCAAAATAAGACTAACAAGCGAAACTTTTATTCAAACTTTTCAACAGGAAAAGATGGGACGCATTTGGATCAGCCTTTTGCTTACTATTTTACACATTGGACATACATTTTCATCAGAAAGGTAAGTGGATTTTGTATTTTTTTTTAAGATAAAAATAAGATTCTCCGTAATCATTGATCTAACCTAAATTATGCCGTAATTAATTAAAAATGAAGTAAATTTGAACTTTTAAATTTTGTGTTTATTTACAAAAATAGTTTTTAATTTGACTTACAAAACGATCTCACTGCAAATTTGAGCAGAACTTTAAGTTTCAAGTTGGAGGCTGTGATTAATTATCCGTTCAAAACTTTGCTAATTCACATTCAAAACTTTCTTAATGAATATATCTGTTAACAATAAAGGCAGACCGAGCGAAAGAGCCACAAGTGCGCTTACTTTGACCGGAATGAAGGATTTTTATTTTCCTCATTCGCATAAATTACTTTTTTAAGTGTGTCGTTTTAAAATGAATAAAGAGAAGCGCTTCTCATTAAAATCACCGAAACTCAACGTTGCTTAATGAGGTCTGCTCAAAACACTGAAAGAAAGAAATCTCAAGTGGCTGCTGATCAAAAGCGGGGCGAAATAAAATCCATCTCGGAACTAATGAGATGTATCTCTTCTTGATTCTTATTTTTAGCCTCAATCTGACGAGAATCTTGGCCTCGGTGGTCGACGCCAAGCCAACCCTTTCGCCACCCACGACGACCGGCACTAGCAGGAGTCGCGCGCCCAGAGAAAAGCCAATTACGCTCAGCGATATTTTGCCAGACGACCCCTCGCTTTACGATAAAATGGCACCACCCAAAGTTGAAGGTGCAAATTTCTGTTATGTAATAATATTTCACCAAAATTTTATAGAAAAATCTGGTGGACGGGGAAGTCATTTAATTTATTCAATCAATTAGGCATTTCTCCAATTTGTGCAAAAAATGCAAATATTTAGTAATAAATTTTCCATAAATCCAAAAAAATTTTACAATATATATCAACAAATTCCATTTAGAGTATTTAATAAGAAAATTGTTTCAGATCGGCCAACAATAGTCAGATTCCACGTCACTGTGATGAGTTTAGACTCCATAGACGAAAGCTCAATGGTAAGCATTCATACTTTTTATTTTTCTTAACTTAAATTTAAATATTAAATTAATATTTTAAAAGTGGACAAAACTATCCATCGGAAGGGCCTAATTTCCATAACTTAAAACACAAATTTACTTTCATTTGAAAATTACATTTTTGTTAATAAACAATTTAACTCTCAGGATTTTTTTTACCTTTTGTGCATCTCAATTTTTTCCATAATTTATATAATTTGGTTTTCATTTTTATAATTCGACAAAACGAATTCTTATTAATTCTTTGCCTTTTTGCATAAATTCCTGTTGTATTTATTTGAAATAAATCACTGTGGCCAGAGCAAAGGCAGTGGTTTTGCATGATATTAAATTATTCAGTTTCCGCAAACCTCAACCCCGTTTCGCTTATGAGCAAAATCCACGGGGAACGCCGTCCTACCTAGGCTAGATTGCTTCTGACGTGTTATTAGCAATGCTCTCTGTACGAATGCAATTAGAACAAAGTACGTACAGTAATCTGAAGCACCCTCTCAATTATGGACACGTAGCGCTGCAGTAAATAATTAACGCGCTCTTACAAGATTTCATCTAGGTCAAGGAGGTTTTGACTGCAGAATTTAAATAATTTAAATATTTGTTTCTATAATAATTTATTTTTATATGACGACGACTTTCTTATTTTATTATTTTCGTTGACTTGTGGCAAGTTAAAAATAATTAATTCCTCAATGCTAATTTAATAAAATTTTGATTAAATTTTTAAATTCGTCTTGCCGTTCTCGAATTACAGACGTTCGTGGCCGACGTGTTTTTCGCGCAGAGCTGGGAGGACTATCGGCTGCAGCTGCCGGAGAACATGACCGGCGGCTACCGCCTGCTGCCCGTCAGTTGGCTCAACGAGGTCTGGCGACCGGACTCGTTTTTCAAAAACGCCAAAAAGGTCACTTTCCAAGAGATGACCATTCCCAACCACTACGTCTGGATCTACAACGACAGCACCATCCTCTACATGGTCAAGTGCGTATTTTATTGTGAAAAACAATTTTTTATCTTCTAATTTTTTAATTAAATATATCAGTTTTTTATATTTCTTATTATTATCAACAGAGTTTTGATCAAAACATTATATGGAGATCAAAAACGCTCCAATTAAAGAAACTGTCAATTTTGATGGTAAAAACGTTATTTTTTTTTCTTATAAATTTAATGAGTCGTTTTGAAAACTACTTTAAATTTCAGGCTGAATTTGCTGCTTTCGTGTGCTATGAATTTCAAAACGTATCCGCACGACACGCAGAGTTGCGCTTTAAAAATAGAAAGCTGTGAGTTATAAATTTTTTCCTCATTAATTATTCTATAAATTCGTTTTTTGTTTTTAAGTATCGCACACAACGGACGACTTAGTGTTTCTGTGGGACTCGCAAATCCCGTTGGTGGTCGACAGAATCGAGCTGCCGCAACTCGACCTGGTGAAAAACGAAACCGGTGATTGCACCCAGGTCTATTCAACGGGTACGATTTTATTTTTATTCCAATGCTCATTGTCATTCAAATTATTTGCAAAATCAAAAAATTAGTTCAAATTGTCACATTTTTATCTAGATTAATTAAATGTAATAAATTTTAACTGATATGAACCGTGACATTCCAATTCCAAGAGAAAGAATTGGAATAAAATTTAAGCCAAGCAAAAGTTTTTACATCCATAATCGGGAGTTTACAAATTTATTCCTGGGGGTAAAAGTGAAATAGAATTTTATTCAATGGAATGAGGTTAAAATGGAATTTTTTTACTCAGTATTTTATAATTTTTTAATAAATTTCTTTTAATCAGGCAACTTCACGTGTCTCGAGGTGATTTTTACGCTGAAACGGCGCCTGGGTTACTACCTGTTCCACACTTACATCCCCACTTGTCTGATTGTGATAATGTCCTGGATCTCGTTCTGGATCAAACCGGAAGCGGTTCCTGCCAGGGTCACCCTCGGAGTGACCTCACTCCTCACCCTCTCCACGCAACACGCAAACTCACAAAAGTCTCTTCCGCCCGTTTCATATATAAAGGTACACAATATTCAATGTTATATAATTTTTTTTAAGTAATATTTTTTATTTTTTAAAAAATGCTGGAATTAAAATTTATTTAATACATAGTAGTATTAACAGTTTCCACATTATATATAAATTAAATTTTTAAAGAAAACTGCCAAGCTAAGTTCCAGAAATTCTAGTAAATTTCATGAAAATGATACTTTTTTCATAGCTAAATTTAGACCGGTCTGAAAATAAATCAAATTATATGCATGAAAGAAGGGGTGAACAACTTGCTCTGCGGTTAACATGTCCACTCGAGTCTCGGAATTTGCATTCGGGCGGGTGTCCTAACCTGTTTCTGCGCGCCTCGAATTCTTGTTGAGCTAAAGTTAGCCTCGGTATCGGCGGTGATCGGCGTCGCGAGTGGCTGCTGCCGGGCTAGGACACATCATGCCCTCCCAAATGCTTAGCTCAGCACTTGTTCCGAAGGGAGAGTGCCCGGCGCGCACCCCACAAGCACCCTTGATAAAAGCAGATCATCTCCGCGTGTGCACAATAAAAAGACTCAATTACCACAGGCATTGCGTGCGCCAAACTCGCGAAATATTAATAATCACCCTCAGACTTGGAAAGTCCACTAAATTCATCTTTTCACGATCCTTTATTCTTTTAAGTTTATTTCTTTCGATCTCTCGGCAAATTAAACAATTTTCACTCGGACCGATAAAATTTGTTATTTTTTCGTAGCTCAATGTAAATTTCATTTAAAATTTTATAGCATTCAAGAACTGGCAACTTTGCTTGCGTTTTTTTTCACAGACTTGAATCATGAATTTTAAATGGTTATAAATGTTTATGATACCTTTTGTTTTTTTTTCTAGTAAATTTTCTTTTACTTTTCTGCTCATTTTAAAACTTAAATACTCAAAATATTTAAATTCTAGTCTACAAAAAATAAATTTGGAATATTTTTCACTTTCTCTTGAGAAGCCTCAACAAAAAGATATAAACAAAAATTACGAAAATTTAATAAAAATATTCATCTCTTACCTTTGGTCAGGCGATTGACGTCTTCATGTCGACGTGCACCATCTTCGTGTTTTTCTCGCTGATGGAGTACGCGTTGATCAACGTGATCCTCGGTGACTTTGTCGACTCGGACCAGTCGATGCTCAAACGTAGCTTCCGCTCCATGACCAAACGCTTCAGCACCAGGTTGCGCAGGTCTAAAAACAAGACGAGAAAGGGCAGCAACGTCAGCAGAGTAAATATTAACTCATTTTATAATAATATTTTGAATAATATCTATTAATTCATTTTTATTTCATCAAACTAATTTATTTAAAAATTAAATTTAAATATTTTTTAATCTTAAAATGTAATTTATTTTACAATGATATTAATTTTTTCACCCCATTTAAATTAATTTCTTTATAATTTCAATTTAATTTATTTCCTTCATTAATTTTAATAATTTATTAAATTTTCAATTTAATTAAAAATATCAATGAATTTAATTTTATTAGTATTATTTTTCATTCAATTAATTTTATATCCCCATTTAAGACATTTTTTTAAAAATTTTTATAAATATAAATACAATATATTTTAATCCCTTAATTAATTGTCATAATTTTTAATTTTATTCATTTTTCAAAAATTTAAAATTTTTGTTTGGTTATTAATGAATTTAAGTTTTCAAACAAATTTTTCATACAAATTTAAGTCTGATTTTATAATTTCAATTTCCTTAACAGATTTTAATGATTTGGAAATTTAAAAAAATCCAAATTCTATTTTTTTTTTAATTTTCATTTGAATATTTGCAGATGTCCGACGGTGGACAGTCGGCCTCGGAACTAGAGGACGCGGAGGCTGTGGTGGCCGCGACGGCGGCCGCCAACTCGGCCAAGTACCGCCTCCGGACGGACCACCAGACGTGCAGACGCCGCGCCATCCTCGTCGACCAAGTGTCCAGAATCCTCTTTCCCTTTTTGTTCAGCGTTTTCAACGCCGCTTATTGGATCATCTACATTTTCATTTATGTAGACGAGCCTCTGCAGTTTTGAACTGTTTTCCTTTTTAAATAGAATTAAAACTTTGAAATTTGATACAAGATTGAATTAGGGCTGGGAATAAAAAGCGACTCTTTTTTATTGTAACTTCAAAAAATATACATAATTTGATCTAATTCTTGCCACCTTTGAAATTAAAATTTTTAATTTTTTATACTTTTTGCATTCATAGAATATCAAATGTGGCTTTAAAATGTGCTAAACATTACCAACTAAAAAAAGCATTATTTTAATGCAAATTTATTTGTTAGCCCAAAATTCATAATTCCATGTACAAGAATTACATAAAAATTGTTCTTTTTACATGCAAAATAACAGACACACGTTTTTCTGAAATTGACCACATTTTTGAAAATTCTTTTGTCACTTTATTCCCAGAGATGAATTAATATTAAGATTCCGCGCACAAATGTGTAGAAAAACTGTATTACATACTAAATGCAAAATAATGTTTAATAATTATATAAGAAAAAGCAATTTTATGAATCAATCACGTTTTTTATGACGCGGTTCCATTTTAATTTTAAATAATTGTAATACTGACGTTTAAAAGCACAAGATTTAAATTATAAGAAATGTAGCAAATAAATGAAAATGTTACAAAAATAAAACCAAAAAATGAGTTTTACTTTGCATATTGTTATGGATATAAAAAAAATCATTGTAGCTTGAAAAGTTTAATGCAATTTTCTTGCATTAGTAAATTAATAATGTTGAAATGTAAGAAATCGAACGTGTACTTTAGTTTATTTAATTATGCATTTGCGTACATAAAGTAATACTAATAAAGTGCTTTTTCGGTATTTCAGAAAGAAAAAATATACATACCTGTAGGTTAAATTTTTAAAATGGAAAAAATTCGGCAAAATTGACGCGGTCTGAGTCTGGAAATTTCAAATTTTTAGGTCTGATGAGTGAAAATGGTAGACCAGACAGTCCTCAAATTTACATCAATTAATTTTCATGTTAATTTATTCTTAAAATACCCAACTATCGCCACGCTGCGATGGAGTGGTGGAATGTTCTGTAATTTTCACATTTTATCCAAATCATCGTTTATTAATTAGATCGACGGTGAGTTCATTTGTGCCAGCCAAAGGATTATATTGCTATAAAATAAATATTAACCTCAAATTTTCTCTTCGTTAGGCATTTTCTTAAGAAAGCGCTTCAAATACAATTAAATTTTGAGACGCAATCCTAATATGGCAAACTTTTATGTAATTCAAGTCTTCACAAAACATAACGAGTCATGGCAACATGAGAACCTGCAACCTGTGCTGTAAAGAAAAAAAACCGACGAAAACTGTAGAAAAATTCCCAATACCACGATATTTATGTGATTTGTACATAAATCTCTTGAATCATGCAAAACTAATATCAAAATTTCGCGGAAAATTAGGAAAATTATAATGGCTTCTTATGGTATTTCATAAAATCGGTACTCACAAAATGTCCTGCGTAACGTTTTTGCTGAAAATAACTTGCGTATATGTAATTAAGAATTAAGACTTGCCAGACATGATCGCTAAGTTTCTTTTTTAACAAACCTGCGGATGGATCGTCCTCTTCCTGCAGAAATCCACCTATTCCACCTTCAACTGCACGAGATACGGCTTTGTACATTGTCTTTCCGCAAAAACCACGAACAAAACTAACAAGATGAGAGAGATTGGAATGAAAGGAATTTCCAAGGCCGCAATTGGCCGCAATTCTGAGAAATCTCCTCTCTTTTTCTCCGCACGTGTGGATTGTGGATGCTGCCGCCATCTGTGGTGCAAAACGAAACTACGCTGACAGAAGTGACAGATGACGATCGGCGCGCGCATCAGACGGAAGGGAAGTGAAAACATGGCGGTGTAGTCTGGAGGGTTTGTGATCGCAGCAGCAGGGATGTGCTGAGAGGCACGGTTATGGTCTGTCCGCACCATTTTACGGCCGCCGAAACCAGTGCATGACCCGAGAATGCAAACCCAGGAGCAGGAAAAGCTGTCCAGCAGCACGCTGAAGGTAACCCGCGGCCACTTTTCCCCGATTCCCTCGGCCCCTCCGAAATCAGCGAATCGTTGTTTATGTCTGTCACCTTCAATGTTTTTTTCCAAAATGTGTACGCCCGATGAAGTTTCTTCGACTTTTGAAGCTGCTAAAACCTACTTGAAAGAATTTTATTGAATAATCCACAAAGTAAACGTTTTTACCGGATTTTTTTTAGTTGTATTGAAGAGATTTAGCAAATATATTGATTTGGTCCAACACTTGCAGAGGAACCCAAAAATGGACCTGAGCAGCACCGACTTGCTGAAGCTGCTGAGCCACCTGGAGGGCGAGCTGCAGGCCAGGGACGTTGCGATTGCCGTTCTGAAGGTGCGTAAAAACACTTGGATGAATATTTTTTTTTATAATCTTGAGGTTTTTCGTCAGTCGGAAAAGGTGAAGCAAATGCTCGTACAAAACCGCTTCCGGTCTCCAGCAGCCCAGTCGGAGCCGATGGCCGCCCTTCAGAGGGACAGCACGCAGGTCAAGGACTCGAGGGTGGACGAGACCCAAATCAGAGCCCTGGCGGACCGACAGGTTGCCTCCATCGAAAATCTCATCAGGCAAAACAGGAAAATGCAAATTCACATGGCCAAAATCCTCAAGGACGCCGAGGATAGACACAGAAAGGTAAAAACTTTGGTTATTTGTGCACTTACAGTAGCGAGCACCCTGTCTGATTTCTTCTCTTTTGCCTGAGTAAATTTAAGAAGAAAAGAAAAGTAGAATTGTGAAACGTTTTGAAATTTTCGTTTGAATGATGGGTGAATTTCAAATTATTAGGTGGTGCAGGAGTTGGAGGAGGAAAAGTGCAAACATGAGCATGACACGGCACAAGGGGATGATATCACTTATGGGTTAGAAAAGGACAGAACTCGATTGAAGCAGGTATATTTAGAATTTGGATATAGTTTATAAGTTCGATTCTCTTCGGACAGATTAAAAAACTAAAAATTTGAGGAGATTTATTAGAGGATTTAAAATTATCTCAATCTGTAGATTTAATTGTCTTTTCTGATTTCAAATTTCAATCCGTAGGAACTCGATATCGAAAGATTGGCGAAAAAGAAACTGGAAAAAGAACTGAAAAAAGCTTCGGAGCTGGCGGAAGAGGAGCGAGAAAAGCAGAAACAAATTGTTCTGATTTTACTGGAGGATCGGAAAAAAGCCATCATGAAGTACATTGAGGAGAGAAAACGGTCAGAAGATTTAGCACAAGTAAGTTTAACTTGATGACAAAAAGTTGGTGACTCACATATTTTGTAGATTCTAAGTGAGGAAAAGGGTCGAGTCGACTCTATGGCCGAAGGACTGGAGGAGGAGAGCAAAAAGGCTTTGCAGATGGAGGCCGAGCTCGAAAAGCACTTGGCCGAGTTTGACACCGAGCGGCAGCAATTGAAGGCAGCAGTAGCAAAAGAGGAGAAAAGGTAGAATTGTTCAAGTCAATGAAAGGTCATTTTAAAATAATTTTTTCGAACAGAGCCCGAGAGGCAGAAATCGAGTTGGAGGCCCTGAAGCGGAAGTACATGGACGGTGCTGCCGGCCAGTCGGCAACAATGAGGCCTCGACCTGGTGTTGCGCCTCAGCTGGTGCCCAAACCTGCCAATTTGACCGCAGCTGGTACTAATTCAGTTTATTCGTGATAACTTTTTCACAATGCTTTTTCATAGGCATGACAAGCAGCGTTGTCTCAAAAGTCGTCCAGCCGACTGCTACCGTTTCTAGTGTTCCTGTCTGCGCACCAAGTAATTAAACATTTTGATGTAAAGAGATGATCAGAATATTAATCCTTTGAATTTAGCTACAGGGATTGCAAGGTCCGTGTCTCCAGGCCAGACATTGCGACCTGCTGATGCAGCACAGCCAAACCAGGTATGCTATGTTTTTAGTAAAATATTAAGTAGATACTAAGAGTTCTTGTGTTGCTTAGATTGTATTAAGATTGAAAGATAAAACAATTTAATTTGTTGTCTTTTAACTATTTTACATAAAAATTAGGCTTTTCGTCGAAGGGTTTTTTTTATTTTTTTTTTTTTTATTGTTTGTTGTTTTATATTGCTTAAATTAATACTACTAGAAGAAAAATCCCATTTTGACTAAAAAAACTTGGTTTATGAGAATATTAGATATTTTAAAGAAGTTGTCGACTAATTGTAATTTAATGTTTCAGAACATCCCCACTAGTCCAAAGTTATCTCCTGTGACAAATTTGATGCCCTCAACCGCAACGGCTCCGGCCGTTAGCCCAGTAGCCAAAAAAGTTGCCCCAGTCGTACGCGGGACCCCTCCTCCGGTGCCGCCTAACAAGCCCGTCATTCCACCCAAGAAGCCAACCGACCTAGATCCTAAGACGAGCAAGGTCTGTCTCAAATTTTCCCCTTTTTTCTACAGCAGAAACTGACTTCCATTATTAAATTTCAGGTTCTGTCATGACTTCAGAACAGAAATTCCACAGCTCCGGACTGAACTTACTCATGTATGTAAAAGCGATTTGCGAAACATTTCCAAGTGCGGAAACTTCCACCTCCGATTGGGCACTACTTCCATAGGTATATTATTTGGATTCCAACTTTACTTTGACAAGAACACAGGGTGCATTTTCTCACATTCGATCAACCCTGCAGCTGATTTTACCTGCCACGTTTACTACCCCATCAGAGACATGTCGGAACTTTTTTTAGTTCGCAACTTTTCACGAAAGGTCTCGAAACAATTTTCACTGTTTGTGATACTGCATTTTTTAAATTAATTCTCTTTAAAAGAAGACATATCCAACTTTTTTATTGTATTGATTTACTTTTAGCTCAGAAGTTTAATCAAAGGGCAACTTTTCGCAATGGTCATAATTGCTACTTATTCCAAGAGTCATTTTAGTCCATTCAAAATGTTATGTAATGGAATAATTTTCCATTTAAAACTACTTATGGAATATGACGTGCAGAATTTTGATTTCCCAGAAAATTTGAGCTCCTGAACTTTCCAATTATTGACATTTATATTTTGTACATAACACTAAAAACCAGAATCTGCGTTTTTTTACGCCTGCTGCTCTTCTTATTTTCATAGTCATCTTTTACAGACACTTATGCTTGCCCTCTGTGTGAATAATTACTCTTTCGTATATAATTATTATTATTATAAATTATGTTCTGTGCAAAGAGAGATATTTATTCACTTTGTAGATAATTTTCCTACTTATACTCCTTGCATTATGATTAAAGATAGGAAGCTGCAAAATGTGTACCCCACATCACAAAATTTACTCGATTAGATGCAAAGTATTTACTGTTAACCATGATAATTGTAAATGTGAACAAAAAACTTGAGTCTTTGTTCTCGTTGCTCGAATGAGATTAATTAAACTTTAGTCGGTTTATTAAGTTAGATTTATCGAGCAGATTTTTACACTGAATGAAAAAAAACGGCAGCTCCGTGAGTTTTAGCCCTATTTGGCCAACATCGCAGCTTATATGATTGACGGGCCGTACCAGACAAAACTATATACACTGCAATGGACTTCCAAACTTAAATTATTGAATTAGGGCAGTCAAAAATTTCTACATGTTACTTTCCCCCGGCCATAAATGATCTTTCAATCATCTACGTAAGAAAGGAAATAAACAATATGTTTGTATAGGATAAATTATTTTATTTGTCGAATTGAATATTTTGTTTGGAACTCTATATTATTATTACGTCAAGACGTGTTCAATTCCAACCCCCTCAATAAAAAGCAAATTGCGACATTTGTAATAAAAAAAGTTTGGGTTTTTCTTTCTTAAAAATATTCAGTCTTGATTTAAGCTTCAATTGTGAACCTCCTGGCCATTCGATTGATAAAGTCGGGCCTCTCGGGCGCTGGAACCTTTTGGTACTTCCACATTATGTAGGTCGCAGCAGCATTGGCCGCCAAAAAAATCGCCCCGGCCAAAGCCACCGGCTGAACAAATCAATTTAAATTCTCCAAATTTTACTTGGGACTTTTGCACTTACCGCGGGGACTGCGTGAATGGGGTCTCCAGCTGAGCAGTTGGTGATGCTCAAAATGCAGATCACCACAACCAAAATCGCCGCCACCGAAGATAACACCACATCCTTCAGTTATTTCAAATCATTTAAATTCACTACTTTTATGTCTTTCTTACCAAGAGAGCCCAAAGGTCGAGATTTCTTTTGGCAATGGCGAGGAGAAAAACGGCGTAAAGAACTAACCAGATGAAAGTGATGGAGAACATCACCGCCGGGAATAAAATTTGGTCCCAGTCAGGTGAGTTCGGGCACCTGGATGAACTGACGTAAATTATCCCACTGACCAGGAAAATCACCTTAAGTTACAATAAAAATTTTAAAAAATGAACTAGAATTGGTATAAATTAAATTTTACAATAAGCAAGAATTTGAGCACTCCTGGAATGGAGATGATGTAACTCCCACTTGAAAAGCGCTTCCGTACTGTGGCACTGTTGTCCGACTGGCTGGACATGTATGAAGACACTCTGCTTGGCATCTCTTTATTTTTTAAATAAAATTTGTTGTTTAATTTTTTTAGTTTAGAATTTACCTGATTTTGGTGCCTTGAGATGTTGGAGTGACAAAGAATGTTGCCGTTAAGGCCGAGGATTTATTTTTTAATAGACAAGACAGCAATATGGACTTTGTTTGAAGAATTATATTGTAATCAATCTCTCGAGTTGGGCGTTTTTGACTAACTAGGAAAATCATTATTGCTTATCGCATGACATTTTCTGTGAAATCGATTTGCTGATAAGAAAACGGTCCTCGATTGGGATTCACATATTCATGTATTAGCAAGAGGCCCCAGATAATTAATTGTTTTCACAATTATATGCGATAAGCAGATGAGATATAACCAGGCGCAAATCTACGTCAGTGCATTGGACTTTTAAATGAAGCTAATAAAATAACAATGACGTTCCTACATATCAATAATGTGTCAAGGTGAAGGTTATAATGAATTATAAATTAATTTTTAACTGAAATTTCAAATTTTATTAGAATATTAACTCAGCATAAACGATACGGAATGAATCCGCCTTGGATTTTATGTTAAATTTTAATGAAGAATTTTACTGAATTTTCATCCGCACTATGCGAAAAGTTAAAATTTTGAATGAGAATTCTTGATGGAGAGAATAGCAAACCTCCAAACAATTGAATATACAAATTAAAAACAAATAACGGTTTTTGCTCAAATTCACAATGCAAAATGTTGTTGTTTTTTTTTTAAATTTCTCAATTTTATAATAAATTGCGTGCCAAAGAATGTGAAAAAACAAAGCTTGGATGCGACAGAACCAATTAAAAAATTCACAATAAATGAAATGCCGAAGGTAAAATAATATTTTACAATGAAAAAAAAAATCGCTAAGGAATTATTTAAAAAATTTTTTTTGAGAATTCTTGGAAACCGAATTTTTTAAATCGTCGCCATTTCAAACCGACATTTCTTTTCGCAGTTGAAAGGAATTTGTATAATTTGAAATAGCCATAGAATTCACATGGTTTTTTTGCACAAAACAATAATGGATAAAAACAGAGTAGAAACTTCGGTGCCAAAATTCAGCCGCTGTTCTGGCCAGGGTGGTGTCGGCCAGTTGCAGTCCCTGCCAAAGAAGGACAGACCTCGGCCCGAAGAGCAGGACGTCCCATCAGACACGTACGAGATTCAGAATTAATTACGAGAGCGCGCGGCCACTTTGCGTGCTTTTGCAAGAGTCGAACAATTAGAGAGCTCCGAGCCAAACGAGTGTTCAAAAAATAAATCAAAATTCAAAAAGTGGTCGACATGAATACTTTTACAAAACAGATTTTATATTTTCAAATCAATTAAGAATTCTTTCACATTGAACCAACTTTGCTTTCAAAATAAAGATTATTTTTATAATTTTTATCAAAATTTTTCCAAGTAAGAATTATTGAATGCAGCAAAGAGGAGTTTTAAAATGAATTTTAAACAATATAAAATCATGCACAGTTAATTGTGCCGTTTGTTTGGTAGAAGAATGAATAAAAACTACATTGTTATTATAGTTTACGTGCTTTTGGATCATGGTGTTTGTTTATTTCGGATAAGAACGAGAAGACCATGAACGGCGCTAGCAGTGATGAGGCAATTCAAGACCAGAAAGGGATCCACCTTGATGTCCATCCAGCTTTGGACTTCTTCGATGGCGGCGTCTGATCGTCGTTGCATGTCGGGTCCACTTCACGACATCGCTTCTGGCAGGCCTTCTCTTCAGCCAGCAGTTTCCTTCAACTCCTCCTCCAAAGAAGCGACCCTGACATCGATGCGCATCCGCGTCGCGGCCAGCAGGTCTCCCTCATGCTCGACCAACGTTTTCACGTCAAACCTGGCATTGATGGCGTTGATGGCATGATGACAAGCAGTTGACACTCGGCGCAGGTGTTCGACGGTCTCCTGGGTCTCAACAGCCAGCGTTGTCCTGCCTTGGGCGTAGAGTTGACCGGCGCAGACCAGCATCTCCTGCTTATGTCTGTGAAAAAATAATAATACAAAATAAATGTAAATTAATGATGAAAAAAATTCAATTAGGCGTCGCAATTAAACAAATCTGAATAAATAAAACAAAAAACGGTATACTCACTCATCTGCCTGGTGACGGGTCAGCCGTTGGAGGCCAAGTAGATGAAGATGAGTGGTCCAGCCATCCCGGAAAACTGAGCCGTCGCGGGCTGGATTTGCGCGACGGCATCGAAGTTCTCGTGGACCTCGGGAGGGCCGCAGTTCTCTTCAAATTCCAGCAACTCGACGCTGCTGGCCTTGCGTGTCAAGTCCTTGACTCAAGCAAGGATGCGATTGTAATCTGTTGGCAAGCAAATTCTCACGTTTTTATATTAAATTTTTTTTTCAAAAGCGACGCTTCTTTGCTTGTACCAAAAGTCACTGGCGCAACCAATGGAAAAGGACCAAAAAAAATATAAGCTAAAAGCAAACTCACGAATGGTCGGTGTCAAAGTTGAGCCTTTGCACGGTTGGGTCGTGGAGGAAGAGGATCATAGAAGGACCCGAACATGGAGGGTGGCCAAAACGACGTCAAACGCCGCGAACTCGTCGTCTAACTCGAATGAGTCGCAAATCGAGGAAGGAACAAAAGCCTTGGGCATGAACAAGGTGTCGATCATGTCGTCTTCGCTGGCCTGCCTCATCTTGCGACGCATGTTGAATTTTAGACTAAAAATTAGAGACGGGAATTCAATTTTCAAACAGAGAGTTTAAAACAAGACCGAACAGTGCGGAATTCAAAATCGGAGTGACAATTCGTCGAGGCAACAATCAAGAATCAATCACCATGGAAACGAAATAACGGTTTTTTTGCTTTCACTCGCACATCCAACAATGCATTTTTTCTTTTATTCTTTCAATTTATTTTTGATAATTTTAATAATAAAAAACAGTTCAAATACGTTATCTTTTCCGTAGAAAATATTTTTCTCAAATAATAAAATTGAATAAAATGAAATTGTTTTAGCACCATTTACTCTACGATGCACGGCGCATTTGAATTTCTCAATTCCCACCATTGATTCCATGATCCCGTCTCATATTAAATGAAACATACACAAGCGTGTACAAACTTGCGTAAAAATATCACATATTTTACAAATTAATAATAAAATATTATTATTATTTTAGCTAATAATGATCACGTGACCTGACAATAAAGAACTTTTTCGCTTCGACTTTATAGGCTGTCAAAGCGTCACGCTGTTATTGAACTCGCGATTGAATGCAAAATACATGCAAATTAATAATAAAAATTTTTTAATAAAAAAAACGGTATACTCACTCATCTGCCTGGTGACGGGCCAGCCGTTGGTGGTCAAGTAGATGAAAATTAGCGGTCCAGCCATCCCGGAAAACTGGGCCGTCGCGAGCTGGATTTGCGCGACAGCATCAAAGTCGAAGAACGCCGCGAATTCGTCGTCCAACTCGAATGTGTCGCAAATCGAGGATGGAACAAATGCCTTGGACATGAGCAAGGTGTCGATCAAGTCGTCTCTTCACTGGCCTTCCTGATCTTGCGACGCATGTTGAATTTTAGACTAAAAATTCGAGACGCGAATTCAATTTTCAAACAGAGACGAGTTTAAAACAAGACTGAACAGTGCGGAATTCAAAATCGGAGTGACAATTCGTCAAGGTAACAATCAAGAATTCACCATGGAAACGAAATAACGGTTTTTTTTACTAATTCATTCGCACATCCAACAATGCATTTTTTCTTATATTCTTGACATTTATTTATGACAATTTTAATAATAAAATAATAAAAAACAAATCAATTAATACAAATTAATACAAATTAAATCAAATAATACGTTATTTTTTCGTAGAAAATATTTTACTCAAATAAAAAAATTGAATAAAATTTATTAGCAAGGATGCGATCGGAATCTGTTGGCAAGGAAAATTCTCACGTTTAAAAAAAAACACGCGACGCTTATTCTTTGCTGGTAATTAAGACACAAGTCGCAGGTGAAACCAAAGGAAAATGACCAAAAAATATAAAATAAATAAATAAAAGCTAAACGCAAACTCACGGATGGTGTCAAAGTTGAGCCTTTGGACGGTCGGGTCGTGGAGGAAGAGGATCAGAAGAAGAACCCGAACGTGGAGGGTGGCCAAAACGACGTCGAAGAACGCCGCGAATTCATCGTCCAACTCGAAGGAGAGTCGCAAATCGAGCCGGGAACAAAAAGCCTTTGGGCATCAAAAGGGTGTCGATCAGTTCGTCTTCACTGGCCATCCTCATCCTGCGACGGATTTTCAATATAAGTTGTTATTCGCGGCGCGATTTCAATTTTCAAACAGAGAGTTTAAAATTTGAGACTGAACAGTATGGAATTCAAAATCGGAGTGACAGTTCGTCGACTTCGTCGAGGCAACAATCAAGAATTCACCAGCTTGGAGCGCCACTCAGGTAAACATGCGCAGTGCGCATGCACCAAGGCAAATAAGTTTTGGAGGAGATGCGACGTTTTCGGGAGAGACAGTAAAAATGGCGGAAATTCGTATCCTTCACACCTTGGATGTATTTGTTTTGATTTTCCTTTTCATTTCATCATCTTTCTCTTCATTTAGCGACGGACCTTGTTTTGGTCGCAAATTGTTGAATTTTCCTCGCTTTTCTCCTTGGCAAATTTGGCCTCGATTAGTGCATAGCATATAGGTGAGTTTAAAGCTATCGAAATGTCAAAACTTCTCAAAATTTCCAGAGCTAGGGATTTTCTGCAACAGCTGTTGAAGAAAAACGCAAAAGAAGATTTAATATATTTACTGTTTTTGTGATATTTTTCTATAAACTCCCCGATTTTTTCCATCTGTGCGACCTATTTCTGTGAAAGAATTCCTTTATTTAGTTGTTCTCAAGCTTCGACCGTTCAACCTCGCAAAAATTGAGTCCAAATCTTTGTCACTTCTTGCTGCCAACATTTGTACAAATAATATTAAGCAAAATCCTTTTTTTCTCTTTGTGTAGTGTGCTAAAGCTAGAAAGTAAGAATGGAGGGAACTCCAGATCAGGTACATAAATACAAGTTCAAAAATAAGTGTGATGTGTGCTTTTTTGTTGTATTTTTGAGGTTGTTTTACCAAATTCAGTTTATTAGTTTCTCATGAAGAGAAGAAATAAAAAATTATTATCACCTGCATGGAGATTTAATGTTATTTAATTATTGTTGCTATTTTTTATTTGAAAATTATAAACTAATGAGTGAAATTTTTAGGCTCTTAGCAAATCGAAAAGGAAGAGGCTTCGAAAGAAGCTGAATAAACAAGGGCCTAAGGAAGACGGTGGTGAGGCCCAAGCTGAAATCGAAGAAGTCAAAGGGGACCTTCCACCTGTACCCTGTTGCTGCGCAAAGTCTTCTACACCACCTTTAATTGAAGAAGTAAAACTAGATGAGTTAGTGTGTTCTGATATTTCTACACCAGGTAGGTTTCAAAATAATATTGATTATTTGGATGAGATTTTATTTTAAAATATTAAACTAGTTCCAGAAGTCGAGGGGAAATATTTGGGAAAAGTCGAGTTGGTCGAAGAAAAATTAAAAATGGATGAGGCAAAACCAGAGATGACCAGGGAGGAAATAATGGCTGCTAGGAAAGCAAAAAAGGAAGCTAAGAAGGGAAAAGAAAATAAAAAAGCCGAGCCAAAGAATGAGCCAAAAGCAAAAGAAAGCGTAGCGGCTCCGAAAGAAAAAGAACTTCCGAAGGTGGAGCCGAAAAAAAAGGAAAAACGAAACGAAAGCGTTGCCGCTCCTAAGGTAAAAGAGATTCAAAAGGAAGAAGTAAAGAAAGAAATTGCTTCACCTGAACCGGCCCAGCAGCAGAAGAGCAACAAAGAACTGAAGGAGGAACGAAGACTCAAACAAGTAGTCTTTTAAATTTTCATGTGCACCAAAATACTAATTGAATTTGCTAATCAGGAAGCACAAAGAGCTGCCAAGGCACAAAAGGACAAGGAGAAGGGTCAGAGCAAGGAGATGCCAAGCAAGCCAGTGCAACAAGCTCCAGCTCAGATTGTGAAAGCGCCAGCTAAAGTAGTTCGACCAGCTTTGCATGGACTTGCAAGGACTGTGGCAGCCATGAAGAGGGAAAATGCTTTTCCTCAAAGGTAATTGAAGTATTTATGTGGAGGTTGTTGATTTATTGTTTCATTTATATAACAATTTAATTTTTTGCTTAATTAGCGAATTATCTGAGATCCACCCAGCATTTCTGCAGCTTGGAGCCCAACTCAGGAGTCGGTTGGTCGATGGCTGCACTGCCAGGTCAGTTGCCCTGACGCGTGCCCTGATGCAGCTGATCAACGACTACCACACCCCTGAAAATGTGGAGCTGGGTCGGCACCTGGCCGAACGCGTCCAACAGCACATGGCCTACCTGGACACCTGCAGACCCAACTCCGTGTCCATGGAGCAGGCGGTCAAAGCCCTCAGGATTAACTCCCTGCCTTACGGGATTGCCGAGACCGAGGCCAAATCGGTGCTCAACAAGGCAGCGTTGGCTTTTGTCAACAAATTGGACCAAGATTCGCAAAGTGTGGCTCTCAACCTTGCTGATAAGATGGGATGCGGAGACGTCATTCTAGTTTATTCTTAGTAAGATAAATTGTTGAAAATCTACAAATTTCATAAATTAAAAGCCTGATTAGAAACGATTTTTAAATTGTTTTAAACATTTTAAAAGGTTAATTCTTGATTATAGTTGGAATGTTTGCAGAATTATAAGCCTCAAAATGTATTTCAAATGCACATTAGAAGTTGTATTTCTACGTGGCTTCCAACTGGATCAATTTATGAAATTTTTGAGGCAGTTTTGGTTTACAAATTACAAGAACTTCTTGTTTTTGCAGCTCACACCTAATTGTCAGCGTTTTGGCAGAATTGATGAAGCAAATCAAATTTCAAGTGGTGGTGGTAGGATCAAAAACGCACAACAGCGGTTTGCGAATGCTGCAGAAGTTGACCGAGATGCAACTCAGCTGCACTTACTTGCTCGTCAATCAAGTCACTTTTATTATGCCCAAAGTGAGTCAATTCAACTTTTGTTGATGACAATAATGTTATCTTCCTTTGTCAATGTTCAGGTGCAGCTGGTTCTGCTCGGGGCAGATTCAATGACGGCCAACAGCAGCATGATTGGTCCTGCCGGCAGCGCCCAGTTGGCCACTGTGGCCAAAGCCCAAGGAGTGCCTGTTTATGCCTGTTGCGAAACAAATAAATTCAGCTACCAATCTCATTTGTCTCCTTTCTACCAGCAGAACGAGCTAGGTATGGATGTTAAAAGCAGCATAGTGTTTTTGTTACAATTTAATTTTTGTCCTCAATAGTGCCTAATTCTGTTGCACCTCAATTGAAGAATTTGCCGAAACTGACCCAATGCTCTCTGTTGTACGATGTTGTGCCTGAACGGCTGATAACTGCAATCCTCACCGAGGTGTCTGTTCTTCCGTGCTCTTCGGTACCCGTTGTCCTGCACATGCAGTCTTCCGACACTGTTCTGAAGACAAGGACAAACTAAATAATTAATCTATTTGGTAAGTTTTATGTATTTAAAGGATCAATTATAAAATGGGAAAAATTTAATGCAATTTTAATATTTTACATTATCCTTATCCTTACTACGAAAATGAAGTGTTTTATTGTGTCTTGACTACAAGATGAATATTTTTATTTACCCGATTTTTGCCGATTTTCTACTTCAATTAATTCTCTACACAGTTTTAGTTATATCTCAGAAGCTCTGGCGTCAATGCTAAGTTTGTCACGAGGAGGCCAGAATAGAACTACAGTGTCACCATAAAACTTATCTTTACTTCAGCTGTGTCGTTGAAAAGAAATTCGGTGGGAAATTTTCCTGTCCTTGAGAAATTGGCAAGATCCTGTTTCATAATTTTTGGATTTAAAACTCATTTTTCACATACAATATTATTTAATGTAAGAAAGAATATAGTAACTAAGCCTAAATTAAAAAAAGGTTTCCCACAGGTTATGTTTTTTCTACATAATCAATTGCCTCTTTTAAATTCTTTTGATGTCAATTTCACTAAACTTTTTTAAGTTCCATGAAAATCGGATATTGAAAATTTGTGGATTTAAAATTATTCCAAATAAAAATTGATAGCAAAATCTTTTAAATTCGGTAAATTCACCATTTGCTTAATTTAATTTAACTGGTGAATCCAAGTGTCACCTACTATATGTAAAGATACAATCATATTCTAAAATAGGGCTGACATATAAGATTTTATTAAATTGTAAATTTTTATACAATTTCCATTATCATTTTATCATTTATTATTTTGACAACTGAAAATCAGATCTTTATTGATATTGTCCTGCGATTTTCCCTCCTCTATTTTCGCACAATGGATCGTGGCGCCACCGGCGGCCGTGGTAGAAACTCAGTGGCCAACAAGTACGAGGCGGATTATGAGCTGCCAGTTGGCTGCGGCCGAAGATCTTCGGCCGCTCTCTGATTGGCTGTTGCGTCTCAACACTGCCGGCTGAGCCACGTGACTGCAGCGCCATGTGTGCTACCTCGGAATATCTGCGTGTCATTGATGTCGGTGGCGGCCGATCTGCGACGGAGACGACCGACGAGGGCCGAAGCGATTGCGAACGCTGCACGCACGTTACGTTAGCAGCAGCGAAAGAAAGGCACGCACGAAAGTTATATCTGAGCAGTGTCGGGCGGTTGGTACATTATTTGGACATCGGTGTCTGCCGTGTGTGTGCGGTTAGCGTGTGTTTGTGTTGTGGTCCGGCCGTGGATGTGTCGTCGGCCGCCGAAGGAGCTGCGGAAGGGTCGCTCGACGCAGCAAAAAGGTGAGAGGCTCGAACAAACAAACGAAGGAAAGGTCGCACGGGTGATTCGCCTTGCTCGCAGACACCTGACTGCCTCGACCTGAGCAAGACTTGAACGACTGCAAATCGAAATTTTCCATCTCGGTCGCGCTCTCCGTCCAGCTCGGAGACGAAAATTTAATCCGTATTTAATTTAGCCCGGCCGAAATTGAACTAATTATACGGTTTGTTTACAAAAATGATGATAAAATTATATGCCAGCTCATTTTTGAATGAGGAAAAAAGTATGAGATAAACAATAATCTCCCATCAACGTGTGGAAGAAGGAAATTTTATTAATTAATCAAAATATTGATTTGGAAACCTATGACTTAAAAATTTAGAAATTCAGTCTTCTAATTGTGTTTTTATTAGTTATGTATGAAGTTTGTAAAATCAAATTTTCAATTATTATCGAGTCGAGTGTGTTTCGCAATTGTCAATTCTGAGAATTAAATAAACAATCTTAATAATCCAAAGAGAGTGAAAAAAACTAGGTTTAAATATAAATTATACAATCAATCTCCATCTTTTGGCCGCAGGAATCATTTCCGCATCTATATTAATGATTTTTGAAGTTTCAATTATTGTTTTTAAAGTCCTTAAGATTTAGAAAGAAATGTCAACATGGTCAAATAAAATTAAAGAAACTCTCTTTTAAACTCAATATTATGAGTTTTTCAATAATTTTGTCTTGCCTAAAGTAAATTTTTTATTAGAAATTTGTATTCCTAATTATAATTTTCAAAGCAATTTGCTTTTAAATAATTCAGAAATTGTTCACAAATGGAAGAAATTGCTGCTATAGTAATTAAATTATACGTTTAATTTAAAAAAAAAATACAATATCTCATTTCATCTATCTGAAATTATTATAATTTTATTTTATTTTCAAATAATTTTTGCCAAATACAGTTTGGCTACAGCAGCCAGCAATGAAGTATTGCAACAAAAACCAGAATCAACCACAATAAAAATTTCCCCGTTTTAATTCATAATTGATAAAAATCAAGAATCAATTTTCAAACAAAGTTCTATGTTATATATATTTTTTTTTATAAATTTCCTTATTTATACAGAATGTTTAAAAACCATGCAATTGAAAGAAAGCAATAATTTTTTGGGAGAAGAATATTGCAATTGGTATCACCAAAAACAAAGATTTTGAATGGTTAAAATTAAATTCAAATCGGAACGACATGAATCGTAAAATAGTATAAATTATTATGTAATAATTTCTAATTTAATTTTAAACAACTCTACTTCATTTTCCCTATAATTTCAGTCCATTTTTTTAAGGAGATTTATGGAGAAAATTTTCAGAATTAGAATTTTTAATCAAAATCTGATCTTTTTTATTAATTATTTCTTTCCTCTTCTAATTTTTTAGAGATAATATTATAATTTTCAATTTGTAAATAACTTTTTAACAACTCAAAACTTCATTTTCCATTGCATTTCAGTCCATTTAAAACGAAAAATGGGGAAACGTTTGGAGAAAATTTGGATTTTTTAAACCAATCTGATCTATTTAATTGATTTTAATATTTCTTCTTCAATTTTTAATAATTTTTATTCGTGCCGAAGTTAAAAAAAAAACTTCTAATTTTTAATTTCACTTTTAATCGTACGTGAATTGTATTTTAAGTAAGGCCTCATAGAGGTTTGCGACGTTTTCGTTTAATGTCTGCTCTGCTTTGGACCGCCAACACAATAAAAGTGTTCTTTTTGTTCTAGTTAGTATTGGACAAGAACAAAAGTTTCGCCGGCAGACGGCATTCGTGTTTTTTTTTTCTTTTAATCTCTTTTTTTTCGTAGTGGAAAAGTGTCTTCATGTCTCGCGGTGAGCAAAGAACGGCCACTTGTGCATGTTTCCTGCCGAAGTGCATTACGATGGGAACCGCGATTTGGTCCGCGGCCCCCCGCCTGCGCCGCCTTTTAAAAAACAGCGACAATGCCCTCGGCTCGCGTATGAGAAAGAACCGAAATCCAGTTACGCGCCAAAAAATCACGCGAGATGGAAAGAATAAAAAAAATATAAAATTTAATTTTTTTTGTCGTGGAAGAAAACAAAAGTCGGAGGCTGCAGCGAGTGTAGGTCTGAATTTGTTGCGTCAGTGCCACTTTTTATTTGCTCGCGGGTGACGTCATCGGCCGATGGAATGAAAACCATTATTATTGCACTCTACGCGCGTGTGTGTCCCTCTCGCTTGTATTCCTAATGAGCCGATTCAGCGAAAACGCGAGTGAGAAAACTGGAATTCTGCTGCAATGTAGCACAAAACTGTAAAGGCTATTTTAGTATAGAAGTGGCTCGAAATCAATTGGACTGGCGTGTGAGTCACGATTAATAAAGGAATTAAGAAGAAGAAGAAGAGTTGTTCTGGAAATTCTAGAATGTTTCATCTCTAAAAAAAAAGATGCTGCTTTTTACAGAATTTTGAAACATTTGATTGAAAACAGTTTATTTGTAAGAAAATGACATTAAATTTATTATTATTATTTTAATCAATTAATTATTTTATTAATATTCTAATATGGAATTAAATTTTGATGGAATTTTTCTGAAAAATTTAAAATAATTATAAATTTCATAACAAATTTTAATTAAAATGTTTAAAAGAAATAAATTATTTTGCAAGCTCACCTAGTATTTTGAATTTCAAATTAAATTTGGAATTATTTTAAAAATTTGGTTGGAAATCCTGAATTTAAATAAAAATGAAATGAAAATGAACGATTTAGAAAGCTTTAAGAAATTTTTTTATCAATTTTCCGTAAAAGCAGTTGCCAACGATTTATTTTTATCTATTGGCTGGGTGTAATTTTGCGAAACCATTTAACGGTCGAGCGGGTTGCGAGGAAAGAAGCGGCCAAAATTAGCCAAACGCACATCCGTCTACGACTGAATGACAAATCCATTGTCTCTGCGATTCATGTTACGGAAATGTCAAATCATCCGAAATCAGGCCAATATCCTCCCACTTTCATTTCTCCGCCGTATATTAATCTAATCGGTGATGTAATTAAAATTTATTTAATTTAATTTCCGTGTTTGTTTTTTTTTTCCAGAGTGATGTGACAATATGCACATAAGCGCGTCCGAAAATGCGACTCTTGAGCATGGCGACCCACAGCAGGAGCAACTTCCCGCTCGACAGGAATTTCATCAACGCACTCAGCGTGCCTCCTGAAAGCAGGAGCAACCAGGTATATAATTAATCATAAATGCACCTTTGATTCGGGGTCCATCCCTTTCACCACCTTATTTGAGCGCCGGCTCAGGTCGCAAACCCGATTTGGGCATCTTAAAGAAAAAATTTGCATTGGACTTCCGGCTGTCAAAAACAAAATTCATTCATCCTTTAATAAAATAATTTTTATCTGTTTAAGAAAGAACTTTTAATTTAATAAAAATTTCAAGGTTCAATTAAAAAAATTAACCATTTTAAAATTATTTGTAAACTGTAAAAAAATAAAAAATACATAATTTTGGTGTAAAAATAATATAATAAAATAATCCTGGAAAATAATTTGACTTTTGACTGAAATTATTCTGAAACGCGTGTTTTGCTTGTCGCTTAAATGAGTGCGTGACAAATTATTTAAATTTGCATTTTCAGGATTTGCAACACATCCTGATTGGCCTGCGGAAGTTGGAGGTGCTTCCTGACAGCGCCCTCCACTCGGTCTGCAGAGTCGTCCGCTATGAAAGACACGAAGGCAACGACGTTTTGTACTAGTGAGTTTACAATTTTTTTTTTTTAATTTATTCCTAATTCAATTAGTTTTCTTTCATTGATGGAAACAAGAAACAGTTTTCGAACAAAGAAGCTTTTTATGGTTTGCCATTTTTTTAAAGGAATTTATTAATAATTTTCCTCTCTTCCTCAGTTGTTTACTTTATTCAATCAAGAGCCAATAAAAATAATGAAATGAAAGTCGGGAGGCGTTTGTCTCTTTCTCTCTCTGGAGAAGAAGTGTGGTTGTGACATTTGTAAGTCATCAAGTCGGAATGCTGAACGAACGCCTCCCTTTTTCAAGCAGACTTGTGCGAGGCGCTCTGCTGCTGATAAAAAAGTAGTAAAGTGCCGGCCGCCGCATTTTATTTTGGTTTGCATCACAAGAAGGCAATAAAAATAGCTCCCTTAGATAAAGTGAACCACTCCAAAATTTTAACTTCAAGATTTAAGACTTTTTCAAAGGCGAAAGTTTTGATTAATTTAAATAGAAAATTTCTGGCCAAAGATAATAATAATGAATTTAATTGAATTTAATAAAAAAGATATTTTTTCAAACTGCAATTAATTAAAAATTAAATTTATGCATTAATTTTATGTAGCTTTTTAAAAATTTATACAAAAAAAATATAATTGATTCATTTTAAATTTTTTCAAGTCCCAAATGTTGAAAATTAAACTTGATTTAGAAACGAAAACTCCCATTGGTTCTGCTTGTGCATCCGATCGGGAGCATTAATCGCAGCCTTGTTATTGAAGTGGAGAAATTTTGCACGGCTGCTGACAAGTTAGCAAACAACCATCGTCAGGCCCCTTCCCTTTCCTTTTAATTAAAAGCTCGAAGGCCACTCGAGTTGGCGCCCGGCCGCTCAGATGGCACCACCGGTTTGAGCACAAAACAACTCTTTCAACAACTCTTTCTTTCTTTCTCTCTTCGGTCACACGCACCATTTGTGACATTATTCTGCGTTTGTGTTTTGCAGCACCGGCGAGGTGGCCACCTGCTGGTATGTGCTGCTCAGCGGCTCGGTCTACATCGATGGCTCCATGTTCCTGCCCAGACACAGGTAAAAAATACCACAAGTATTTTAAAATTTTGTTGAAATATATATAAGAGTGAAAGTGGTTCGCACATGTCGCGGAAAAAAATCAGTCGCAACAATACACACATACGGGCCGCTGATTTGATTCACAAAACAAAAGGGAAAACGCGCTCTCGGCTCTCGAGACAAATATTAATGATGCGCGCTGAAAATTAGCCCAACTTTCATTAACGCTTCGTATATTATCAGGAGAAACCTCAATTTTTATCATTTTTCATACACTTCGCATTTCAACTTTTGCTAATCACGGTAAATTAAAAATTCATCAAAATTAATTGATTATTTCAAAATTTACTTCGGATCTCAGAATAAAAATTCTGTATTTGCTTATAACGATAAAAAAGGTAGACTTTAATGTGTTTATAACTCTAAATTTGCTGATTTAGACACTTAAAATTCCATTGGAACCAATATTATAAATTGATTTCTCCAAAAATCATCAATTTTTTAAAGTAAAAAGTCACTTATTGCCACAAAAATCCCTGAAACTACACTTAAAACATGATATATTGGCTAATTTTTTGTACTTATTTTGCAAAAACATCTCTGTTTTAAAATTAACTTATAAAATTTTAAAATAAATTTATTTCATTTTATATCTCTTAAAAAAATACTAATCAGAGAGGGAATTTTCTTTTCGTAATAAATTTCAAAATTTTTCGTCATTACTTGAGTGGAATAAAAACATACCAAACATCGAGCGGTATTTCATTGATTTTGTTTGGGAGCACCGACGAGCACATTTTTTTATTGCCTCGTGTGAAAACGTTCCTTCACACATTTCAGCCTTATCGCTCGCCAATATTTTATTTATTTATTTATTCATTCATTCCCAGCAGCAGATAACAACTCTGTTTGCCTAGCCGATTATTTAATTAATTCCCCTTTTCCGTCGGAGTAATTTGAGATCAATTAATTTCGAAGCGCTTCAACTCGAGTGCATATCTTGGAGAATTCATAATTTCCGCTTAGTCAATTGCATTTGACAGTCGGTCTTCTCCTCCTCCTCCGCACGCAGCCTCTCTCAATGGATGAGAATTATCTGCGACGGGATGTAGGGGCCGGGGGTGTCTGGCCAGCGCGTTAGGGGAATCACTTCAATTCGGTGCCACTCCTCTCCATTCAGCCTCCATCGAAGGCGGCAGTCAGTGCGTGTCAGTCAGTTACATTGTTGCGGTGCACCAGAGTGTTTGGAAATCTAAAAAAATTATGTAAGATTTCTATTAGAAAAGCAGTGATTCCAACCTGGATAAACACAGTTTGATTGGATTTTATACTTCAAACAGGTATTTACAGAAAATACAAATTTGGTTTCACGAATCAATTTTAAATTTAGTAACAAATAACTTTAAAATTGCTTTGCATTTCACCTAAAAATTAAGCAGATTAATTTTTGTTAAAAAAAGCCTTGAGTGTAATTTTTCTTTACAATTGAGTTCCTAGGAAGGGCTGAATTTTGGAAATTTATTTCCTCAAAATTGTTCCAGTTAAATTTTATGAAAATTGTTCATATCACACCCAATTAAGTATCTCAACTTCTTGATTATTTTTGGATGCATAATTTTGTCATAAAATCTTTAAATTTTATTTTAAATTTTAGTTGAAAACTGATTGCATTTTGAAATAAAATTGTTTAGTTTGAAGGAGAAATAATTTCTCTCTCTGAAGTATCCAAGTTCGCTACTTTCCGCCCGGTGGAAATGTGATTCCCGACGTCATATTCGTCCGTTCACTTCTCACTTTTCTCTCTCCGACGTATTAGATTTTGTTATTTCCTTCGCAGGCCAATCTGTCGCGCACATGCTGCGGTATTTTTCTCATTTCTTTATCGCAGTGTGAAATACATTTTATAATTTAATAATTTCGTCTCATTTTAAACTTCCAAGATCGAGAGGTCACCATGCATTCCGACACGTCTCTCGGCCTGATTTTGTTTCGCCGAGGTGTCATTAAACAATTTTTTTTTTAGTCCGGCAGAAGTAACGTTATGGCCTCTCCAATTAGCCGCTGCCCAAACCAAAAGAAAGATAACAGGAATCGAACGCAGCTTTAATTGTCGCTCTGGTTTTTCCGACTAAACTCGCCGCGCTTTGTTTTGGGTGAAAATAATAAATATATCCTTAAGAGAGCAAGCAGTGCCACCCCCTGCTCCAGACTAAAAATAAATACGCCGCAACCCCTCACAAATTTCACCAGCCGGTCTTCGAAAGGCGCAAAAAAAATTGGTCCGGAAATTCCCGGCTAAAATCGTATTACACTTATAAATCAATTAAAAAATTTACTTAAATTTTAAAATTTTATTAAATTTATAATAATTTACGTCAATACCTAATTATTAAATTAAAAAGTAATTTAATTTGAAATAGTGATTTATTTCTCCTCGACCTTTCTTTAATTCTTTAATTTATGTCTCTCCGTGGCATTGTGTTGGTTCGCGTTGCTTGATTCCCATGACATCTCTGACAGCAGACTGGGATCTGCTTCTCCGTTTCCACGACGGACACACTCCGCTAAGAACGGGGGCACCTGACCCCACGGGCAAAATCGATCAACTTCCTACTGTCATTTTTATTAATATTATTAAAATATTAATAAAAATTCCAATTTTTGTTACAATTGGTTGATAAATCAACGCGAGATTTTTCAGAAAATTAAGAAAAAGGGATGTTTAGTATGTTATTTTCTCTCTTCTTTGACTTGATTTGTGAAGAACAAACAACAATAATAATAATTGAAAATTCATTCCTAAATTTAAGCATTTTGGATTCTCGCTTTTCCCCTATTTATTAACTCCATTCCTCCATTCTCATTAGAATCTAAAATTGAGCGTTAAATTTCTTCGTCGTTTCATTTAAGAAAACCGCCTGTTAAAGATTTTAGTTCACAAATTTTTCATTCGTTGTTTTTACCATGATCTGAAAATCTTTAAAATTTATTGAGCATTTAATAACCAAATATTTTATACTCAGATCACTCAGAAAAACCACGCTTCATTTACATTGAAAAAAAATATATATATTTTTTAATCGCGATTTTATTTTTTATAATTTCTTTTGTCGTTTTATTAGAATTGCATTTTCCATTTGTCTCAAATTCACTTTTTTTTTTGCTATTTTTAAACCACAACCAACTTAGAAATTCATTCTAAAAGCATAATTAATTTTAGTGGAAAATTGTTGTTTATTTTTCTGAATCAAACGACGAAGTGTGCAATCAAAATGAGAGCTAAAGTATGGAAATTTCGTCCTAAAATTCCAGGAACGTAGCCTTAATTTTCAATGACAGATTAAGTGAGTTAACAAAAAGAAAAACCCAAGTACATACATTATTTGATTTCCAGAAATTTCAATAACCACCAAGGCTATTGGGAAATGTTCTGTCCTAGATTTTGTGTGTGTATGACAAACTGCGAAGTTGTATGAAAAAAAAACGGCGGAGAATGGCAGGAAAGGAAACGTCACATGAAAAAAAAAGCTCGGAGGAAATTGCGCTGGAGCTTTGTTTCGTTTGGAGAGGCGTAATCGCGGTGCCGCGCAGTGCTTGTTTACGAAACGTCTCTGCGGCTCGGTGTGAAAAGAGACCTGCCTCTATTCTCCCCGATCATAATCCGCAGCTCAACTGGAGAGCGACGACCGAGCCAGTCTATATGGAAAATCGATCGGCGGCCACCAACCCCTGTGGCGTTGCCAAATAAATCGCCCTTTGTTCGGCACCACCCTCGCATTATTACGAGGAGACCAGCCAGCCGGCCGACGATTTTCCAAACCACTCACCCCGACCGGCTCCCTCCGGCTCGCTGATCCACAAATTGACTTTTATTTTCACCTGCAGACCTGCACCCTAAAAAAATGAATTATGCCGGAGGGGAATTTCGATTGAGTTCGCTTCGATGCGTTCGACTTAAAAAGTTCAAAGCGTTTTTATAGTAACTCTAAAAATTACGAAGTTTATTATAAAAATGAGGTAAAAAAAATATGTCTTGTTGTTTTTGTGGAATAATTATCGCTGAACTAAGTAGAAATTAGATATAAATGAAAGAAAAACTTGTTTATCCTATTTAAATTATTATTTAATTTCCATTTAAAATTGCAACCCTAAATTAAAATTAGGAACACATTATATTTTATAACAGTGCTCCAAAATTAATAATTAAAACTTGAACAAATTAAATAATATGAAAATGTTTTTATAATTTGATGGAATCCTATGGAAATTCTGCTAAAAAAAAAATTGATGATCAGTCTTCGTTTCATTGTTGTGATGCGCAGTATATTGATTTTTTTTCATAATCGCGTTGCTGTAATTTTGTAGATTGGATGGGGAGTTACAAATTATATCATACTTTTCATAGTTAAAATAAGTCTTTAAAAAACAGTATTTTTGGCGATTACTAGTAAAATATTTAGAAATTTTAACCAGGGTTTCGGAGCGGGCGCGTTTTGGCGCTCCAAATCGCTCCAAAGCGCGTTTTGGAGCGAGGAGCGGTTGTATGAAGGCGCGAGGCGCCCTTTTTGTGCAAGGAGCGGTTGCCAAAATAACGCGCCGCGCCTGGCGCCAAAGGAGCGCTCTATGTGGGCACTGCGGCGCGCCAGGCGCCGAGGCGCGATCTCACTCGGGAAAAGGCGCGCCTTTTGCAAAGGAGCGCTCTGATGAGACGCGCCTTGCTCGGCGCCGCTCCTTCCGCGCCGCTCCAGGGTTGCAATTGGATTTTATTATTCTCTTTGGATCGGACCTGGCCTATATTTACTAGTGTTCCTCCCCGTGTTGTTCTTTTATGTACACAAAGTGTATATCCACTAAACTGCCCCTCTTTTTAAATTTATTCCTAATTGTGAGAAGAAATTGGCACTTGATGAGATGTTGGTAGAAGTGAGAAAAAAATCTGGTTTTGTCATTGATGAATTTATGAATATTTTGTTAATAAGAAAATCAATATTTCAACAAGGACATCAAGGACACAACTAGCAGCCTGTTTTTTAATTTGTAGTTTCTTGTGTGTTTAATAATAATCTGATGGTATAGTTGTGTCAATTAATATAATTTTCAAGATTCAGTGCTGAAATTTAATTTTGATGAAATATTAATTTAAAAGATTAAATTATTTTCAAAGAATGATAAAAAGAGGTGCTCAAAATAATTTGTTGATCCAATTTAATTAATTACAAAAATTATTATAATTTAATTCCTTGTTTTAATAATTATATATAATATATGTATAAATATAACGCAATTTGATGCATTATTACGAAATGCATCTCTAAAAGCACACCGCATTCTGGAGCGGCGCCAGTAAAAAGCGCGTCGCGCCTTGGAGCGGCGCCGGTATAAAGCGCTCCGCTCCGCGCCTTGGAGCGAAGGAGCGTTCCTTCCGAAAAGGCGCCGCGCCTTGGCGCCAAGGCGCGCTTCGATCATGGAGCGCTCCGCGCCTTGGCGCGATGGAGCGGTCTTAAGAAAAGGCGCGGCGCGATCGGCGCCAAGGAGCGTTTCAAAAAACACCGCTCCGAAACCCTGATTTTAACCATTGATCTGACTAAAAAGACTAAGCCAATAAGAAGACTGGATTTTAATGTCAAATAAATAAAATTCCCATTAAATTTTCTAAAAACATCAGCCGAATTCATTTCACCTTTAAAAGGAAATAATCAGTTGTTTACATAATTTTGGCCAGTCAATTCAATAAAACAATATTATGCCAGTGTTTTTAGCAAGATGAATTAAAATATGTTTTTAATTTATCTGTGAGATGTTAGAGAAACAAAATATTTAAGGTATTTTTTTTAAGTTTTAAAGAGCTCCATTTGAGAAAAAAATTTAAAAAAATTCATGTTGTACGCTTCTGAAATTTATAATTGTACTTAAAAGTTATATTGAAACGTACAAAATAGGAAACTTTATCCCAAAGAAGAGTTGAAAAATTCTTTTTATTCATGAGCACCTAACCTCTTAATCTCGAGATTAAATTGGTGAGAGTCCTTGGAGGAAAATAAAAGTTGAACTGCCACGAACGCGAGTGATTTAAAAACACACACACACACACATTCCCACAACGCTGGAATCGAAAATGAGGCTGAATGGCCCCTCGCGGTTGCCCCTCCACCGACCTGGTGTCGACACCCCTCCCTCCCCTCCGCCACCTGACGACCTGCGTGCCTTTGGCTGCTCAAAACACAGAAGATTGCGCTCCATCTTGGGTGATTTCTCTCTGCTTTGTTGGCACCAGATTCGCGCCCCGCGGATGGCAGCATGTGGTGGAACCACCCCCGCAACCACCCGCCCTCCTTCTCCAGGTACCTACGCCCCAAACCGCGGCCCCCGGGGGAGGCGCGACCCCCTTCGCAGGCCTCGGACGCCGTCCGAGGCCAATCCGTGCCTCCGGGGCCAATTAAAGGATTTGGAAACTTCTTTTCGCGCCTCTTAAGGGACCGCGCGATAAACACCTAGGCAGGGGTGGAGGGCGGAAGCGACGCCGACAGGTGCGGCTGATAACAAAAACTACTTTCAGATAGACACACTAAAGCTGCGGTGAAAGCGACATTAAAAAATTTTGTTTGGCCGAATCGAGTGGTGCTCAGCGTGCGCTTTTTTTGCTTAAACGGCACAAGTGCGACACAAACACCGTGTTTTCACAATTCACGACCATCTGCTTAGGCAACAACGTTCTCAGAACGCTTTGTTATTGTGCAAATTTGCATTTTTGCAGCATCAAAATATATGCAATCAGAACAAAATGTTCCAAAGTTATTAATTTATTAATAAAAAATTTAAAAAGACCAATTTTTTTTAAATATTTTTTTTTTTTTAAATTTCAAAGTAACGTTTCTCCTAATCGGTTGCTTGTCGTTCCAATTTACTGTTTTTGGCGTGAATCAGAAAAGGTGGGCGTGGCGCGGTGTATACAGTGTGTATAGCTTCATTCATTCATTTGGACACATTCCTGCGTCATTTATCACCAATTAAGGCTTTCATAGAAGACTGAACCACCTGTTTGTTTTCACAGCACTGCGCGAATCCATATTAAATTATCTTAATTAATATTCAAAATATCAGAAAATTCTTTCTGCTTCGTATTGAATAGCAAAGAAACTTTCACTCGTTATTTTGACTGTGACCCTGTTTATGAATAAATAAATTATATAATAGTTTTGGTGGATTAACGTGGGAATTACTATTAAAAATGATTAATCCCCTTATTTGATATCAGTTTCAATTATATAGATATGAAATATGAATTTTAATAACATTAAGAATAACTTAAAAATGTTAAAAAATTAAACTTTTTAAATTTAAAGCTGTGGTGCAATGGGCTACATTCATGTAAAATATCTAAAATTTGGTTTTTTATATCTTGTTTTACTATTTATGTTTTAATTTCGGTCAAAATTTGATCAATAATGTGAAATTAGATTGTAACTTTGATCAATCTCAGCAATTTTCTTGTAATTTTCACAGCTTAACAATAAATTATTGGAAGGGTCTATCTTCAATTATTTGATAATTGTGAATGAATAATAATTTTATTTGGAATTGAAAGGAATTACATGTTACAAGGAGATGTCTTGTTTATCAAATTTGCAGTTAAAATATGCAGAAATGCACAGAAAAATTCTATTCTATAATCTTCAAGTTTACCTGAAATTGATAATTTAATTGGTCTATAATTTCACTGCTCCTCGGAGCGACTGCTAATTAAACACGGTCCATGACGCGGAAACGGTTTTGCCAATTTGGCGTCGTCGGCGTCTCGTCAACCGGGGCGAATCAATTGCGCGCGTTTGGCGGTGCAGGAGCGTTTTCCATCAAGTGTCAATTATTCGAGGAGCCAAGTGCGCACGCCCGTTCCCGACGTTCCCTCGCGTTCCAGGGGCTCCCTGTCTGCCTTGCCAGTGGAGAATGGGCTAGGCATGTTGAAGCACTGCGCCGCGACGCCGCCCCCGACGTCCCCCCGGCGCCGCTGGCGGCGGCCCCCGCCGCCCCCGGACGCCCTCCGCAGGTGCAACTCGTTCCACCACGGCGGCCGGCCGGTGGCGGCGGCCGCCCCCGCCCCCCGCCTCCGCGCCCTCCGCATTAACGGCCGCTCGGCCTCCTGCCCCCGGCCGGACACACCCCCGCACTCGCCGCCCCCAGAAACGGCCGCCGCCCTCAGGCGCCTCTCCGCTTGGTATACTTCTTAAAAATTTATCTCGCACAAAATTTCTTCATCCCGCCGCACGGCCTCCCCCTCCGTCCGTCCGTCGCTAATCGATTTTTTACAAATAATATTGCCACCTCGGAGGCCGTCCAAGTACGATTTGATTTGAATTGGCGCGAAATTTGGATCAGAATAATAGTCTAATTCCGAAACTTTACAAGAAAAACCACTGTTTTCATTCCGCAATTTATAAATTTAATTTCTTGAAAATTAATTATTTTCTTATTATTATTTTATCAAAATTATACTATGTTGTGATTATTTTATTTCCGTTTTACAAAACCATGGAATTATTAAAATTTGTGTATCTTTTTAATTATTGTGTTTCGAACCAAAGAGTAACTCAAAAAATAAAAAGATATTTTTAATATTGAAGAAACAATAGGTGATTTTATTTTAGTCAATAAATGGGACTGAAAAAAACTCAATGTAAATAATGAGTTGTCAATGATTTTAAAATTTAAATGAACTCCACTATAAAACTAAAATGCAATTAAAAATTTAAAAAAAAAATCACAAATGTTTCGATAGCTATTTTCTTCCTTATTTTCTGACCTGCTGACTTGAAGTTATAAACAATTTGCTGATTTATTTAATTTCTGACGATTACAAATTTAAAACTGTGTTTAAAAAAATTACATCATCTGCTAATAAAAATTGCTCAAAACATTTACCAAATAAGACAATTCTGCGAATTAGGCGTCAATTTTGGTTTAATTGTGCCGAAAGCCGTTTGTTTGGTAGATTAAGATGATCAACTCCATTTCCTATCTCTGTGCCTCTTGAATCTGACAATTACATTTGACCTAATCATTTTGATTTGATTTGTTTCAGCTTCGGCAAGCGGAATGGCGCGAGCACGCGGCGGCCCAACGAGTGCTTCGTGCTGGAGCCGTCGGACATGCTGGTGGTGAGCATGCGTTCGACCTTTGACCTTTGGGGTGACACTTGTTGTCGGGTATTGATTTTGAACACGGTGGAAATGCAAATTAGAGCGAGTGCGGGGGGAGCACCAGCCGCTTCCTCTCGCTCGCTCTGTGCAGTATGTCATTAAAAGCGACAGCGGGCGTCTTTTCAAACTCGGCCACAAAGGAAGAAAAAAAAATTGAAAGAGAGGAGGGAGATGAGGAGCCGCCGAGAGAGAGAAAGAGAAAAGGATGACTTGTCGCAGACTGAATCGAGGAGGGAGACCGCCTGACCTCCAATAGTTAAAAAAAACCAATATAGAAAAAAATCTCTAAATTTTTTTTATAATTTTTTTTTTGAAATAAATTTTTTGAAAATCCCCTTCCATTGAAGGTTTCCATATAAGGATTTTTGTTGCGAGAATTACGCGGAAACGGGCGTGTGCCTCACTTTAAAATTAAAGTCGCGGTTGAAACTTCCGCCGAGTAAAATAGCTTTGACGTGCGAGATTATTCGTCACGTCCTCTAGGAAGTAAAATCTCACTTCGAGGTTTAATGTCAACGAGAACAAACGTTCGGTGAAATGTGGCGAATAATCAAGCAGACGAGGGCGCGAATCGACTCCGGACAGGGCACGGAGGCGGCCAAGCCCAAAAACCGGCCTCTCTTCCAAGAATGGATCCTCAAAAGCCCGACGGCCACCAACGGGGTCAGGAAGTCCTTATCAAAATCATTATAAAAAATTCCGCCTTTTTGCAACCATGACCTATTTTTAAACTGAAACAAGTGTCACAAAATTGAAATAACTTAAAAACTAAGAAAATTTTGGATTAACTTGGATTTTATAAAAATGTCCCTGAATTTTGCTCTTTTCCCCAGATTGATTATCCGGATGCGGGACAGCACTCTTCTCGGAGCAGGGCAATGAACTACGAAGCGCTAGGACCTCTGCGTCCGGAGATGTTCCTCAAGTCGAACCGCAGCTCGCACTCGAGCGACACCAGCTCGGCCTACTCAGGATCAGACACAATGCACAGCGTGCAGAGCTCCCTGGACGCCGAGGAGGTTGACCTCACTGGCCTGGTCGAGTCCGTCGTCGACTCGGACGAGGACGATGACTGTGCCGAGAGCTTAGACGTAAGTTTTGGAAATTGATTTGGCTAAATCTTGGTTCTCCTCAGCGAGACAATTCTAACGATATGCAGGAAGGGTACCTTTGGAACGATTTTTATTAGGGGTGGGGGGACTTGGCCATTGAAAAAGTTATAATGTAGTCTTGTTGATTCAACCTTCTCTATTTTCAATGCTATCAATTTTAAATTATCTCTTTTGGGCCGAAAAACATCACTAAGGTACTTTGGGGTTTGAATTTTCAAGAAGTCCTCCATATTGGAAAAAAATAAACTTCAAAAATTATTTACCACTTCAATATCATCTAAGACCATCCTTATCTCATATCATTAGAATTATTAGTAGAATTAAATAAGTGAAAAATTAAATAAATAAGAATATGTCTTTGAGAAAGTGGAGCACCCCTTTGATTTTTTTAATATTTTTGCAGAGCATGACTGTGCGGGACACGGTCCGCGAGTGCCTGGAGAAGGACCCGTCCGAGCGGACGGACGAGGACATCGATCAGCTGCTGGAGCTGACGCAGCACCTCAAGGCGTTCACCAACATGACGCTGGCCGTCCGGCGAGCCCTTTGCATGGTCATGGTGTTTGCCGTCGTGGAAAAGGCGGGCACCATTGTCATGAACGATGGCGAGGAACTCGACTCTTGGAGTGTCCTCATCAACGGACATGTCGAGGTCGAACTGTCCAGCAAAGAGACGCAGCAACTCCACATGGGCGACTGGTAATGAAATCAATACTTAGCATAAAAACCTCTTAATTTTGTTAATGTTCAGCTTCGGAATTACGCCTACGATGGAGAAATTGTACCACAGAGGTGTGATGAAGACTAAATGTGATGACTGTCAATTTGTATGCATCACTCAGGAAGCATACTACAGGTAAGATTGATTTTTTTTTTTTATTCAAATGTATAGTTTAATTTTTTGATTTTGTCCTCAGAATTCAGCACCAGGGTGAAGAAAATATCAGAAGGCATGAAGAAGATGGAGAGGTAGTTTTAGTCACGGAACAGAGGGTCATAGAAGGTGGAAACCGCCGGGGTCACATTGCCATTAGAGTGAGAAATTATAATTATTTTTCAAAACTATAAATTCAACTTTTATTTGTAAATTTAGGGAACACCAGCGCGTCTGATGCAACACTTGATCGAGGAAAACTCGATCATCGATCCGACTTATGTGGAGGATTTTCTCCTCACCCACAGGACATTCATCGAGTCCACACTCTCCGTGGCTCACCAATTGTTGCAGTGGTTTGAGCGACCAGAGTCAAGAGACAAAGTGACTAGGGTAGTGCTTTTGTGGGTCAACAACCACTTCACAGACTTTGAAATGGATCCCTCGATGATGGAGTTTCTCGAAATGTTCGAGGAGCGACTCGAGAGGGAGAAAATGCAGGGTCAGTTGCGCCTTTTGAACATTGCTTGTGCGGCAAAGGCGAGGACGAGGAATGTCACTCTTGCCAGACCGGATAGAAACGAAATTCTCCAGTTCTCCATTTTGGGGGGCTACGAGAGAGGCTGTGGCATCTTTATTTCTAAGGTTTGGTCACAAATTTGGAAAGAAACATTTTAATAATTAAGAAAATTGTAATTCAGGTCGACAAAAAGTCAAAGGCAGAGGAAGTGGGGTTGAAGAGGGGAGACCAAATTGTGGAAGTCAACGGCCAGAACTTTGAGCATGTGGCTCACGCCAGAGCTCTGGAAATCCTTCGGGGCTCGACGCATCTCAGTATCACAGTCCGATCGAATCTCCTAGGTTAGTAAAATTTCTGAAGCATTTAACTCAAGTGAAAAATCTTTTCTCTCGACAGCTTTAAAGGAGTTGTGCCAAAACAACGAATCAGCAACGCCTCGACCTAGAACAGTCCAGAGAACTTCAGAGCTATCAATTCCGAAGCCAAACAATACCGTGCGCTTGTCGACAGCCTTCGACGACTCGACGCCGATCAAGGACCACAAGGGTCACAAGGGCGGCTTCATGACCATGAACACCAAGAAGCGACTGCAGAAGGCGCTGGCAAACTTCTTCCCTCGCACGGCCAACGAAGCGGAGAACCACCCCATGGGGCACAGTCTCAGTAATCCAGACCTAGTCAGTCTTTGTTGGGCCGAGGAAAGGGTTGATATTCCCGAACATGTGCTAAAGGTAAAGTTCTTTCAACTGAAGGTGTTAAAAAATAATATGCATATTTATTGAAAAAGAGGAATTCCAAATATTCATCATTTTATGCTGTAAATCAATCAATAAGGAGCTGAAATTTAAATAAAAAGTGAAAAAATTATAGTATAATTTAACAAATTTGATAAGTAATTCTTTTTTTCTATGTATCTGAATTCTGATTAGAGTAAAAATATATGTTTTTAATTCTTTTGTCTTTTTCTCTTGCAGGTTTATCGGTCAGACCAGCAGTGCAAGTACCTGTTGGTGCACAAAGAGACAACGGCAAAGGAGGTGGTGATGCTGGCGCTGCACGAATTTGGCAACACCACCGAGGCGAGTTCCAATTACAATCTCTGCGAAGTGAGCGTAGGGGAGGGTGGCATGATCAAGCAACGCCGGCTGCTGGACACTCTGGCCAACCTGGCTGAGCGCATCGGCCTCAGCAGCCGCTACTACCTGAAGGTCACCAACTCGACGGAGCCTCTGGTGCCGGACGAGATGGCCAACGACCTCATCAGGGAAAGCTCCGTCAACTTCCTGCAACTCAACGCCGTCGAGGTCGCCATTCAGCTCACCTTGCAAGACTTCAATATTTTCCGACAGGTAGAAAGAACAATTTGAAAACAATTTTTTTACTCAAGTCTGAAGTTTCGGACAGATTTTGCTCCAAGGACATCTTTTGCATCGTAAAATGAAGATGAACTTTTTTTAATAAAAAATTGAAATTAATAAAATGAATTTTTGTAGATTGAAAGCACCGAGTACATCGATGACCTTTTCGAGCTGAAATCTCGTTATGGGATGCCAATGCTGGCCAAATTTGGAGAGCTGGTCAACAGAGAAATGTTCTGGGTAGTGACTGAGGTGTGTTCTGAGCACAATCCACTCAGGAGGATGCGAATCATCAAGCAGTTCATCAAAGTTGCAAGTACGATTTGACGAAAATGCACCTTTCGGATTTATTTTTACAAATCTTGATTTTCTCAGGACAATGCAAGGAGTGTAAAAACTTCAATTCCATGTTTGCCATCATCTCTGGCCTGGGGCACCTGTCGGTGTCAAGACTGCGCTCCACGTGGGAAAGAGTACCTGGAAAATACCAAAAGCTGTTCTCAGACCTGCAAGACCTGATGGACCCCTCGAGGAACATGTCCAAGTACAGGCAGCTCATCAATTCCGAACAGTCTCAACCGCCAGTGGTAAAAATATCGAAGTTCATACAAACCAAATTTCAACTTTACATTTTCATTAGATTCCATTTTACCCGGTGGTGAAAAAAGATCTGACCTTCATCAAGCTGGGCAACGACTCAAAAGTGGAGGGCCTCGTCAACTTTGAAAAGTTGCGCATGATAGCCAAGGAGGTGCGCACCCTGGGCAGCATGTGCTCATCACCCTACGATCTTTTAACAATGCTCGAACTCGGCGGACAACCCCCTTCCTCTGCCATGAGGGCAATGAACCAGATGAGCGCAGGATCTCAACACCAGGTAAAACTTCAGAAAGAAAGAAAAAAACAGCCTTCTTTTCTTGAATAATGAAAATCCTCCTAGTATATAAAAGTAAATTTGTTATGATTTTCATGAATCCCTTTTTGTTTCAGTTTTTTTAATATTAAAGTATTATTGATAATATTTGTAAATAAGAAGAAAAATTTGAGAATTCTATTAGAATTTATAACAATCGAAATTGATTTCCTTTAACAATTTTATAATTTATTTCTAAAAAAAAAAAAAAAACGAATAAGAAATTTGAAAGCAAAGCTTATCCGACATTTCTCCAGGCTGCTACTGTGAAGAGACGGAAGAAGTCGACCGCCGCACCGAACCCGAAGAAGATGTTCGAGGAGGCGCAGATGGTGCGTCGGGTCAAAGCGTACCTGAACAACCTACGGGTGATCACTGACGAGGAGCGGCTGCAGCAGCTGTCGCTCGAGTGCGAGCCGCCGGCGTCGGCACCCTCGAGCGCCGCCCCTCGAAAACGACACCCCTCCCCCACCCTGTCAACCACTTCGACAACCTCCAGCACCTCGGCCACCAGGTTCGGCGCCGCCTCCCCTCAAGCGGTCCGCAAGATGCTCGCCCTGGCGGACTCTTCGAAAACGCGGCCCCACCAACCCCCGAGGCTGCTGCCCCCCAGCCCCACGGGCTCGCGCAAGTCCGGCCACGAACGGTCCCACTCGGACACCCCGACCGCGGTCGACTTGAGTGCCGAGAGCAGCAGCGTCACCAGCCTCAGCAGGGCCAACAAGGACTCGGGGCTTTCCATGCGCGAATCTCCAGTATCTCAACGCAGACATTCCACAAGTAAGTCAAGATGGAAATCATTTTTAATTTAAATAAAATTTAAAATATTTATTTTTGAAATTGAAAAAAAAAATGAAATTTTCCTAAATGTAAAATGGGTAAAATGAAATAATCGCTGATCGGTGAATTCAAAATACTAATGAAACAAAAATCAAAATTTATGTTTCATCCTTTCATACAATTTTTGTCTTGAAATTTTGGTATGTACTTTTGCTATTTTTAAGATAGAATGTAGAATTTCTTGGTTTCATAATTTTTGGTTGATTTTACTTATTTTCATTATTTACTGTTTATTCAGTGAAGAAAATTTGAAATATGATAGTTTAAAATCATTGTTGATTTTGAGTAAAATACCAATAATTATCATTTAATCTAAAATATAGATTGTTAAATCAAAATTTCTTCATATTTCAACAAATTTTAATTTCATTTGATTCCAGTCGAGCCGAAGCCAATGGGTCCGCCTCAAAACCCACCGAACCGGCCGCGGAGGCCCCCAGAGTACAACGAGGCGGCCAAAATGCTGCGCGAACTGCGACTCCACCGAGCACATTCCCACGAGGGCGTCACCAACTCGGACTACAACTATTCCGATGATGACGGTTCGGATGAAAACATTCGCCAAAGCTCTCAACTAAATTAAAAATTCCAATTTGCAGAGGACGAGGGAGCGCAAGTTTCCGCCGTATGAGAGGGGAGAAAAATGGAAAGAAAGAGAAAAAAAATCATGTATGCCAAAGAGGGTTAGTCCACATTGTGACGTGCCCATATCACTAGACTTAAGCAGTGCGGCGAAAGACACTTTGCAGGAGTGAATGCTCGTGACAAATCGATCCAATTAATTAACATATACAATATATGATATACATCTATTTTGAATCAAGACCAGTGTCTGTCTAAATATTATTAATGTGCAACTGTGAGAAAACGAACTACTTTTATTAACTGACGGTCTTCGTTGTAGACGGCGGAAAGAGAGAAATTATGATTTTTACCTATTTGTGTGACAGTCTCAGTCAGATGGATGATAAATTTTTTAAATCATGTTTAATTAAATTATTAATTTTTTTATCGCTCCTTATCGTTGTGTACAAAAGCATATATTTGATGATCACTGTGGAAATGAAAGTTGGAATCAATATTAAACGAATGCAAAGTTTATTTTAGAAAACCCATTAAATTTAAGAATTTAAAATGTTAAAAGGAGGTTATTGAACGCATATTTTCTTCAGAATTCCAGTATTTAATTCTCCTTTGGCTCTTCTTTGCCAGTCTCAGTAATCTCCTTGTTTTCCTCCTGTAAAGTTTCCTGAAAATCGGGAATTTTTAAAATTGGTACATCTTTTTGCCCCTGGAAATTTCTACCACGACTTGGCCTGAGAAAGTGCTGAGATCGTTCAGGGCAGTCTGCACTTTTCCCGCCTGTTCCTTTACAGATTCAGTCACATCACTCAAAGAGGAGCTCTGTTGAAGTAAAAATTTGGAAAAATTAAAAAAAAATAGTAAATTTGACGCACCATTAGTGCCTCGTGCAATTGTTGGGCGCAGGTCTGAGCCTCCTTGACCTGGGCAACTAGCGGGGCGGGCATTAGGTGCTCCATCTTCTCAGGGACACTGGCCAGGAAGGTTGAAACTCCGTGCGCCAGTTTTTGCGCCTCCTCTTCACCCTCAGCTTTCTTTGGAATCTGCAAAAATTTCATAAAAAAGCAATCCTTCTAAAACATTAATAAAATTTTAGAAAAAAAAGAGTTCACAATTTTTAATCTGAGTGAAAAGGCCTGAAAATCTTTAATTTTTAGAGAAGTAAATTTTCAATTTTTTTCACGCAATCAAATTTTGACGAAATAAAATATTTCCAATCCAATAATATGTTAGAAAAACGTGGACATAATTTTTTTTTTAAAAATACCAGGTGCAGCAGTTGGTTCATCTGGCCAATGGCGTGTTCACTCTGCTGTTTGATGCCCTGCATTAGGTTCACCAAGGCCTTGTACACTCTGCTGCGGCTGCGCACCTTTCCGGACAACTGACCCACAGCCTGCAGGGCATGACCAACTTGGTCCACGTTCACATCCACAACTGGAGAGAATTTAATTGAGGAAATTTTTTCATCTTTTGGACTGCGAAATTTATACCTGGGACGTCAACTTCTCCCTCTCCAGGGGGCATGTAGTAGTCGATGAACTTGTTGATCAGGCCGGTGGTGGTGTCGAATCCGTTCATGGCGATGGTGCCCAACTTGGTGGACAGAATGTCGTTCGCCTTGTTCTTCACAACGTTTACTGTTTCCATGGCGTGTTCGTAGATCTAATTAGAGAACATTTGATTTTATTCATTTTTTATAATTTTTTTTTAAAGAAAACTAGATGACGGTGATGATTTTTTTCAAAATTTATACTAATTAAATACTTAAAATTTCTAACGTGGGTTTAAAAAAAGGCTTCAAGAACTCGTTACATAGACCGCGATTTCTAAAGAAAAATTATGAAATTTTAATAATTTTTGGCACGGATTACAATTATTACTTTTTTTAAATTTTTTCATCATATATATGGCACAAATTTGAATTTAAAATGAAAAAAATCCACCAAATTTATTAATTTCTTATTAAATAACAATTAACAATAAGTACCACTTCCGGTTGTTCCCTGACGATGGGCACCTTGTCCCCGACGAACGCCAGTCCGGAGCAGATGGTGCGGTCGACGGCCTGGATCGGCCCCTGCGGCAATATGTTGGCCACGTTCTCGGCCAAGTTGAACATGGTGGCCGCGGTCGACTCGGCCGTCGACAGGGTCCAGTTGGCAACGCTGCTCGACCCCTTGACCTTGTCCAACACCTCGATGGTCTTATGTGTCAGCGCCTCGACCATCGGTAAATGAATCACTCTGTCCACGCACGCAAAGTGCAGGCTGCCAACTTTTTGCTCATTCTCGCCAACAATCTGCAGGAAAATTTATTTTCATTTAAAAATTTATTTGTTCAACTAGATTTTTCCACTATTTGTGATAAATAAAAGCAAAATGAGATTAGTAATTAAAAAGAAAATTTGCAGAGTAATAATTGCTTTCAGAGGGATCGATAAATATTATCAAAATGAAATTAAACGACTAAAAATTTATGAAAAATAGATTTTTGACCTAAAAACCCAAGAATTAAACTAAATTTAAATAAATTTATCAACGGAAAATAATTTTTCAGATATTTTATAGTCGATTTTTGTGTGACGAAAAATTGTACCTGTTGGTTTTCAATCTGCTTATTATCCTGCGTGGCCTGCATCCTTCTGTGCTGGAATCAGAAAAATCAAAGGAATGTCAAAAATTATCAAACTTTTTGTGTAAATATATCCCGCGAACTTTGCACTCCAGAACTGAGTTCCAAGCATTCTCTGGTCAATCTTTATTTCATAGCCGCGTTTTGTTATGTCAGAATAAATGTTGGTGCTCATAATATTTCCAGACGTGCACAAAAGGAAGCTCTCTAACCAAAAAATTGTTGTGCAAGTCACAGAAGAGACACTCAAATTACAAATATGTCTGGAACCCAATCCATCAGCCAGGATCAACCTTTGGAATCCTAATATTGGCCCGGCCAAAAAGCCATCACGAGCATATCTGACCTTTCTCTTGTTTAATTATTATCACCGAATGTACAATAATAAACATAATGATTGATTTGTTAAATTAGTACTGTGAATAATCGCCTTGACGTGGAATTTCCTAGACGACGAGATATTTGAGACTCAAATATCTCGTCGTCTCGGCAACATAATTCCACGTCAAGGCGATTAGTCACAGTACTAATTTAATTATTTCACGTTTCGTGTGGTTTCTTTGGGATTCAAACTCTCAAAAAGATTGATTTGTTTTTAAAGATTATTTTCCTCTAATGTGTGATTTAAAATGATAATTTATGAACGATGCATTTGGGCAGTATTGAATCAATAAAGGCACTTTTTGCAAACTAGATAGTCTCCTTCGCACCGCAATGAGCGCGGCCAGTTGTTTTCCAAATCATTGTCGCGTTGACTTTCTTTGTAACTGCCAATAAGTATTGCTTTTAAATGAAGAACTTACAATTAGTACAACACCTCAATTCATAAAGAGAAATCCGTACAAAAATTCAAAAATAATAATAATCAATTCGATGCTTATGAAAAAAAAAAATGGAGTACAAATTCTAATCCAGAATGACCAGAATTCAGAACAAAAGAAAATTCTGATTAGTTTATAAACTAAATTAGAGAATTTAGTTAATATTATATATTGAATAAAATTTAGAGAGAAATTTAAGGGTAAAATAAAAATTATTTATAACTATTTACTTTTTGGCAGTATGAATAAATTTTTTTTTAATTTCATAAAATAGTAAAATTGAGTACAATGAATGCTGTCAAAGGGCACAAGTCAACAAAGGCTGGCTTGCCCTCTACTCTGAAAAAAATTAAATAATAACATCCTCATAGGCATAATAATCATTTTTTGTGTTCGTTCAAAATTAAAAGGATAAAAAACGCAGTTATTAGTGTATCGATTTGAAAGAAAAAAAAATGGAAGGAGAAAAATATTATTTTTCAATTATTTTTAATCACCCAATTATTTTGTTCTGGGAGCGGCCCCTGTTTTGGATATTAATTTACTAAAACTTACCCAGTTGCTTCAGCAATGGAAAGTTAAATAAAAATTCGGACAGTTAGAGCGACAACTCAACAGTCCCGCAAAAGCAGTGTTAGACTGATTCTAAATTTTAAGAGGGCTTTCCAAATAAAACCTATACTATTACATATCAGTCATCGGTCCATTAGCACGTCATGATTCATAAAAGTGAGGGGAAAACGCGTGCCCTCTTCTGTCAGCCGATTGACCTCTGAAGTGCAGCAAATGCATTCAGGGCGGCCTCTGCAGTGCATCATCAAAATGTTTCTTTAAAAAGGCTATAGAAGCATAAATTTTTTAGCTAATAATAAAGAAATTTATTATCGGCTAAAGGGTTTTATTTGACTCAAAGCGTACTCGCTTGTTGGTGATTTCTTGAGAAAGAAGAATTCTAAATTCAGGTAATAAATCATTTTAAAATTGTCAAAACCCCCATTAATATCAAAATTTTGTAGATCTGAAACACATGGTAAGCCACAGGCTATAGAGGTGCTAAGAAGCGTCAACAAAATATTGTTCACCAACTACGATCAGGAATCAGGACTCTTCCTGTCTGACGTCTGTGAACAGTCCTACTCCACCCAAAGTGTCCAAAACAATACTGAAAAAGAAATCTTTTGATGGATTCTAATAACCTGACAATTCTTGGTACGGAATAGATTACATTTTTCTTGAACACTTAAACTGAAGTAAACAACAAATATCATATACTGCAAAAATATTTTAAAATTCAAGATGAAATTTTTTTAAATTTTCAGTTTTGGAATTTGTTGTAAGATAAATTTTGGAATTTTAAAATTTAGAAAATTGTGAATTGATTATTTAAATTTATTTGTAAATTTTACTTTTCAGAATTCGTGATAATTCAATTTTGGTATTAAATAGAAGCTAATATTTTTAATTGAAATTTTTGTATTGACCGAGAAGAATAAACAAATAACAAATAAATTAGCTTACATTCTAAATGGCTCACTCAGGGCGGTCGAAAGGAATATGGAATATTACACATAAATCATTAAATTGATTTTTCTGACTAAAAACTGTAAAAGGAATAAATTAACCTACTTTGTGGTCGTGACAGTATAAGTAAAATTTTGTAAATTGATAATTTTATTTGAATGTTTGTATGATGTACCTGGGCAGTAATTGCCTTCTGATACAATCAATAAAGACACTTTGCAACTAAAATTTTTGCTTTCGGTGGTGTAGTGTTGTCCATTAATTTTTTTTTCATAATTTAGTTCAAAAATTGAACTGTAACCAATGTGATGTAGCATTGGAACAGATAGGTAAAAAAAATAAATTAATTAAATTAGACTCTTCGCGGATAAATTTTCGAATTTATTTTTGGCAAGATTTAATATGAGAATTTAATTTACAATTTACAGCAATTTAATTTAACAGAAAAATGAATTTCGCACACCTGAGATCGTAAAAGGGGGGATAGTTACGTCACACTTCAACAACATCAATTTCTTTCATAAAGTCTAAGATATTGGTAAGGATAGATAAGATAAAAGAGATAAAAGTGTTTTTCTTGCTGAATCGTGCCAACCGTGGGCGAAAGTGGGACCTCCAGAATAATAAGCTACATAAGCTTGGTTTGGAGGATGAATTTTGTTTTAAGTTAGCCTCAAAGATGCCCCTGCTTGGACGTTTTGGCACAAAAAACGTCGAAAAGTATGTACTCTCAAAATTTGCGAAGACCATTTAATTAAATTTTTCACTCTCGCAGCGCTTGCGTTTTGGTGTTCAGTTACGATTTCAAAGACGACCCAGGTTGGATTCGTGATGGAAACGACGTAGATTTGCGCAACTTGGAAGAAAGTTTTAAAAACAAAAGAAAATGCTCGTATCAGAGTCTCAAGTCAAAAAATAAGAGGGATTTGTTTCAGTTGTTGTCCAACCAAAGCGAGATTTTTCAGCTCCTCAACATCACAGGTATATGCTTTTATCCAAATTATAATTTATTTGTTACTGTGACAATAATAGTAATAAAATTAATATAATTAAAAAATAAATACAGTAAAAAAATAAATTTGAACAGTTGTTGTGTATCGACTGAAAAGAATAAATAATAATAATAATTGTTTTAAAATTTTAGAATTGAGCTTAAAGTTACGAGAATTGATTTTTTTTCAAATTTGCAAAAAAAAGTTCAATTGTCCAGGATTCATCCTGGAAAATCACATTATTGAAGGTAGAAAAGCATCTAAAGCAGTCTAACTATTTTGCAAAAAAAAGCGTCTATGTTTCGTAGTGTTCAACGAAGCTTATTTTTTAAAATTTCCAGAGGCACCGTCAGTGTTGCTGCTCTTTATTTTGTCGCACGGAGACGAAAATGGATTGATTTATACTGATCACAAAGTAGATACAGCGTACGAGACATTCACCACCAAAGAAGTTATCGATAAGTTAAAAAGCCACAAAGACTTAGAAAAGTGCCTTAAAATAATTGTTTTTGGGGTAAAACTTAAATAATTTCCATGTATTGCATCTGCATATTCAAAGTACTTTCATTGGATAGTGTTGTCGAGGCCAATTGCAAGAGAAGATCTTCTCATCCGGCCAAAAAACTGAAAATTACGATAACAAAAAAGCGTGTCAACTGACGAATTTGCCTGGCGCTGATAATTTCATTCTTATCTATCCAACAGTTGAAAGTGAATTCAAATTATTAACAAACGATTCTACTTAATAAATATTTTATCTCATATAGCAACGACAGCATTTCGAAATTCTCAGAATGGAACTTGGCTGGTACAAGAATTATGTGGAGCGCTAGACGGGCTCACAAAAGACACGTTGATAGAGGTTTTCTTGACCAAAGTCCAAGAAAAAATTTCTTATAAAATTTATATTGACGGACAATCTCCCGAGATCAAATACACAGTGCACGAAAAGTTTTGGATCAGCAAGTAAAATGTCTAAATATTAACGAAACCTTTAAATTTTATAGATTTTTAATCAATATGGTGGTTCTTCTGTGCTGCTTTTATTTATTTTATTTCCAAATTAAGCTTATTAGTGTACCACAAGAAAATCCTTGCTTATAACAAGATGTATCATCCAAATCCATCCAAATATTAAAAAATCTTCAATGTGAACCAATGTGAACTAAATTTGGGAAGAGAGAAAATAGAATACACATAAAATTTCTTCACAAAAAGTTTTCAAGAAAAAATCAACTTGTTAAATCTACAAAATTCTTAAATTTCGTCAAAAAAATAATAAATTTGAAATCAAAATGAAAAGAATGAAATTTTGTGCAAAATGTTTTCTTTTACAGAATTCGTGATCAGATTCCAAGCAACTCTGACGCAAAAGGTAAAGGAGACTTCGATGAATCTCGACTGCCGTTTTACAAATGGGAATCAAGTCATCCGAACTGCAAGTCGGTGAGAGGAAAAGTGGCTTACATTTTAGGAGCAGAAAACCACACAATCGGCGTGGAAAAGGCACTTCGGCAGAGCTTAGAATTTGACACAATTCCCGTCCCTAATCAAAGCTTGGATGCGTTTTTTAACACAAGTACGATCAACTGCTATTAATTTGATCAAGTTTCATAGAATCTTTACTACGCAGTAAACAATGGGCAACAGCAAACTAATATCGGTTGCGTTATGATGTGCGTTTTTGCGAGGCTATACCTTGTTGATAAACAGAAAAGCGAAATATTCGCATCAATTGGAGGAAAAACAATGAAATTAGGTGATATAGTCTACAGATTCGTCGGCCCATCAAATGAAATGTGGATTGGACGACCAAAAATATTCTTCTTCGTAGACGAAACAACTAATGAGACAGATCATGTTGGAGTATGTCTGGCAATATACCTTATTATGTATATGAAATGACATGCTAATATTACTAATTCGGTTTGTAGGATCAAAAGTTTAATATCTGGGCCACGAATCATAGCGGATGCTTCGTTTGCATATTAAAAGGGAAAGGTGAGTTAGATTAAATTAATTAAATTACTTTTTGAACCAAACAATCATTCTGCATAGGTTCTGTTGAACTATTGATCCATCTCTTTGAGAATCCCCAGTGGAGAAATGGAACCTCTATTCAGGAGCTGGCCCTTGACCTCGTTCGTAATTATGCTCATAAGCCGCGTGGTGACGTAATTCCGCAAATCGTGTCCACGCTACCTTTCCTGGTTGATATACCCATGTGGCCAATAACATTTGTTGCACCTAGATTGACTTTGATAATTTCAAATTGCGTCTCAACAACAGATGCAAAAAATGAAATTGAAAATGAAGTATGTTTAAGTTCAATGGAACAAGATATATCAACGTCACTTAAAATGCATGGGCCTAGTGAGGAAATATTGCTGGCGTTTGACGAATTGAAACAGATGATGAAGCGCCAGTTTTTGGGTTCTGAAAAGAATGATTACTGCGTGTGGCTTTTATCCTCGCTACCCGGTTCAGGAAAGTCAACAATGCTCCTCGAAATTGCGAGTTATCTAAACAGACATCAGCTCAACAAAAAGGTCTTTACCATCCAACTTCAGCAACTTTACGGGTATTTTCACAAGGAACGGTACCCAAATATTGTGAATATAATATCCGTATCATATCATGTGAACTACGATATGAAGACACTAGTAGAAAAGGGGATAGTATTTCTGGACGGTTTTGATGAAATTTGCCCTGATTACCGTGCTAAAGTGATGCAGCTGATCAAAGATTTGACTGAAATGCAGATGCCACTGGTGATCGCAACCAGGCCCGAGGAAGCCGAGGCCATTTTAAAGTCTCTAGAATGGCTGTCTACAAGGAAGATAGAAATAAAACCTCTTGAGAGGGGAGAACAAATTGAACTTCTTGAGAAATTAGGCAAGCTTCCAAAAGAATGTGAAAAAATAATTGAAATCTTCAAACATAATGGATTTACTGATATCCTTAAGAATCCGTTCCATTTAACACTGATAAGTGACGTGAAGCTTGAATCATTTCAAGATATATTCAGCATCTATGAGACAGTAATTAAAAAAAAAGTAGGGGAAGCGTTACAAACTGCAAAGGAGAACAGGAACCCCAAAGAATATGAGATTGACAAGCGAATTACAATCTTGCAGGACGTTTCACTAAGATTTCTCCTAAATGACAAGTTAATTCCTCTGCCAAACGACATCAATTTAATCAACAACACCGGCATCGCATCAATGCAAATAGAGACAATACGATTCGTTCATCAAACGTTTGCTGAATTCCTCGTTGCTCAGCGTTTCATTCACGAAATAGAAAATGAATTTAAATCTTCCATTCCAATATTCCAAAACATCAACTTAAGACAGTGCCGAATTTTCATCGACAGTTGTGTTTCTAAAAATGGCCCTTTTCGAGATAATTTGACGAGTTTTTTAATCCAAAGCCACAATTTAGCTGTACATAGAATTTTAGGAGAAATGCTAAACAACATTCTTTTCGAGTTAAAACCAAAATTAAAATCGCTGCTCAAGGGTGAAGTAAACAAGCAGGACGAAAACGGTGATACGCCTCTCATTTTAGCAGCTAAAAATTCAAGCAGGGAAATTATTCAAATCTTGGTGGAAAATAACGCTGATTTGAGTGCGATGGACAGTAACGGAGACGATGCTTTGCATTTAGCGTGCAAAAGTGGAAAATTGGAGAATGTCCAGTATTTACTGGGTTTAAATGGCTTCAGCCTAGAAAAGAAAGGTAACAAAGGAAGAACTGCTCTTCATTATGCTGGTATGAGAGATAACATTGCTTTGGCCGAATTTCTTCTTTCAAAGGAAGCAGACATCAACGCACGCGACGATAAAATTGCAACGGCTCTCACTTACGCAGCTTGTTTTTCAAATAAAGAAATGTGTCAACTTTTGGTGAAGAACGGTGCTGATTTGAGTGCGGTTAATAGAGAGGGAAACGATGCATTGCATTTAGCGTGCTTCAATGGAAAATTGGAGAATGTCCAGTATTTGCTGGGTTTAAATGGCTTCATCCTGGAAAAGAAAGGTTCAAACGGAAAAACTGCCCTTCATTATGCTGCTCTAAGAGGGTACATTGCTGTGGCCGATTTTCTTCTTTCAAAGGGAGCAGACATAAACGCACGCGATGATGATAATCAAACGCCTCTTACTATATCAACGTATTTTACAAATGAAAAAATGTGTCGATTTTTGGTGGGTAGGGGCGCTGATTCGAGTGCGGTGGACAGAAACGGGAATAATGCTTTGCATATAGCTTGCTTCACTGGAAAATTGGAGAATGTCCAGTATTTGCTGGGTTCAAATGGCTTCAGCCTAGAAAACAGAGGTAACAACGGAAAAGTTGCTCTTCATTATGCTGCTTTAAGTAGTCACATAGCTGTGGCTAAATTTCTTCTTTCAAAGGGAGCAGATGTCAACGCACGCGATGATAATAATGAAACACCTCTCACTTTAGCAGCTACTTTTTCAAATGCAATGTGTCGAATTATTGTGGATAACGGCGCTGATTTGAGTGCGGTTAATAGTGAGGGAAACGATGCATTGCATTTAGCGTGCATCAATGGAAAATTGGAGAATGTCAAGTATTTGCTGAGTTTAAATGGCTTCAGCCTAGAAAAGAAAGGAAAAAATGGAAAAACTGCCCTTCATAATGCAGCTAGAAAGGGTCACATTGATGTGGTCGAATTTCTTCTTTCAAAGGAAGCGGACATCAACGCACGCGACGATAGTAATGAAACGCCTCTCAATTTGGCAGCTGCTTCTGCAAATGAAGAAATGTGTCGACTTTTGGTGGATAGGGGCGCTGAATTGAGTGCGGTTGACAGTGACGGAAACGATGCTTTGCATTTAGCGTGCATTACTGGAAAATTGGAGAATGTCAAATATTTGCTGGGTATAAATGGTAGCAGCATACGAAAGATAGCGTTAAACGGACAAACATCCCTTCATTATGCTGCTATAAGAGGTAACATTGCTGTCGCCGAATTTCTTCTTTCAAAGGGAGCAGACGTCAACGCACGCGACAATAATAATGATACACCTCTATTTTACGCAGCTTCTTTTTCAAAAGAAATGTTTCGACTGTTGGTTGATAGCGGTGCTGATTTGAGTGCGGTGGACCGTAACGGAGATGATATTTTGCATATAGAGTGCTTCAATGGACAATTGGAGAATATCCAGTATTTGCTGTGTATAGATGGTGTCAGCGTAGGAAAGAAAGGCAAAAACGGAAAAACTGCCCTTCATAATGCTGCTTCAAGAGGTCACATTGCTGTAGCTGAATTTCTTCTTTCAAAGGGAGCAGACGTCAACGCACGCGACGATGATAATGCAACTCCTCTCACTTACGCAGCTTTTATATCTAATGAAAAAATGTGTCAACTTATGGTGGAGAGCGGCGCTGATTTGAGTGCGGTTAACAGTGGCGGAAACGATGCTTTGCATTTAGCGTGCTTCAATGGAAAATTTGAGAATGTCCAGTATTTGCTGGGTTTAAATGGCTTTGACCTAGGAAAGAAAGGCAAAAACGGAAAAACTGCCCTTCATTGGGCTGCTATAAGAGATAACATTGATGTGGCCGAATTTCTTCTTTCAAAAGGAGCAGACGTCAATGCACGTGACGATGATAATAAAACGACTCTCATTTTGGCAGCCACTTCACAAAATATGAGAATGTGTCGACTATTGGTGGATAGGGGCGCTGATTTGAGTGCGGTCGACAGTGACGGAAACGATGTTTTGCATTTAGCGTGCATCGTTGGACAATTGGAGAATATTCATTATTTGCTGGGCATAAAGGGCTTCAGCCTTGGAAAGAAGAGCAAAAACGGAAAAACTTCTCTTCATTATGCTGCTATAAGGGGTCACATTGCTGTGGCCGAATTTCTTCTTTCAAATGGAGCAGACGTCAACGCACGCGATGATAAAAACGAAACGCCTCTCACTTACGCAGCTTGTTATTCAAATAAAGAAATGTGTCAACTTTTGGTGAAGAACGATGCTGATTTGAGTGCGGTTAACAGTGGCGGAAACGATGCTTTGCATTTAGCGTGCTTCAATGGAAAATTTGAGAATGTCCAGTATTTGCTGAGTTTAAATAGCTTCGACCTAGGAATGAAAGGCAAAAATGGAAAAACTGCTCTTCATTATGCTGCTCAAAAAGGTCACCATGCTGTAGCCGAATTACTTCTTTCCAACGAACTAGACATCAACGTTAGAGCCGACTTTAATGAAACGCCTTTCACTTTGGCAGCTTATTTTTCGGATGAAAAAATGTGTCGATATTTGGTGGATATGGGCGCCGATTTGAGTGCGGTACACAATGACGGAAACGACGCTTTGCATTTAGCGTGCCTCAATGGGAAATTTGAAAATGTCAAATATTTGCTGGGTTTAAATGGCTTCAGCGTAGAAAAGAAAGGCGAAAACGGTAGAACGGCTCTTCATTGGGCTGCAAAAAATGGTCACGTCACTGTGGTTAAATTTCTTCTTTCAAAAAAAGCAGATGTCAATGCACTCGATAATGATTATGACACGCCTCTCAATTTGGCAGCGCATTTTTCAATCGAAGAAATGCATCGTCATTGGGTTTATAGCAGCGGGGATTTGAGAGTGGTGGACAGTGAAGGAGCCGATGCTTTGCAATTATCGTGCTTAAATGGAAAATTGGAGACTGTACAGTATTTGCTGGCTTTAAATGGCTTCGGCCTAGGAGAGAAAGGCAAACACGAAAAAACTGCTCTTCATTGGGCAGCTCAAAAAGGTCACTTACATGTGGCCAAATTTCTTCTTTCAATGGGAGCAGACATAAACGCACGTGACGATAATAATGAAACGCCTCTCAATTTAGCAGCTTCTTCTCCAGATGAAATAATGTGTCGACTTTTGGTGAATAAGGGCGCCGATTTGAGTGCGGTTGACAATGATGGAAACGATGCTTTGCATTTAGCGTGCATTTATGGAAGATTGGAGAATGTCCAGTATTTTCTGAGTTTGAATGATGGATTCAGCCTAGGAAAGAAATGCAAGCACGGACAAACTGCCCTTCATATTGCTGCTTTAAAAGGTCACATTGCTGTGGCTGAATTTCTTCTTTTAAAGGGAGCAGACGTCAACGCACGCGACGATGATAATGCAACTCCTCTCACTTACGCAGCTGTCGCAGCTTATATATCTAATGAAAAAATGTGTCAACTTTTGGTGGATAGGGGTGCTGATTTGAGTGCGGTGGACAGTGACGGAGATGATGCTTTTCATTTTGCGTGCTTCAATGGAAAATTGGAGAATGTTCAGTATTTGCTGGGTTTAAATGGCTTCAGCCTAGGAAAGAAAGGCAAAAACGGAAAAACTGCACTCCATTATGCTGCTATAAGAGATCACATTGCTGTGGCCGAATTTCTTCTTTCAAAGGAAGCAGATGTCAACGCACGCGACGATAATATTGAAACGCCTCTCATATACGCAGCCTCTTTTTCAAATGAAAAAATGTGTCGACTTTTGGTGAATAAGGGCGCTGATTTGAATGCGGTGAACCGTGACGGAAAGGATGTTTTGCAGTTAGCGTGCCTCAATGGAAAATTGGAGAATGTTCAGTATTTGCTGGGTTTAAATGGCTTCTGCCTAGGAAAGAAAGGCAAAAACGGAAAAACTGCCCTTCATAATGCTGCTTCAAGAGGTCACATTGCTGTGGCCGAATTTCTTCTTTCAAAGGGAGCAGATGTCAACGCACGCGACGATGATAATGAAACGCCTCTCACTTACGCAGCTTTTATATCTAATGAAAAAATGTGTCAACTTATGGTGGAGAGCGGCGCTGATTTGAGTGCGGTTAACAGTGGCGGAAACGATGCTTTGCATTTAGCGTGCTTCAATGGAAAATTTGAGAGTGTCCAGTATTTGCTGGGTTTAAATGGCTTCGACCTAGGAAAAAAAGGCAAAAACGGAAAAACTGCCCTTCATTTTGCTGCTTTAAGAGATAACATTGATGTGGCCGAATTTCTTCTTTCAAAAGGAGCAGACGTCAATGCACGTGACGATAATAATGAAACGCCTCTCAATTGGTCAGCTTATATAGCAAATGAAGATATGTGTCAACTTTTGGTGGTTAGCGGCGCTGATTTGAGTGCGGTGGACATTGATGGAAACGATGCTTTGCGTTTAGCATGCTGCAATGGAAAATTGGAGAATGTCCAGTATTTGCTGGGTTTAAATAGCTTCGACCTAGGAATGAAAGGCAAAAACGGAAAAACTGCTCTTCATTATGCTGCTCAAAAAGGTCACCATGCTGTGGCCGAATTACTTATTTCCAACGGACTAGACATCAACGTTAGAGCCGACTTTAATGAAACGCCTTTCACTTTGGCAGCTTATTTTTCGAATGAAAAAATGTGTCGATATTTGGTGGATAGGGGCGCCGATTTGAGTGCGGTTAATAGTGAGGGAAACGATGCATTGCATTTAGCGTGCATTAATGGAAAATTTGAAAATGTCAAATATTTGATAGGTTTAAATGGCTTCAGCGTAGAAAAGAAAGGCGAAAACGGTAGAACGGCTCTTCATTGGGCTGCTTTCAGAGGTCACGTCACTATGATTAAATTTCTTCTTTCTAAGGGAGCAGACGTCAACGCACTCGATAATGATTATAACACGCCTCTCACTTTGGCAGCATATTTTTCAAACGAAGAAATGCGTCGACCTGGGGTTGATAGCGGCGCTGATTTGAGTGCGGTGGACATTGACGGAGACGATGTTTCGCGTTTAGTGTACTTCAATGGAAAATTGAACGATATCAACTATTTGACGCCTTTAGGCACAGCAGCTAGCTGTGAGTTTGAAACAGCAACCAGGGCTATTTTAGAAAGAGGTGCCGACGTTAACAAACGAAATAAGTCTTGCGCGACGGCTCTGACCATAAGCACGGTTGCAAACAACCACAAACTGATGAAAATCCTTCTGCAACATCCTGGGGTTGAAGTCGACGCAACCGATCCGGACGGCATGACTTCTTTGCACTATGCAGCAGCGTGTGGTCTCTACGACGCCATAACGATATTGCTGAAAAACAACGCTGAAATTAACTTGCAAGACAATTTTGGTAGAACAGCTCTGCACAGAGTGCTCGTATCAGGGAACCTTGAATGCATAAAGCTCTTGGTTTCGGAGCCAAACGTCAACGTCAACATACGCGATCATATGTATGGAATGGCGCCAGTCCACTTGGCACTGACACGTGACCAAGAGGACGCAGCCTATGCATTTATTGAAAGTGAACACGCAGACGTAAATTTGAGAGTGTCCTTGCCTGCTATACATGAAAACTTTATAGGTTTTACCCCCCTCCATATAGCTGCTGCCCACGGCCTGACCAGATCTATTCAACGACTAAAAGAAAAGGGTGCTAAGTTTGATATTCCGTGCGTTCAGAACCTGACTCCGCTTCATCTGGCTGCAAACAATGGACAAGAAGAAGCAACAAAGATGCTCCTGGAAGAGGGTGTAGATTGCAATGCGAAAGACGATCATGGGCAAACACCTCTCTATTTAGCAGCTGAAAAAGGAAGTGATAAGTGCGTCTTGGCTTTGGTCAAGGACGTCCGAATAAATTTAAATGTGACAAATGCAAGAGCAGAAACTCCCATTTTAATAGCAGCAAGGAAAAAGCATTGGGGTGTTGTGCAAATATTGGTTAATTATGAGGCTGACCTCGAAATAAGAGACTTAAATGGGCAGTGTGCCTTGGACGAATTGAGTAGCTTGTAAAATGAGAATTATCATATATGTTTTATTTTTATTTTTATAAGTAGTTAAATATAAAATTAATTTGTATGTATGTATCTTATAAGTTCTGTGTTATCTGTTTAGCACGTCATATGATTAAATAAACAAAATTTGGGAAACATATATAATTCGCAATAAATTATTTATTCTAAATATTATATTTAAAATATTTCATAAAATAAAAAAATTGAGTACAACCCAGGTGAAAAAATTCATATTTTAATAAAGACTTTAAAGTACTTTTTCCTTACAATTAGTCTTAAAATGTCTTCAAAAATGATGACTTTTTATTCATTATTTTTCGTAAAAATATTTTTCGTATTAAATAATAACTAATACAACGTATATTCTACGCACATTTTCATGACTCTAATGTCATTAAAAATTTTTTTGGGTTGAATAAAAAAAATAATAATAATCAGTTCACTATCAGTTGTTACTAGTCTTCAGTTTTTATGGTAATTCCATAAAAAATTGAAGAGCAAGCAATCACACACAAAGAAAAATGTGTAAGTTTAAAAATTATAAATTTTGTGATCATAAATAACAGTTGACATTTTGTTTTGGTACCTATTGGAAAAACAAATTTTCATAATTTCAACCTAGCTTAAAATAGTATTGAACATATTAAATTGAAATAATAATAATATAGTTGAAAATATAAAAAAAAAACTTTCGATCAATCAATTATTTCAGTTTAAAATCGGCTTTTCCTCGATGGGTTTTTTTGAGTTGTTTATTGTTTCAGAAAAAACAATATCCTGCTCTACATGTTTCGGCTGCGGGCTGCAGCCATAATTCATGAGCTGCGAAAACATTTTGACAAAAATTAGTACAAATATTTTTAAAAATATTTTAAATTTAAATCACCATGAATCAACCCTCGATCGTGAAATTCTACCACAAAATTATTTCAGATTTAAAGTCAAAATCACAAAACACCTCAATTTATAAAATTTATTGGTCTTTGCAGCTTCCCAATTTCATTTAATGATGCTTTCTGTAAAAAGGATATATTGTGATTACATAGTTAAACATTATTATATCTTTAAGATTATGAATTCCTAGGCACATAAAATTTAATTTAAATTAAAAAATAAAAAATTCATCCGTGTGACATGTGCATTTAAGATTTTTTTGTGAGAAATAATCTGTTGCTAAATATAAAAATAATTTTTTTATTTCTTTTAGAACTGATATATAAGGTGAAAATTTATAGTAATCATAATTTTAACTTGCATCTCAATAGAGTAATAATAATAAATCTCAGCTCACCTAAAAAGACGTAAAAATTGTCGATTTCGTGTCCTATGTATTCTTTTTCAAGCATGATTTTAATTTCCGTCCTCCAGTCAACATAAACAGCCGATCGATCCGTTTTACGAATAAGTGATCAAACAATCGAGGACCGAATTCCTCGCGGCACTCGCACCTGGTATTTCTGTCATTTCGCGGGGATTTTCACTTCACTTTTGAGCGTTTACCTTTTCAGGGAACTTTGGCCTCACTATTCCACCCTTTCTTGCTCATTTTCGCGGAATAAATCAGCGATAAAACCGCACAAAACATATTAAATGTCAAACTCTGACCGGGCACAAAACAAAACCTGTGGCGTTCATAACGAAAACAAATCAAAGCACTTTTGTTTACATATTTGAAAACGAGCCGCCCCGCGAGCCGAAGGCACCATTTAAAAAATCTCCAGGTAGTTTGCGCACATACAAAAATTTGTATCTGCTCACGCTTTGCCTGAGCAATGTTTGCGATTGTATGCAAGTTTAAGGCGCGAAGTTGTAAATTATAAATTTTTTATTCTTAATAAATAATTAATTCTGAGAAAATGAAATTGAAGTAAAATTTAGAATTTAAATTTTTGGGGATCAAATAAAATTAATGAAAATTAAATAATTTTGATTTGCCAAATTCCTGGGAAAGGAAATGAGCTAGTAATTAATAATGGTTCTTTGTAAAATTAAGTTTGATTTTAAAATAAAAAAATCCGAATTTTTGCGCATATCGTCCATGAAAAAAATAACTAACAATCTGAATATATTTTTTTTTGGAGAAATTAATTTAGAGGTCAAATAGATTTTTTTAACAATAAAAAATTATAAGCATATAATGAATAATGGTCATGGTCTTCTTTGTAGACGGCGGAAACAGAGAAATTTTGATTTTTACTTTTGTGCGACAGTCTCAGTAAATAATAAATTTTTTCAAATTATTCAAATTAAGTTTTTAAATCATCAATCCTTATCATTGAGTACAAAAGCATAATTTGATGATTACTGTGGAAATGAAGGTTGAAGTGAGTTTAAACGAATGCAAAGTTTATTTTAGAAAATCTTTAAAAATTATACGGTTACATCTCGGGCAGAATTTAAAATGTTAAAATGAGGTTTTTGAACACATATTTTCTTCAGAATTTCAGTATTTAATTCTCCTTTGGCACGTCTTCGCCAGTCTCGGTAATCTCCTTGTTTTTCGCCACAAACGTTTCCTGAAAAGCAGACAAATGTTTAGATATGGTTCATTTTTATTTAATAGAAATTTTTTACCATGATCTGGCCTGAGAAAGTGCTGAGATCGTTCAGGGCAGTCTGCACTTTTCCCGCCTGTTCCTTTACAGAGTCAGTCACATCCCTCAAAGTGCAGCTCTGTAAGTGTAAAAATAAAAATTTAGAAAAAAATATTTTAATTATTTTAAGTTTTGACGCACCATTAGTCCCTCGTACATTTGATGGGCGTAGGTCTGGGCCTGCTTGACCTGGGCAACCAGGGTGGCGGGCATCAGGTGCTCCACCTTCTCAGGGACACTGGCCAGAAAGGTTGAAACTCCGTGCGCCAGTTTTCGCGCCTCCTCTTCGGCCTCAGCTTTCTTTGGAATCTGCAAAAAAATTAGATCAAATATATAGAAAATATAACAAAACATTAAAAATTCTAAAAACAAAAATAGACGAATCTGCGAATAATTGAGTTAAAAAAAAAAAAACTAAAAATTGAAAATTTCTAGTAAAAAGTCTTATTTTTACAATTTTTTTATACAATCAAATTTTGACTTAATAAAAATGTTTTTAAGAAAATCTAAGTCGAACAAGATTTAAAAAATACCAAGTTGAGCAGTTGGTTCATCTGGCCAATGGAGTGCTCGCTCTGCTGTTTGATGCCCTGCATTTGGTGCACCACGGCCCTGTACACTCGGCTGCGAACCTTTCCGGACAACTGACCCACAGTTTGCAGGGAGTGACCAACTTTGTCCACGCTCAGGTCCTCAACTGGAGAGAAGAATTGAGAAAAATTTTCAACTGATGAGATGCGAATTAATACCTGGGGCGTCGACTTCTCCCTCTTCAGGGGGCATGTAGTAGTCGAGGTACTTGTTGATCAGGCCGGTGGTGGTGTCGAAACCGCTCAGGGCGATGGTGCCCCACTTGGTGGACAACATGTCGTTCGCCTTGTTCCAGCTGTAGTTCTTCGCGGCGGACACTTTTTCCATGGCTTGCTCGTAGATCTAAAAAAATATGGACAGATTTGTTTGATCTCATTAAATTTGCAGTTTATGCATTTTGTTTTTATAATTTCCAAAAGAAAACTAGATGATGGTGTGAATTTTATATAAAATTTTAAAATGCGAGCATTAAATTTTTTTCATTATGTCTTTATAAAAGACTTTAAGAAAGTGGTTAAAATATTATAAAAATATGAATTTTTAATAACTTTTAATGGATTCCAGAAATTTTTGAGAGAAAATTAAATTGCAATTTTGCATTTGTTATTAAATTTTACTTCCAAATTGAACTTCATTGAAGTAAAAATCTTTCAATTATTATTGCATTTTTTTTATTTTTTTTAGTCTTTTGGAATTAATTGAAATTTTATATGAAAAATAAAAAATGGAACTGAATATTTTATTATTTTATTACATTGAATAAAAATAAGTACCTCTCCAGGTTGTTCCTTGATGATGGGCACCTTGTCCTCGACGAGCGCCAGTCCGGAGCAGATGGTGCGGTCGACGGCCTGGATCGGCCCCTGCGGCAGTTTGCTGGCCGCCTGCTCAGCCAACTTGGCCACGGTGGCCACGGTCGACTCGGCCGTTGACAGGGTCCAGTTAGCAACGCCGCTTGACCCCTTGACCTTGTCGTACGCCTCGATGGTCTGATGCGTCAGCGCCTCGACCACCGGCAACTTGGACACTTTGTCCACGCACGCCAAGTGCAGGCTGCCCAAATTTTGCTCATTCTCACCAACAATCTTCAGGGGAAATTATTTAGATTTAAAATTGATTAAAACTAAATTTTTTTAAATTTTTTGAAAAATAAAAAATACAAAATAAGATTTATAATTAAATAATAGAAAATTTGTGTAGCAATAATTGAAGCCATTTCAAAATTGGATTAATTGATTCAAAAATTAAGAATTGCAAATAAATTTGGAAATTAAAAACCTAAAAATTAAATGAAAAATTTACAAATATATCAATGAAAAAATTGCAATGACTTTTTTTTCGGAGAGATTCTAAATAATTTTAATTTGGGTTCAATGTAAAAAATTGTACCTGTTGGTTTTCAGTCTGCTCGTTATTATCCTGCGTTGCCTGCATCGTTCTGTACATGCTGGAATTAGAAAAATCACACGAATGTCAAAAATGATCAAACTTTTTGTGTAAATATTATCTCGCGGACTTTGCACTCCAGAATTGCGTTCCGAGCATTCTCTGACCAACACTGCGACTGACTTCTTTCATAACCACGATTATTGTTATGTCACACCCATGCCTATTTTGTGCTCATTTTATTTCCAGACATGCACAAAAGGAAGCTCTCTAATTGTAAGCACTACGTCTATAAAAGGAGAAAGAGGAATCCATACAAAAATAAAAAATCGAAAAGAAAAAAAATTAAACTGCAGTAAAAAAAGCAATATTGAATATTTAAAAATCCAAAAAAATTCTAATTCTGGTTAATTAAAAAATTAAATCTTAAGTTATGCAAAAATAATTTAATAAATATAATTCTAAAAAATATTTACTGATGTGAAAGGGTAAAAATGGTAAAATAATCCACAATTTTGACCAAAGTAATATGAGAAAATATTTATTTTTAAAAATATAAAAAAAATGAAATTTAATTATTAATATTAGTATTCATTAATTGAAAAATATGTAAATCAAATATTTTTTTTTAATACTGTCACATACGGTATCTATGAGATCCATATTTAGAATAATATTAGAAGATTATTTAGAAGAAAGAAGAAATACATCATATATTTTTTTCTTTTTATCAATTTCGCTGATCAATTGGTTATTAGCTTTTTCCATTCAAGTCAAAAGTTTTATTGTATTAATATACAATAAAAAATTTATTTAATGTTAATTGACGCCGCATATCGGCGGCTGACAAAGCCAACAAAGGCCACGCAAGTCAACAGGGCTTGCCCTCGGCCAAGAAATAAATTTAAATTATATACATCGATCATCATAATTATGATGTTAAAAATTAAAAGAGTAAATTGCCTAAATATCTAATATTTATAAGAACAAAGATTCAAATATATGAAAAATAGCTAGTATATTATTTGAATTATAATGGAAAGCTAGGAGCGGCCTCCTATAAAAAGTCTGAAAACTCACCAACAAGTTTCTTCTGCAACGAAAAGCTGAATTAAAATTCGGACAATTAGAGCGACAACTCGAGCGACTCTGCAGTCCGGCAAAAGCAGCTCAACTGATTCTAAAATTTAAAGGGCCTACGTGTCGGTCGGGACGAAAACAGGACCTTTCTGGATGATTCCAATTTTCCACTCCAAAACCTACTCATCGGTCCACACACAAGCACATGATTCATAAGAGAGGGGGAAATGCGTGCCCTCTTCTGTCAGTCGATTGACCTCCGAAGTGCAGCGAATGCATTCGGGGCGGCCTCTCCAGTGCATCTCCCAAAATGCATCTTTTAATAACCACAATATTTTTTTTTTCTATTTATTTTGGGTAAAATTGGGTAATTGGATAATTATGAAACAACTCGATTAAATTAAACTCAGAGTTTATTATTATTTTTTTGACAAATTTAAAAAAGTCAGTTGAATTAAAAATTTCCGATTTCTCGTGTTTATTTTTTGGTCTTACATGAAAAACAATAATTGATAATCACCTTCGAATTCCAACCAATGAAAAAGTTACTCTTGTTAAGTACACAAATTAACACTTAAAAGCACTTAGTTGGTATTTTTATAGAAAAAAAATTCGGCAAAAGCTCGATTCTTAAAGGAATTACACATTGCTTTGGGAGCGTCAGGATTAATTAACATCCTCCACTCTTATTGTTTTTCTGATTCATTGATTTTTTTTTCTTTAAACCTTGATATTGTAGTTTTTTTTTCATTCATCTTTGAATTTCACACAATTAGCTAATTCGTCTCTTTCACTCTCACACTGATGAAACTTAAATTTAGTATTTTTAAGGGGCCTTTTTAACCGGCCCCGAGTTAATTGAACTTGACATCGCACATTGCGATACAAGAAAAAATAATAATGATATCATTTTCAAAAGACAATCACAAAGAATCAAACGTGTTAATTGCTATTGAGCTCACAAGGAAGTAGTTTTTCGATCTTATTTTTTCTGTCAATACACATGATAAGTTCTTAGTACAGACGATGGAATTAAAAAATTCAAATCCATACTTATTAATCGCATTCTTGACACACAAGAATTAAAAAGATTTCCTGCGCCTGCAGATTGGTCTCTATACCTACTGTTAATTATTTTTCTCGGGTGTCGCTACCCGTGGAAATTATTATTAATTTTTTTTTCATCATTTTTATTATTGTTCAGTGTCTAAAAATGGCCAACGAGAAAATGCCAGTGCGGAGAAGAATCAGTTAAAAATATTAAAAAAAAAATCTCGCTTCAATAAATTATTTTTGAACGTGGACATACCTATGGTACCTTAAACGTAAACAATGAACACAAATTAAATGAGCCTGTGATCAAAATAGTCACTAAGAAGTTTTTAACTGAACAAAGAATGATGGGCGTGATGACAAAATGATATTAAAATGCTAAAACGAACCCTTTTTGGCTCAACAAGATCAATCGAGTGTTTCCGAGATTAAACAACTTGTGGATTTCGGTGGCTCTCGTCGTTTAAAAATCAAAATTAATTAATAAAAAAGTGGCTAAAAGTCAAAGGAATATTATCACATGTCCTAATAATGAACCAACTTAACATTTCTTTCTTTTCGCTGATGATATATGAAAAAAAAATCAGATTTGAGAGCCATTAAAGTGTAGAAAAATTAGTGTACTGTGTCTATCATCTCTAAAGATAATAAGGCAGGAATGAAGGTATATTTTTTTTCTTTAAAAACGGCCGCCGATGAAAATTCAACGCCGGCTTGCGAAAGAAGTGTTGTTGCCGTTGCCGCCGCCGCCAACCTTGAAGTCCTTGAAGCCGGTGCCCTGCTTGTTGCTGTCAAAGTTGCTCATCCCCCTGCCGCCTCCTCGGCCGCGACCGCCGCCCTCGTTGCCCCGTCGCATGTTCATGGGACCCCCGGGGCCCGAGTTGCCGCTGCCACGGTTCATGCTGCCTCGGAAACCTCCGGGGGGTCTGTCGTCGCCCGAACGGAATCGGTTCCGCTTCTCCTCGATGTTCAGGTTGTGCGTCGGGTCAGATGGCATTGTGATTGGCTGAAATTGGATTGTTTTATTATTCATTGGAAAAAATTTACTATTTTGAAAATCGATGTTTATTTTGATAAATTTTAGGTGATTTCTCAAATAAATTTCAACACAAATTAAATTTGCCAGTCTTTTTGAGCTTAAAATTGCATCTGTTTCAATTTATCCAAAAAATCTCCCAAATACTTCCAGAATTGTTAAACTATTTCGTATTTCTTCTGCAATTGTTTTTGGGAACTTTGATCACCTTGGACTGCAGACAGAGCTTAACGGCGGCCGGATCGCTGAAGATGACAAATCCGTACTTGGGGAAGATCTTGCCTGGCTGACCCTTTGCCGGAGCTTTGCAGTTCAGACGCAGATCGACGACGGTTCCGAACTTAGAGAAAATCTCCTTGATGTCCTGCTCAGACGCACTCAGGGGAACGTTTCCGACGAAAATCTGCTGAGCGTCCGGATAGGGGGCAGTCGGAGGAGGCCCTCCTGAGCCGGACAGACGCCGCTTTTCACCCTCTGAAAATATTATAATTTAGCAATTTTATCAAATATTTTTTTCATCTTATTCCGTTTGATTTAAATTTTATACCTGCAGGTTCCTTCCTTTCCTCAGGAGCTTTTCCCTTGACCTTGGGCGGTTGTTGGCTCGACGGCGCCTGAGCGGTCTTCGGCGGCTGCGTTTTGCCCCCCTGCTGCTGTTGACCTGCGGGTGGTCTACCCTGAATGGGTGGATACGAGTCGACGTCGACCACCGGCAGGGTTTGCGCCGCCGCAGACATGATGTTGGCAAACGAGGTCGGCACTTGGCTGCCCGACTTGACCAAAGTGGCGTACGTCTTCGGACCTTTGCTCGCTGGAATTTTCAAAATCGTCTCAACACGACTCTGACCTTTGGGAATCAAACCTGGTTCGGCGGGAATGATTTCGGCGACAGGTGCAGGCGGTTCCGGGTTCTTCTCTTCCTGAGGCGGTTCGACTTTGGGCTTGGGCCGCGGCTTTTCATTTTCTTCAATCCGGGTTGTTGCCAGAGGGGTCGGGTTGATGGTTTCGACGGTGCCATTGATCAGTTGCGTGCCGGATGGATAAAAATTAGGCAAGTTTGATGGAGGCTGAAATTAAAAATTGAATTTTTATAAAAAAAATATTCTTACATCTTCCAAAAATATTTGAAGATTTTCTTTGATAACGAACCTGATTTCGAGCTTGACTAGAAGTTTCCGTTTCGTCGTCAACGTCCTTGAGTCCAATGTCAGACTCCTCGTCATTGATCATTTCATCCTGCAAATTAATTGGATCAATATTTTCCTTCTCAAGTTGAAATTTTGCAATTTTACCTGGTAACGGAAGATGTCATTGTGGACGTAGTACTTTTTGGGCGACTGCTGGGCCAGCACGAAGGTCTGGGTGAAGCGACGCATGGGCTCGCCGTTGTTGGAGAGTTCACCGGTGACCTGCACGACGACCCCGTTGCCCAGGGTGGCCTGCGAGTCGACCTGCCGGATCTTGGCGTGGCAGTCGTTGAACTCAAGCTGCTGGATGCGGTGGTGGATCTGCCGCTGGCCGATGACCGGCTTCGTCTCGCGGTTCGGCGTGTCCAGTCCTCCGTGGACGAACGAGGAATTCTCGTTGTAAAACCTGAACAAGAAGAGATGATGAAATCGGGAGTGGAAAATTTTCTGTGTAAATCATACCGGTGAAGATGCATCGGCGCCTGGTTGAGCAGTGTGTAGTACTGCCGGACGAATTCCCGTCCGACCACGTGGGGACTTGGTGTTTCCTCCATTACCATTCCTTCTGCGGACGGAAAATTTGCGTGAGAACGAGACTTTGAGAGGGAAAAAGCAGCGTGCCGGGGCGGCGTGCAACTTTGATTGGCCGGTATTTCGCCGAATTTCGAACAATTAGCGGCGATTTATGCACCCTCGGATCGCATTTTTTATACCGAACAAGACTGTCCAGGAATTGACGGAGAATTTACCTTTTTGATGGCAACAGGGGTCGCGAAAGACGAAAATTCAGTGTTGATAAACAAGAAATAATGATGGACGCCGAAATCCTAACATCAACAGCTGAGTCCCGCGACGACCAATCAGCGAGCGATTTGATCGTGACGTCATCGGTGTGCAGCATCTGATTGGCCTATATGGCGGCGGCCATCTTGAACCGATACGAGCCGCGCAATATTCGAATTTCATTGTTGCAGCCATGTTAAATTCTTGGATTCTGATTGTTGCAACACTGAACTTTTTCGCGCTTTCTTTATTGAGATTTTTCAAGATGGCGGCGGAACTTATTTTCTATTAATGGTATCTCTCGCAGAATATGCAGATGCAGAACTCGCAGAGACCAGAGAGGGAAAAAGGGTTGTTTTGATTTTTGTCTCGCCCTCTCTTTGTCTTTTGCATGGTCAGCGAATTTTGGTTCTCTTTGATGCGAGGAAACTAATAATCATTAACGAATTGGCCCTCTAATCGAGTAAGTAAGTTTGTTTTCACTACTTTAAATCTTAATTTCGCAAAAAATCAAAAGTCTAAGGCGCAATCGTAGTATTGCAAGATACTTTGCAAAACTCGTTCGCCGCCCCAATCGATAAGAATTCTCTCGAGTGTCAGGCACGAACGTATAATATTGTTTGTTCGCCTGCTTTTCTCGACTGCAGTGACCTTCTTCACCTTTGCCACTTATTTTAACACGCAATTCCTTTCACAGAAAACTTTCAGCGACATGACGGCGGCCAAGGTGTTCCTGGTTGCCTGCGGCTCCTTCAACCCTCCGACCGTGATGCACTTTCGCATGTTCGAGGTCGCCAGGGACACCCTGAGAAGGCAAGGGTTTGAAACTATCGGCGGCGTCGTCTCGCCTGTTCACGACGGTTACGGAAAGGAGGCATGTTTTGTTATAAATTTTAATCAAACACAAATTAATGGGAAATTCCAGGATCTTGCGAAAATCGAGGACAGACTGGAGATGTTGCGGGTGAGTGCGAGTGACTCTGACTGGATCCGAGTGTCCGACTGGGAGTGTCAGCAGTCCGAGTGGCAATACACGGTCAAAGTTCTCCAACATCACCAAGTCAGCAGGATTTTATTTGCAAAAATTGGTTCAATACTGATTTTTTTTTGGTTTAGAATTGCCTGAATGCCATTCCGACAGCAAATCTGAACGCCAAAAACTCTAGTCCGTTGAAAAATGGTCCGAAGAAGCAGCGAATATCAGACCAGGAGCACCCCTCCTGGATGACCACCTCTGCAATTACGGCAGCTTTGGATGGAGAGGTCCAGGTCAAACTACTGTGCGGAGCCGACATGTTCGAGACTTTCATCAAACCTGGACTTTGGAAAAACGAACACGTTCGGATTGGCCAATTAAAAAAGAAAATTGTATGATTAAAATTGCTTTTTTTAAGGTTGAAGAAATTCTCGGACAGTTCGGAGTGGTGGTTGTGCACAGAGATGGTTGCGACCCGCACAATCTAATCTACGAAAATGATCTCATGAACAAATATCAGGTACGATTTTTTTTTTTAATAATTAGCAATTTGACTATGATTGGGATTTTAGTCAAATATAGTGGTGGCTAAGGAGTGGATAGCCAACAACATCAGCTCGACCAAGGTGCGCAGGGCCATTCGACGAGGCGACAGTGTCAAGTATCTTGTCCATGACAAGATCATCAACATGCTGCAGACCTACAACAATAATACATAGTGAGTTCGGTTGACTGAAATTTTGGTTTTAAAACTACAAAATGATGAACAATGTGATAAGTAATTTGAATTGAAAAAGGTTTGATCTCTAAATGAATTTTAAATGATTAAAAATACTACATTTTTTAAACTCATAAACACCAATTTGACTCCAATTAAGATCGGAATCACGAAAAAATAGAAAATTTATTAACTCATTACTTTTAACTTAATTACTCAATTTAAATGAAATTAAGCTCCTCACAGGATCCCAATTTTGGGAAAGAATTTGTAAAAATAAAACATTAATTACTTTTTATTTAAATTTCTGCTAATGCAAAATGAACATTTCTTTTTGTGCTGCCAATATTTTTTTTTTAAATGGATCGCAGTAAGTACACGAGTTTGTTTCCGACGCCGTCACCGAACGACGTGCTCATGGAGTCGTCGTCGCCCAGTTTCGTCAACGACCTGAACAAGTTGGCCGGCAATCGTCGGCCGCCAACTTTGCTGATCGAAAAGGCGCTGCCCGGTCAGGCGATCAAAGTGACCAGCAAGGAGGAGGTCGTAACAGGTGACCACCCAGCCGCTGCACAGCACGAAACCAAAGTTCAGATCCAAATCACCAAAGATGGCATCAAAGTCATCAGCGATAAAGAAACCACTGTTTAAAAAAAAAATTGCAAATTGCAGTGCCAAATTTTAACTCGCGGTAGATTTAGACTGATTTGAATTTAAAAATTAGAAAACTAGAGAACTTTTTAGATGGTTTGTCTGCTAAAAAAAAAAAACGCACCAGTTTCAAGCAAAGAAGTGCCTCTGTCAAATGTCTAAAGTTAAAAATTAGGCACTGAAAAATCAAAAGCCTTCCTCTCTCCGAATTGAAAAAACGTAGCTTCCAAACTTCTCGACTTTTACACCAGCGTGTGATGAGTTTTTGCCCGTGATGTATACAGTGTGTGTGTGCCAAAGTGAGACACTTTTGATACGGCATGCTTAGATATTTCCGCACAAAATCAAACTCGATTATTTTCTGCATGTTTTTCCCTTTTGCCCTTTCTTGATTAGGTCGTTCTTTTCTGTTTGTTTGCAGGTTCTGACCGAGTCCCATGCATGAGCAGTCTTAGGGACTATGTCAAGGTCATCAGTGAATGCAAGAAAAACAACAACCCCATTGATTATGTGTAATAATTTCTGTGTAAATATCATGCGCCCGTGTAGCCAGAGTGATTAATCAAATTTCAACTCTGTGTTCCTTTTTATTTTCCGATTTTGGCTGCTTCAGCATGTGACGTAGTTGTCGTAGTTTTGATGGCTCATTTCTGGAAAAATTGATTGGTCTCAAAAGTCATTTACAAATTGATGAAACTAGATTTTAAATGTATGTATATCAGCAGGCCTGACAAAGAATAAAAATAAAAAAATAACTTACAAATTTGTTTGATTTAAAAAAAAATCAAAATACCAAATTGTTGCAGATTACTATACTTCCATAGGTTTTTATTTCTGATCAACAAAGCTCACTGGTTCGTTCACTAAATTTGCACATTAATTCATATTTTTTCTCCATTTAAAAATAAACACTGGTGTGTATTTTATCCTATTTGAAAGTGCAAAGGAAACATCTTGTTTTTTTTCCTACGTCAGTCCCTCTTCGTCACATTTATAATTATCGAGTCTTGCCACGAATACATTCTTTCGTCTACACAGTGGTCACAGAGAGGATTCCGCCCATCTTGTTGCAGCCGATCACTGCCGTGGGTGGACATCGGGTTTGCTGTTCACGTCTCTTGGGCGCCGAACACGTTTTGCTCTTGCCCTGTTTGGCCTCCTCCTTTTCCCGGATCACAGCTTCCTGGCGCTTCCGCCGCTCCTTGGCCCGCTCGAGGTGCTTCTTCCGCTCCTCTTTGTTCCAGTAGCGCCCAATCTGAACACACAAATTACAAAAAATTATTTCTGATTGATTTGAATTGTATTTAAAATATTTATTACAAATTTGATAATTATTTATTCCTGGAAATCAGGAAAAAAACATTTAGATTACCTTTAATTCAGACATGGTGTCGTCATCGGTTGTCAGTCCTGCCCTTTCCTCTGAGATCTTGTGTGCTCTTTCCTGCAGAATTTTATTTCTGACTGGCCTGCGAGTTATGTACCTGCAAAAAAGGGATTATGAATTTTAGTACCAAATTCAAAAGTTATATGATATAAATGTCTTTAAAACTTTTTTAATTATTTATTTCTGACCAAGGTAAAATTCATATATATAAAAAAAATTCATTTAAAAAATTCCGGCATTTGAATATTTTGGATTGTTTGAATAAAATTTTGTAAAACCTTTTCATATTATAGAAATAATTCAATCCTTCATTTTAGAAAAAAAGTAATGTTTTCCAATTACGAATTTTTCTCACCTAGTTCCGTCAGCTTTTCTCTTGACCTTCCAAATCATGACCGGCTCCTCTTCGATCACCTTGGTTTTCTCCTGCTGCTTGACTTGCGGCCTCTGCTCTGACCTGCCGGTGCTGTTGCACCTGACCACTCCATAGCCGCTGACGAACTGGTAATTGCTCAAGTTTGGAGGGCAGTAAACGGGGTTGGTGGGTCGAGGTGGCAGCGGCTGCTGCTGGCTTCTGGGAGGGGTGGTTGGGCACTTTGGACTGGTCTGCTTTTTGCTCGTAATCGCTTGTCGAAACATTTCCTACAGATTCAAAATTAAATTAAAATATTTAAAAGATATTTCATAAAATTTAAAAAATTTTAAATTCAAAATATTATCTATTTTTGCAATTCCCAGTAGAATACATGCTTTGTTTATGATTTATGAGTAAATTTTTCTTTATATTTTTTATTGATTTTTAACCTGTTGGAGTTGGATGGTCCTTTGCAGGTTGGCGGCGTTGGTGTACATGGTGTTGGGCACTTCTTTCTGACTGAGTTGCCTCGACTTTTCTTTCGAAGGGCTCTCCAGCGACGAAAGGCCCATGCACTGTCTGCACCGGTCGCACGAAAAGCCGCTGTCGTTTTGGTGCTGCTGGCTGGGCGATTTGCTCACATTTGCCTGAGGAAAAATAATTATAAAATTAGTCTTTAAAAACCAAATATCTTCATTAAAGTTAAAAGTGTTTTGCAAAAAAATTTTAATTAAACAGTTAAATTTATAATTGAATTATTTGGAAGAAAAAAATTAAATTCATTCAATTTAATTTAATGTTGAAAAATTGTAATTTTTACTTTCTTCTTAATTTAAAATTTAATGATTAATGGTACATTTCCAGTTAGAGATTTAATTTTACTGCAAAAAATTCTCTTGACTTGTCTAATAAATTGTTAAGTGTTAATTTTCTTCAATAAAAAATAAAAATTAAAATTTTATAGATAACATGTTTTTAAAATTAATTAAATTAAAAATTCTCTCCTAAAACAATGTTTGTTAATTTCATCCCAATTTAAATTTCAAAGAATCAAAAATTTAATTTTTAATTTTTATATCGTAGCTTAATTACTTTTGGCTGGTTGAGATCAAGGGTGAGAGGGATGCTGCGGCAGGACTCGCCGGTGTTGTAGGCGCTGGAGCTGTCCTTCTCCTTGTCGGACGAGGGACTCTTCCTGGGCGGCTCCACGTCCACCCACACCTCTCTGCTGACGCTTTTGCTTTTGCCCGGCTCGTAGGGCAACGAGTAAATGGGTTCGGCGTCCGATGCTTCCGAGATGGTCTCGTAGATGTGCTCATTCTCCGAGTCACCAAACGGCCGCATCGCAGAAGGGGCCTCTGGCGCCGCCCCCGCCGCCCACGGCAGGGTCGAGTCCAGGGTGATCACGGCCATTTTTTTGCTCAGCGCCGACAATTGCTGGTCAATGATTTTTAGTCTCTGCTCCGCCAGCTTCTTTGCTTCTTCCGACTTTTCCGATTTGCTCTCAGTGCTTCTAAAAACGTAATTCATGAATTAATTAATTTATTTATTTTCCTAATTAATAATTCTTTCATTTTTAAATTGATTAAAGGTAATAATTTTATACTTGGGCGAATTTAATTTTTTTCATAATATATTTTAGGTGTTAAAATTCCATTTAAATTGATATATTATTTCCTAATTTGGTCCAAATTTTGTAGTTTCCAAAAAATTTATTTATAATCTAAATTTTTATTGTACTAAATTAAAAGTAAAATCGAAATTCTTTACATTTTAAGTTAATTTTTAAACAGACTAGAAAACGGAGATTTGAGTTTAAATTTGTGAAATCGTGAAATTCTACCACAAAAAGAAAGGAAAATCTAAATTGCGAAAATATTTCCTTATTTTTGGATCATTGTCGATTTTTTAATTAACCATTTTATAAATTTAAAGGTCTTACTTATTGATTATATTTGGATCACAGCTTTCGTCGCTCTTTTCTTCTTCCTCCTCCGCTCCGTCCTCCTCTCCGCTCTTGATGATGAAAGAGGTTGAGACTAAATCGTAGTCGTCCAAGTCCTGCACAACAAATAAACAGAGCGATTAATGAGAATAATAGTGGCATCAAATGTTCGCTAAAAGCTGCAATTTTTATTTGTTCTTATTGTTTGTTTCACAGCGAATTTTTAATTTGGTGGCGCAGCAACCGTTGTGGATAAAAAAAAAAACGGAGCAAGAGAGAACAATTGTTCGCCGCAATGGCCAGGGAGAAACGCTTTTTTCTCTCCCATGGCATCCCATAATGCGTGCGCCGGCAGAAAGGATTGAACGCCGTTATGGTCGCCAAATTATGTCCGAAATTTAAATTCTGGCAACAACAATTGGAATAAAAAAAAAGAATAATTGTAAGTGACAAAATTCATTAACATTAAAATATTAAACTACTTTCGCAGAAATTTATGCAGCAAAACTTCCATCAATATCAATTATTTAAACCAATCTCCTGCCAAATTAAATTTTGTAAGACGAAACTCATTAGTTATTATTTTTTTAATTCTCATTTTCTTTTTGATCAAAAATTATTAATTGAAGTGGATTTTTTTTTTAAGATTCTCTAAAAAGCCGTAATATTAAATTTTCTCATTTATTGATTTCTATTTTCCGCATTAAAAATAAGTTTGAAGAAAAAAAAGGCCGTTTTTAATTTTACTTCTTGGTTGTTTTAAACTGAAGAAATTATTTTACTTTTAAATAGCCCTGATACATTGTTTAATACTTTATTAGCAAAACCGAGCAAAATTTTTAAAAAAAGCAGCCATTTTTTGCAATTCTCTGAAAACAATTGGAAATTTTAAACAATAATTGTTCTAAATAATTTTAACTTAGGTCAATGTGAGTGTAACAATTGGACGAATAAATTGATTTGTTTGTTCTTTTGAACGAACAATTAATGACAATTATTCCATAAAATTTCGAGCCAAATGCGGGAGCCCGGCGCGTTATGACACACCATACGCGACTTCTTCTTGTGCAAGTCGCGCCAATTGTCTGCGCGCGGCCGAGCAATTTTCTCATTGTTGCGAGAGAGCATCCGCGGCTCGGTCGCGCTCTGCACCACCGACCGATCTCCGATTCCGCCGCGTGGGAGGCGCCGAAAATAATTATTGTAAAATCCTTTCTCTCTCGTGATTTACTGCCGCCGCAACGCGCATTACATCCGAAAGATCAAGGTCCACATTCGAAAAATTCTTCTTTCCCTCATCCCAGATAAGATTATTTTAGTTTCGAGTCATTCACTTTTTCAACGCTGCGAAATGCACACCGTCCCGCACCTCATCGCCGGTTTGTGACTTTTTTGTTTTGTTTTTTATTTTATTGTCTTTATTTGGCGATCGGCCAGCAGTTGTGGCGGCGGGATTGTTGCTGGCGGTGCGAGCCCAGCAGGACCCGCCGAGACTCTCCTGCCAACCCGGAGACCCGCAACCCCCGTCCAGGGTCAACACCACCGAAAGGGTCAATGCCCTCCGCGGACTGATGCAATCGCTCAACATTGCGGCCTACATCGTTTTGACCAACGATGACCACCAAGTGAGTATTATTAAGTATTTTAATTTGCCAATTTAAAAAAAAAAGTTTTTAATTTCAATAATTCCGAAAAAAATAATTAGAATTACTCATTATTTTTGAGCCAGAATATCTTTCCTGACATATTTCAGATTAAAAAAATTTTAATAGAGTATACAAGTTTTTAATTTTGCAATTTTATTTTTTGGTTTTTAGAGAAAAAGTCCAAATCGGCTTCAGTTCAAAAATTTAAAAATCAAGATTTTATTTATATCTGAAATGTGTGTTTAAATGGTTTAAAGTATCAACTTGAGGAGGGAAACAAAAAAATTCGTTTGATCGAGTTTTTTTCCACTATTTAGGGTTATTAGCGAAAGTTTTGTGTAGTTTTTTTGAACAGTTTGAAGCTGCTTATGTGCAAGATTTTTAAGGATCTTCATATTTGATGTATAATTTCAATTTTGTTTATCAATTACTAAAAGAAACGCCCAATCTGATTGATTGTCAAGCTATTTTGGGCTCAGTTTTGAATAATATCAAATAAAAAGTAGTCCAAAACTAGAATAACGAACAATAGAAGCCAGTTTTTGCAATTATTGCAAAATTTATTTAAATTTTTACTTTTTACTTTATATTTTTTGGAAATTCCTTGACGCAAAGTCCAAAGAACTTTTTAAACTAAACGGCGTTTTTATAATAAATTTCTCCTTTAAAACGATCAATTAATTTTTATTTTTCAAGAGCGAATATGTGGCCGACTACGACGAGAGGCGGAGGTTCATCAGCGGCTTTTCGGGAAGCAGCGGCTGGGCCGTGGTGACCAAAAACGAGTCGGCCCTTTGGACGGACTCGCGTTATTTCCTGCAGGCCGACCAGCAGCTCGACTGCGACTGGAAACTGATGCGCGACAGAAACGCAGGGGTGCGGGCCATCTCAAAATTAATAACTTTCAAAAGAGAGAGATATGAAAAATGAAAGTGAAGGGGGATCATTTTTTTGATAAATAGGTTCCGATGATGGAGCAGTGGCTGATCGACAACCTCAAAGCGGGCGACGTCGTCAGCGCCGACCAGAAAACGGTGCCCGAGTCGCAGTGGCAGACCTGGCTTAAGGCGTTTGGTATTCAAATTTTTGTACAAATAATATAAAAAATCTTCTATAGAATTTTAAAAGAGAAGGGAACGGAATTTTACGAAAATGTTTGCAGATTAGGAAAAAAAGGATTGGAAAAAATTTAAAGCAGATTTATTAAAGTTCCTAAAAAAAACTCTAAATATCTATGACAGACAAAACAATAACAAATTGAAAAAATTATTGATTATATCAAATCTTCATAGGAACAAATAATACTTTGATAAAAAGTATAAATTGAACTCATGCTTGGTGAAATTTTTATCTCCATCAAGGAGTAAGCTCGTTTTTCAATTTTATCTTTGAGTACAAATTTAATCTACAAATAATTAAGTAGAAGAAATTTTCAACTTGCTGCTGCTTTCAAAATAATAAAAAATAAAATTATAAAATATTTTATATTGCGAATTAACCTGAAAATTGTTTTTTGTAGCTTATGGTTTTACAAAAGCTTGAAATTGAATTTTAGATAATATAAAAAAATTAAAAATCATGTGATTTGATTAATTTCATTTTACAAAAACGGTTACTTTTAAATTTCTAAATTTTGATTTTATAAATGTTTATAGCATTTGCAAATTGAACATTTGAAATTTACATAATAGTTTTTAATTTTAAAGATATAAGAAAATTTTTACTAAAAAAGATAAATTTTTAACAAAGAATTGAGCATTGTTGCAAATAACATTTCCAATTATGATAAAAGAAATATTTTCAACAAATTTTTTCTAACTAGTATAGTTTTTACAACAAAAATCTATAATGGCAGTTTAAAAAAATTACAATTTATAGAAATTTTCTGGTCAAAATCTCCGAAAATTTTCCTGTTTTTATTTTAAAGGCCTGGTTTTTTCCAGAAGATTTCTAATTTCATTATTTGATTAATAAAATTTAACGGAATCCAGAGCCTCAAGGGATTGCGCTGCAAGTGAGGACAAACTCGAACCTGGTGGACCAAGTTTGGGGCCTCGACCGCCCTCCATACCCTTCGACGCCCGCGCAGGTGCTGGACGAGACCCTTTACGCGGGCGAGACCTGGCGACAGAAGGTGGCCCGCGTGGCCGCTCAAGTGGGGGCCAGCGGCGGCCAGGCGACGGTGGTGGCCGCCCTGGACGAGGTGGCGTGGCTGCTCAATTTGCGAGGCGCCGACGTGCCCTTCACGCCCGTCATCAGGGCCTACCTGACCCTGGAGTTGCGACCTGCGGCCCAGGTCACTTTGTACGTGGCCAACTCGAAATTGACCCCGGCAGTGAGGACGCACTTGGCCGAGGGACAAGCGGACGGGGTCGTCATCAAGGACTACGAGCAGATTTGGGACGATCTGACCGCCCTGGGCATCAGGGTCACCAACGTGACCCTCCCGAGCCGATTCAGTTACAGCCTTGGCGTCAGCCATGCTGTTTACGAAAGGGTTATTTTATTAAAATTTTTTGCCTAAACATTTTTTAATTTTTGTTTTTTAAATAATTTTTAATTGAAAATTTTATTTTATTATTTACAATGAATTTAAATTTTCAAATTCACACGTAAAAACTATTTTTTTTTATAACCATACAATTAATTTGATATTTAATGTAAATTTTATACTTCTCTTTATAAAATTCTCGATTAATTTAAAATAATGCAATAAATTAATATTTGGAAATGAGGAATCGGGCTTTTCCATGATCATCTCCTCGAGTGTCAACTTCTTTAAACAAATTAATATTTATTTACTATTTTTTTTTTTTAAATTCGTTTTTTTCTGCTTTTTTTCTCTTCATTTTTCCTTTTTCTAGTTTCCGAGTGAAAAAGTGATTGAAATTCCTGCCCCCGTCTCTGTGATGAAAGACATCAAAAACGCAGTGGAGGCTGCGGGAATGCGAAACGCGAATTTGCGGGACTCGGCCGCTTTGGTGAAATTCCTGGCCAAGCTCGAAGCCGGGGTGGGTCGATTTCCTTTTCATTTTGTCCACCGGAAATGTTGAATTTTTCCCACCAAAACTATAGGTTCTGGCCGGCGAGTCGTGGGACGAAATGCGAGCCGTGGCCGAGGTGGCCGCCATCAGGGCTGCGATGCCCCTCAGCCAGGGTCCCTGTTTCGAGTCGATCTCGGCCAGCGGAGTCAACTCGGCCCTGCCGCACTACGAGCCGACCGCGACCACCAACTCGCCCGTCAACGCATCCGCCGTGTACACCCTTGATTCCGGTGGACACTATTTCGGTATGTGTGGGAAAATTTTATTCTCTGGGGAATGTTAAATATAATTTTGTTGTTTAAAAGAGAAGGTTTTGATTGCTGATTAAAACGAAAAATTTCACCCAAATCAAAAAGTATGAATGTTTTTTTAAAATTAATATAAAATTTTATTGCTGTTAATTAAGGAAAAATTGTTTATAATTTATTTGATTTAGAGTGAATTTTTATATATAAATAAAATTTAATTTATTTGATCAGGTTAAATTCAATATCAGAAATTATTTAAAAATTTGAAACTCTAAACAGATACCGTTTTTTTTTTAATTTTTTCAGAATCTTTTAAAATTCTAAATTTTTTGTGAACAATGAAATAAAATCCAATCGATATTTGAGTAAATCAAGTCCCAAAAATAACCTTGTGCAACAATCATTAAAATTTGTTAAATAAATTTGAATTATTTAATTTAAAAGATTTTCTTTCCAGATGGATCAACTGATGTGACGCGGACAGTTTACTTTGGCACTCCGTTGCCCATTCACGTCGAAGTGTACACCCGACTTTTGTCAGGGTGCATCACCCTGGCGTCGGCCGTTTTCCCTTTGGGCACCACCCTGTCAGGACTGGACATTTTGGCCAGGGGCGATTTGTACAAGGGCGGTTTTGACTTTGGTCACGGCATCACCCACGGCATTGGCCACTTCCTCGCGGTTCACGAAGGTTTGAATTAATAAAATAATACAATGGCTAATTTAAAAAAAAAATCCAGCTTTCAACACGACTTTCAACGAGAATTTTTTCGGCTCTCAAGGTATAAATTTGATTGGAAGTTAAAAGTAAATAATAATCTTTGAAATAAATCAGAGCCTGGATTTTACGTTGACGACCAGTGGGGAATGCGGCTGGAAAACATCGTCACGGTGGAGAGGAAAAATTTTACTGGCGTAAGTCCATTTTAAATAAAGGACCACAATGGCATAGTTTATATTTTTCAATCTAGAAAGTGGTCAAAATTTCATGATTGACGTCAAAATCAATATACAAAAACTTGTTCCTCTAAGCTTGAAACCGATGAATTTTCTGATTTTCCCGCCAAAGAAATTTGAATCTCATAGAAATTTAGTCCCAAATTCTAAAACAGAAATATTCTGGAAATGGACGTTGAAAGGGGAAACTCAAATTTTTTGACCAAAACTTGTATTTCATCATCGTCAGCTTTCTAAATTTGGAATTAAAAATTTTCCAGAATTGTCCTTTAACATTTTCAATTATTATTTCAGCCGTATGCGGTGAACAAAACCTTCCTGCAATTCGATATGGTCACATTGGTGCCCTACGAGGTCAAATTGATTGATCCGGGCCTGCTGACGGCCAAGCAGGTCTGCTGTATTATTCTCAGCACGCAGCAATTACTCTATGAAATAAAATTGCAGATTGATTGGCTCAACTCGTACCACGCCAGAGTCGCGTCCGAGTTGTCGCCCTTGATCCAAGACGACCCGGTCGCCCTGTTGTGGATGCAAGAGAGGACCAGGCCGCTCAATTCAATTTAAATAGCTCTAATGCGACGTAAAAATAGCTCAAAATAAATACTTGGTGCACAAATTTTAAAAACTTAATATTGGAAGAAAATCCCAGGGAATAAACATTTCCAAACAAAAGTACCAAAAAATAGCAAATAGCAATTATTTAATTAAAATTATTATTTAATTTTGTTACCGTTGGCAAACAAAATATTATTATTAGATCACGAAATTAAAATCTTTATTTTAAATTACGTCAAATTTCTAATTTGAGCAATTTATCAAATAAATTATAAAAATAAATACTGACCTTTGCTGCGAATCTGGAGACGAGGAGGGTGACCTCGTTGAGACTCTCCGTCTCGGCAAAGAGGCCGCTGGCCTGCTGCTGACTGGTCACGCTGACCCCGTTGACCTGGAGGACTTGGTCACCGGCGCGGACGCGACCGTCTTTGTCCGCCACCCCGTCCTTGGCCACCGATTCGATGAACACGAGACACTCGCACTTGCTCGCCGCCTCGTCCTCCGCCTCCCCGAGGTTGCTGAACGTCAGATTCAAACCGAGCGGCTCACCTTTGCACTTGTTCAAGGTCACCACCTGCAAGAGAATTAAAGTATTAAAAAAAGTTCGTTGATAACAAATTATCTAACTAAGAATAAAAAAATAAAATTCTAAAATTCAATAAAGAAAAATAATTTCATATTTATTTTATTCTAAATTATAAAAATAAAGATTTAAATTTTAAAAAATAAAATGTTAAAACATGATTGAAAAATTCTATAAAAATAATTAAATATTTAATTATTTTCCATTAAATTTGTGAAAGTTAATTTTTTTATTTATATTGATCTCCATACCTTCCAGAGGATTTTATTTTTAATGAAATTGATTAAAATTATATTATTTTATGCTAATTCAAATTAATTAATTAATTGATCAAGAGTTTCAATTTCAATTTTTTTTAGAAAATTTAAAAAAGGCATTTAAAAATTATCACCTCGTAGTCGAGAGAGTCGTTGAGGAGGAACTCGATTTCGTCATCGTCGTCGTCGAGTTCACACTCTGGAATTTCGTAGATGACCCTGTCGAGGTCGTCCGTCTGCACGGCAGTGGACATGAGTGAGTTCAGACAGCTGCTGCCTGAGCGCCGCACCTCCACCAGAATGGGCTCTGGCGACGTTTCGAACGCTCGCAGCGCCTCCGAGTGCTCCGTGATGTCCTGACCGTTCACCTGCGGACACACAATTTCAACCTAATTAAAAATCTGCAACTCCAATTAATAATACTTAATTTTGTCTCGTATTAAATGTAGTGATTTTATTTTAAAATTACAAAATAAATTAAAGTTTGTGTATTATTAATATTTTTTTATTTAAAGTTTTATTTTATTTTAATTTTTTTACAACAAAAATAAACTGCATTTAACTAACGTTTTAAAATTTTTTCCCACCACGTTTTTCTTAACTTTTATTTTACAAATTTGTGCTAAAATTTCCCTTTCTTTCAACAATTTTTTTTTTATACATAATACAAAATTAATTTAAAAAAAACTCTTTTATAATTCAAAATTGTTCTGTAAGGCTAAATTCCAATAAAACTGGTTTGACTTGTAAAAAAATTAGCCGAAAAATCACGTTTGGGTCTCTGGGGAAATTGTGATAGTGACACATTGATTATGGAAAGTCGACATCAAACGCGCTGCACATCGGTCCGCAGGCTAATTACGACGTACCGCCATAATTGGCCCTTGATTGGACCCGTCAATCAATCAGGCCCCGATTCAAAGGGAGGAAAATTATTCGAACATGCTGGTACGGTATATGTAATAAAGAAAAAGAGATCCGCATCGGCTCTCTCGAGGGAGAAAGCGTCAGAGCGAAAAGACAAGAGGGAGTTTGAGTGGAAATTTTCACGTGTGTGAGCCGAGGCGAAAAGGTGCGGGAGAAAGAAAGGAAATTCACGCCCTCGGCTCTCCCCGGCACTCTGGAGGGCTTGTTAATTAAAGCGGGATTGTGCAGTCGTCGCTTTTTTAATCTGCAAAAGCAGCTCTCTCTGCGTTGAACGCGCGCACGTGTGCAGCGATGGAATTATTTCACGCATAGCTTGGATCATATTTTTTTAATTGGAGCCATCAGTCTCAATTCGCTCGCGAGAGAGAAAGCAGGGGTTACAATTTTTATTAATTTTGTGGATGTGCTCTCCTTAAATTACAACAGGGAGACACTTTTAATTTCAATAAAGTCACGTGCGTGTGTGGTTAATAGAAATTAAAACGAGAGCCATTCTGTGGGGTTGAAATTCCTCCACGATTTGTTTCGTTGGAATAAAATTTGAAGGCAGGACTTGACTGAGAAGATGAATAAATAAATATTAATTAATATAAATTTACATAAACTAGATTGAAATTTTTATGGAGGATTATTTATTTATTCTTCATTAAGATACATTGAAATTACTTTGATTGAAATTACATCAAAGCAATGCTTCAAAATGAAATAACATAAACAGAAGTAATTATTATTTATTCATCTCGGTCAATAGAAAATTTTAGCTTATTTAAAATATTTTATTATATTTATGGGCTCATCTTGAACTCAGAGAAGTTTTTATCAAGATTATTTTGCTGCTGATGCTGTTTTCTTCAATCAATCCCCCAAAATTATTCATTTCCTCCAAAATTGTAGCAATTGCACTTAATTTTCTCCTATATACTTCAGTAATTGGAGATTCATCCATAATAAGCGAGCTGATTTTGTATTATTTTAAAATACGATGTGTGAAGTAGATTATCAGAAAAAGATGTGAACAAATATTTTTAGAAATCAATTGTTTTTATAGCTCACTTAATCAATTCCGGAAAGGATTGTGATGTTAAGTCAATTTAATTTTTAAAAAGTAGTATTTTTACCTCAAAAAGGTTCAAAAGAGTCTTATTAGCAAATGTCAAAAGTTATACCAAATCCAACAAAATCATCAACCTAATTTGATTGAGCTTTTATTTCATTTTAAAAAAAATAAAAATAAATAGCAGGAGAAAAAATTGTTATAGAAAATCCCATAAAAAGTTATGTTTATTAAAAAAATTCAGTTTTGTGATTAATCAAAACATAATGTAATGAAATGAAGTTTCAAATAAATAGCCAAATAACTTTTGGTCAATTCCTATCTCATGAGAAATTAACAAATATAATAATAATTTAATTAAAGTTTAATCAAAGTTTTGGGCAACAATTCATTTTTTATAATGGAATTGTTTTAAAAAATTGAATGTAAATAACGTTAAACAACAATCCTAATTGAATAATTAAGCAATAATTAATTAAAATAATCTATATTATTGGTAATTTTAAGTAATTACAATCTCAATGTTTGGTTAATCTTTGTCTAAAATTTTGAAAAGCGATGAATGAAATAATAGTCGTTTAATTAGACCACATCTTGATAAACGCAACACAAAAGTAATTATATCAAATAGGATCAGGAGAGAATTATATACACACGGCGAGGATAACTCACGCTCGGGCGAGCTTTCTTGTTAATTACATCCTCTTGTGCCGCCGCCGAGAGCATAATTGATTAAAGTTCATTCATCCGATTTGGCTCCGCGCGAGTTGTATTTATTTCTTCGTCTTTATGTGCCGCGCGTTCCCATACCATAAACACCGCACACGCATTTCATTATATGTATGATATTTTTCTCCCGCGCGCGTACACGTATATAAAGAATAATGAGGTGCTCTCCGACGACTCTCTTTCTCTAAAAATTATATATATTTTACTTCCCACGTACGCGTGCACACAAGAAAAAGCAAGAGAGAGAGACTCTTAACCACGCGAGCTGAGGCACCGCCGCCGACTCGGCAGCGTTAATTGACTAATTAAAATCTTCCATGGCGGTAATTTTCATTACTCGCTTATTTTTTTAATTCAACCCCGGCCACTGTACAAATTGCGAATAATTTGTCTCCTTCACAAAACTGCTTCAAAAGCTTTTGAACAAAAAGAGCCAATATTGTTTCAGCAATTAATGCAAATTAGTATAGAAATGTTTCACCAGAACGACCTGTAATCTATATATAATTTCTCACTTTCAAATTAATTTTTTCTGGAACATTTTTGTTTAGCACAAAAATGGGAATATTCTTTGAATTTGTAAATTGCAAATTTCAAATGTCAGAATAGAAATTTAAAAAATTGGCCATAGAGATTTGAGATCCTTAATTCTTCTGGATGTTGATTGATAATTTTGACAAAATCATAAAAATTCTGCCGTTTTTAAATATTTAATCATGATTCACCAAAATTAAAAAAAAATCCTTTAACTTCGTCATACACATAAAAAAATCATCGATATAATTAATACGTAATTAAATTATTATTTTACTCATTACCAGGTTTTTTTATTTCATTTTATTCATAATTTAATTATTATCTGCTACAAAACTTATGATCACGAAACAAAATATTAAACTGCCTCAAATTAACTACAAATTAAAAACTAATTAAAAAGAGAAAAAATATTGGACAAGGATGTCATTTTGTTAGGAAATGAACAAAGTCTGGGCTGGAACATGCAATTCCATTGTTAGTAAGGACATTAAAAATCTAATTCAAATTTTTAATCAAAACGAAAATACGTCTGCTTGGACTCATTTTAAGACAATTTAGTTCAGACCTAATTATTATAATAAAAAACATTTTTTTTTTTAATTTTATCAAGCCCAATAACGCTTTCTTCCTTCTTTGAAATTGAAATTCCCCCTGCAGGGACACTGCATGATTGTATTCGGCGCTTTCTCTCTGTGGCGGCTAATTTATTGGGGAGTAAATTGAATTGGAAATCTCGCCGGGGACTGAAGTTTATGTAATTTGTGTAAACAATGGATTTGGCCGGTCAAGTGGCCTCTTCAAAGTCAACAGTCTTGAGCGCGCAGTGCCCCTATAGACCCGCTCGTCGTCGGCAAACAGCTCCGAGCTTTAATACACAGCTGGTTTGTTTAACGTTTATTGGCGAATTAGAGAGAGAGAGAGAGAGAGAGAGACTGCCAGGCACACAACAAACAGACAACAAGCGGTATTGAGTTAAAAGCGTAGGGTGCTCGAGCGGGTATAAAGTTACTTATCGACTCTGCCGGCCAAGATTGATCTTGTAAGAAAAACAGGGAAAAAATGGTCGCTTGGCCAGTCAAAAGTAAAGAAAAATAAATGGTTGAAGGTAAAAAATTTAAAAATGAATGTTAAAAATTAAGGGAGAGATAATATAAATTAAATTACTTTGAAAAATTGCAATTAATTAGGATAAAATAGTTGCTCTAAAATTGTTTAAATTATGAATTAACAACTAATCTTTTTTTTAAACCCTTTGAAAAATGATTTGATTGGTTTTTGAATTAACAGCAAAAAATACAAATCCGAAATAAGAACCAACAGAAGCTGAGTTTCTTCAATTTCTTTTTTTATCCAAACAAAAATTGAGTTTATTTGGGAAAACTGCAGTAAAAGCTCAATTTATAGATGAAGAATAACCACATTTGAGCGAAAACAATAAAATAAACACAATTAAGGAATCACATTCTGGCCGATGTAAATAAAAGTTTGAAGTTCATCCCTTATAAAATATTTATTCATTAGGATTAAATTCATTAAGCATTTTCGTTGTTTTGGCCAACTGTCAGTTTGCTTTGAATCTTATCCACTGTGATCCTTTTAAAATTTTACACTAACGAGCCGCTTTTATTTATTTATTTACTTATCAAGGCAAATGTATGTTAATACCCCGATTTGATAAACAAAACGGCGATTAACATTTGATTAATGAGTCGACTAATTGAATTCTCTCGTTCGGACTTGGTCCTCGTTCTTGATGCCACGATGATTCATCGCGAGCTCAATTAAGCGAGCATTGGAGCAAAACAAACCCGTTCGTTAGTCTGGGGTGTGGGACGATTTGGGAGAGAAGACGGAACGTGCAGTAAAAATCGTTTCGAATCAGCGTCTGAGCGCGGAGAGAATTATATATGAATGGGAAGCCCCCATGTGCCCTAAAAAAGGTGTTCCAATTCCGAAAGTGTACCCGGAATAGTTTGATAATTAAATAAATTGTGGCTTTTTTTAGGCTTGTAATGGGCCTTGCAAAATCTTTATGAGCCCTCAATAGATGGTTGAAGATCAAATTTATCCAGTTTTAAGCAATTTTATATAAAGTTTAGTTAAGATTTTGGAGTATTTGAA